GGGCGGTGGTGGCGAACCTATGGCACGGGTGCCAGAAGCGGCACTCAGAGCCCTCTCTGTGGGCACGCGCGCCGTCGCCCCAGTCCTAGGCCTTCAGCTGGGTTTTATAAAAACTTTTTGCTTTAGGCCTCCGCTACCCTGTGCAAAAAAAAAAAAAAAAAAAGTTCAGTCAATCTGTCAATTTCAACTTTTCGCAGAAAAAAAAAAGATCTTGCAAAGTTGGAATTGATTGATTGAACTTTTTAGTCCCACCCAGTCTGCCATTACCACCGCAGCCATGCCCACCCAATGGGCCACGCACCCCCAACTGGCCACGCCCACACAATGGGCCACACCCACCCAGCACTCGACGATGCATAAGTGGGTTTTGGGTTGCAGTTTGGGCACTCAGTCTCTAAAAGGTTCGCCATCACTGGTATAGGGTTTTCTCCCTGAGCAGGGGGTTGGACTAGATGACCCCCAAGGTCCCTTCCAACATTATTATTGTTATTGTCATTTTTGTTATTACCAGCCCCATCTTGTTCCCATTTGTGGGGGTATGCTAAAAATCTGGAACCCGAGACAGTGGAAATCAAATTCAAATGTATTTATTAGCGCCATGAGGCTGGATACAAGCAAGATACTGAATAAAAGAAGGATTGCATCGTTCAATATGTATGTAAATGTACATAGGTGGAAAACAGTAAGTGTAATGGAGTCTAAAAATAATTAAGAACAGGTGGAGATTCTCAACCATCCAGGTCATGGTTGTCCCCAAAGGTATTTTTTCCAAAAGCAATTTAGTGTTTCTTGGGTTGTTGGTTTTTTTCCTTGAAAACGTTTCGCTTCTCATCCAAGAAGCTTCTCCAGTGAAGAACTGAAAAGCTTCTTGGATAGAGAAGCAAAACATTTTCAAAGGGAAAAAAACCATAAAACCAAGAAAGCTCGGTTGCCTTTTGGAAAAAGCACCTTTGGGACAATTAAGAACATAGTTACCAAAAGAAAACCAACTATAATACTCTTATAAGAAGTTCCCATGCTGAGTATGAGTAGTCCTCCACTTACGACCACCATGGTTGCTAAATGAGACATTTCTTGAGACATTTCTTAAGTGAGCTTTGCCCCCTTTACGATCTTTTTTTTTGCCACAGTCGCTAAGTAGATCAACGAGGTTAGCAGCGCGGTTGTTAAATGAATCTGGGTTCCCCGTGGACTTTGCCTATTGGAAGGTCACAAAAGGGGATTCACATGACCCCCTGGGGACACGGTAACCGTCATAAATATGAGTCAGTCGCCAAGCGTATTGAATTTTGATCGCGTGACCATGAGGATGTTGCAACGGGCCTCCCTGTGAAAAACGTTTGTAAGTCACTTTTTTCAGGGCTGCTGTAACTTTGAGCGGTCACTAAACGAACGGTTGTAAGTTGAGGATCTCTTCACGACAAAGGGGAGTAGGATCCTCCTATAACAGAGTTCCTCAACCTTTTCAGATTGTTGGCCCGGAGGGAGGAAGGGGGAACAGAAGGGATGGTTTTGTGGGAGGGCACGTCCGTGTGCACACGCATATGCGCACATGAGCACCCGTTGCTCACACAAATAGGGTTGAGAGCACCCATGATGCTCACACGAGTGAGGCCCCGAGTGCCTGCGACACGCGTGTGTGGGGTCGCAAGCACCCAAAATGCTTGCACAAGGCCCTGGGCACCTGCGATGCTCACGCGAGTTAGACCCTGAGCCCTCGAAATGCTCACAGGACTGGGGCCACAAGTTCCCACGATGCTCGCGCAAATGAGGCCCCAAGCACCCGTGACATTCACACGAGTGAGGTCCCAAGTGCCTGCACTCACCAGCCAGCCACTCACACGGCCCGGTTGCGAACAGGCCATGGACTGGTAGTGGGCTGTGGCCCACAGGTTGGGGACCCCTGCCCTATAACACCCTGCCTTCATTGCGTTTCCCCCCACCTACCCTTTTCCTGGGCTCCAAGATCACCGCAGATGGGGACTGCAGCCAAGAAATTAAAAGACGCTTGCTCCTGGGGAGGAAAGCGATGGCAAATCTAGACAGCATACTAAAAAGCAGAGACATCTCTCTGCCAACAAAAGTGCGTATAGTCCAGGCCATGGTTTTCCCAGTTGCAATGGATGGCTGTGAAAGTTGGACCATAAGAAAGGCTGAGCGCCAAAGAATGGAGGCCTTTGAACTCTGGTGCTGGAGAAGACTCCTGCGAGTCCCTTGGACTGCAAGGCGTTCAAACCGGTCAGTCCTAGAGGAGACCAACCCCAACTGCTCTTTAGAAGGCCAGATCCTGAAGCTGAAACTCAAGTCCTCTGGCCACCTAATGAGAAGGAAGGACTCACTGGAGAAGAGCCTAATGCTGGGAAAGATGGAGGGCAAGAGAAGAATGGGACGACAGAGAATGAGGGGGCTGGATGGAGTCCCTGAAGCAGCAGGCGTGAGCTTAAATCAGTGTTTCTCAACCTTGACAATTTTAAGGCATGTGGACTTCAACTCCCAGAATTCCACAGCCAGCAATGCTGGCTGTGGAATTCTGGGAATTGAAGTCCACATGCCTTAAAATTGTCAAGGTTGAGAAACACTGGCTTAAATGGACTGCAGAAGATGGTAGAGGACAGGAAGGCCTGGAGGAACGTTGTCCCTGGGGTCGAGATGGGTGGGACACGACTTTGCAACTAACAACAACAACAATAACCCTTTTCAAAGCGCAATCTTGCTTCCCTGCCAACGTGAGAGGTAACAACCAGAACAGAAGGCAACACACCAGAAAAAAAAAAAACAGGGGAAACGCAACTTGCTCCCCACAGGATGAAGCTGTAATTTCATAAATACAACGGCATTCTCACCAGGAGACTCTTCGCTGCCTCTTAAGAGGCGCATTATGTCGCCTCAAGCACATTAGGCTAATAATATTTCCACCTTGATGAACAGAGGCAGAGGCTCCGAGGACGTGAGGCAGAGAAAAAAGGAGGGGAGGGGGCGGAATCCACAAAGCAAAGCACGGCCTGAACCCTTAATTTTATTTTTCGATTTCGCGAGCCTTTTTAAAGAGTCCTAGAGCCACAGAGGTTGACTGGCCAACTGCATGCAGTCGAAACTTCGGTCTCTTTTAAGCACAACTAGGATATACGGGTCGTCGTCGCCTGACAGCCATCGGTGAGCCCAAAATTTCTGTCGCTAAGCGAGACAGCTGTTAAATGAGCTTTGCCCCATTGTAGGACTTTTCGTGGCCCCGTTGTTAAGTGAGTAACTGCATTTGTTTTAAAGCTAGCAAGACATTTGTAAAGTGAATTTGGCTTCCCCCCCGATTTTGCTCTTCTCAAAAGTTACAATAAGGGCAGGGGTCTTCAAACTTGGCTCTTTTGTGACTTGTGGACTTCAACTCCCAGAATTCCTCAGCCAGCGTGCACGCTGGCTGAGGAATTCTGGGAGTTGAAGTCCACAAGTCATAAAAGGGCCACGTTTGAAGATGGGTCCCTCATTCACACATTCATAATTCAGGTCAGCAGCCAAACTCAAATTAATTTCTTTATATATTGGCTGCTTTTCTCACTGTGGCTAATGCAGTGTTTCTCAACCTTGATAATTTTAAGGCATGTGGACTTCAACTCCCAGAATTCCACAGCCAGCAATTGTCAAGGTTGAGAAACACTGGGCTAATGCCAGCCAGCCTAGTTGAGAAAAACCTGGATAATTGTGTGATGAGAGTTAACACACACACACACGCTTGCTCACTGGAACACATAAACTTTCATTGCATAATTATTCAGGTCTTTCTCAACTAGGCTGGCAGGCATTAGCCACAGGGACAAGAAGCAGTCAAGTCTAGATCCAAAGATGACTTAAAGCAGGGGTCTTCCAACTTGGCCCTTTTATGACTTGTGGACTTCAACTCCCAGAATTACTCAGCCAGACATGCCTGCCTGAGGAATTCTGGGAGTTGAAGTCCACAAGTCATAAAAGGGCCAAGTTGGAAGACCCCTGAAATAGGGGATCAGGTGACCCCGGGACAGTGCCGCCATCAGAAATGCGAGTCAGTTCCCAATCATTTGAATTTTTTAAAAATATATTTTATTATTTTTTTAACATAACCACCATTAATATTTGGTAAACAACACGTTGTCTGGGTTTATATTTACAAACAATCGATAACAATTAGTTTCTATAGTTCCAAACTCCACGCAATAGCTTTCCTTTATTTTCTCTTCTTCCAATTTTCTCTTCTATCAATCTTAAATTAGTACATTTCTTAATAATTTTAGTAGATAACGATGGAATGTAAACATTTTTTCTAGTATTTCTACAAGTGGCAACCCCATCTATATGAAGCTTCTTTCTTAATCGTCTTAATCCCCTTGTCATAAATCCTGTTTTTAAAGTTCTCATTTCAATTTGTTTTCCCCACAATGTTCAAAAAAAAAACCTTGTTATTTTCTTAGACTTAATTACACTTAAGTAATTAAGTCTTTTTCCTCATCCAAGCCATCCCGACACTTTTACATTTCTCGTATCTTAAAAACAAAAACAAAAAGAAGAAAAAAAGAATACATTACTTGAAAAACATGTCCCTCTTAAGCTAAAATACATTCAAAATCTGTTTGAATTTTGATCACATGACCATGGGGATGCCACAATGGTCATAAGTGTGAGAAGCAGTCGTAAGTCACATTTTTGGTGCCATTGTTAACTTCGAACGGTCAGTAAACAAACTGTTGTAAGTCGAGGACTGCCTGTACCATGTTTTAATCAGATTCAAAACAATGGTTCTCTCACAACTCCATGTATTTATCACCAAAAAGGCATTTTTCCCCCCCTTCACAATCAGATTTCTTATGCTGTGACGGCATTAACACAAATAAAGCCGATCGCAAAGCACCAATATTACAAGGGCACATTTGCAGAGAGAGATAAAACAAGAGAGCTGGGGGGGGGGGCTTGTTATAGTGACACACATTTGTTTAATAAAAAAAAGTGCAAGGGAGCACTCAGAAATATAAACTCACCTGGACATCATACAGGGCCACAATGTTTTCGTGCTGTAGTTCCTGGAAAATAAAAGGCAAATAGTTCAGAGAAACCTCAGCAAGTCAGTGCTGGGAAGGAAACAGCAGCTAAGTAAGGTAATACTAATAGCTTTTATTTTTTTTCTGAGTAACAACGCCTACGTGCCCCTTCCTCAAACAAATTAAAGGACTTTTTTTTGGCAGCCTATCTAAACCTTGTTAAAGCCACTAAATAAGAGTTAGAAGGCTCATATTCCAAACCCGTTGCTCAAACAAAAGACCCGATATTATTTTGGACAAATGGGGAACTCTCAACCAGCTCTTTGTAGTGTTTTGTGGTCAAATGACCACAATTTACAGTATTTTTTGGCAAAACTCAACGTTTACTTCCAGTTAGAAATTGTAGAGAATATTCATAGCAACGAAGAGGATCAGGAGACTGGAGGCTAAAACATATGAAGAACGGTTGCTGGAATTGGGTATGGCTAGTTTAACGAAAAGAAAGATGAGTGGGGACATGATAGCAGTGTTCCAGTATCTCAGGGGCTGCCACAAGAAGAAGAGGGGGGGTCAACCAAAGCACCTGAAGACAGGACAAGAGGCAATGGATGGGAACCTATCAAGGAGAGAAGCAATTTAGAACTAAGAAGAAACTTCCTGACAGTGAGAGCAATCTGTGGAATTCCTTGCCTCCAGAAGCGGTGAATGCTCCAATACTGGAAGTTTTTAAGAAAAGACTGGACAGCCATTTGTCTGAAGTGGTGTAGGGTTTCCTGCCTGAGCAGCGGGTTGGACTAGATGACCTCCAAGGTCCTTTCCAACTCTATTGTTGTTGTAGTTGTTGTTTTATATTGCTTGTTGTTGCTTGTGTGTACACTGAGAATTTATGCACCAGAGACAAATTCGTTGTCCAATAATACTTGGCTAACAAAGAATATTCTGTTCTGTTCTGTTCTATTCTGTTCCATTCCATATTCTATTCCATTTAATTCCATTCCATATTCCATTCCATTCCATTCTCTATTCTATTCCATTCCATTCCATATTCTATTCCATATTCCATTCAATTCCATATTTCATTCCATTCTCTATTCTATTCTATTCCACATTCCATTCCATTCTCTATTCTATTCCATTCCATTCAATTCCATATTCCATTCCATTCCATATTCTATTCCATTCCGTTCCATATTCTATTCCATATTCCATTCAATTCCATATTCCATTCCATTCTCTATTCTATTCCATTCCATTCCATATTCTATTCCATTCCATTCAATTCCATATTCCATTCCATTCTCTATTCCATTCCATATTCCATTCCATTCAATTCCATATTCCATTCCATTCTCTATTCCATTCCATTCAATTCCATATTCCATTCCATTCTCTATTCCATTCCATATTCCATTCCATTCAATTCCATATTCCATTCCATTCTCTATTCTATTCTATTCCATATTCCATTCCATTCTCTATTCTATTCCATTCCATATTCTATTTCATATTCCATTCCATTCCATATGCTATTCCATTCTATATTCTATTCCATTCCATTCTTACTTCTTCTAATTCTTGCTCAAGCTATGATTTAGACAGAGGTAATCCCCCAGCTTAGAGCCAAAGCCCCAAACCCACAGTAAACTTGGAGAACCAACCTCTGCCTAAATTTACTTCCAGTTCTTGGCAAAAATGTCCCATAGTGAACAAAGGCTTTGCTTAACAACTGTGGATTTATTTAACGACCACCACAAAAATGGTTGTAAAACAAAGTCGCTTCATGACCCGCTTTATGATCATCATAACTTATGACCGTAATGGGACGGTCCACTGGAGTCATAAGTCGAGGACTATCTGTATGTGGTTGCCCCAAAAATTATTTCCATAGTTTCTTCCTGGCTGAGGAATTCTGAGAGTTAAGATCCACAAGCAGGGGTCTTCCATCTTGGCCCTTTTATGAATTGTGGACTTCAACTCCCAGAATTCCTCAGCCAGGTACGCTGGCTGAGGAATTCTGGGAGTTGAAGTCCACAAGTCATAAAAGAGCCAAGCTGGAAGACCCCTGTCTTAAAGCATCCTGGCTGAGGAATGCTGGGAGTTGAAGTCCACAAGTCCTAAAAGGGCCAAGCTGGAAGACTCCTGTCTTAAAGCATCCTGGCTGAGGAATTCTGGGAATTGAAGTCCACAAGTCATAAAAGGGCCAAGTTGGAAGACCCCTGTCTTAAAGCATCCTGGCTGAGGAATGCTGGGAGTTGAAGTCCACAGTCATAAAAGGGCCAAGCTGGAAGACCCCTGTCTTAAAGCATCCTGGCTGAGGAATTCTGAGAGTTGAAGTCCACAAGTCATAAAAGGGCCAAGTTGGAAGACCCCTGTCTTAAAGCATCCTGGCTGAGGAATGCTGGGAGTTGAAGTCCACCAATCATAAAAGGGCCAAGTTGGAAGACCCGTCTTAAAGCATCCTGACTGAGGAATTCTGGGAGTTGGAAGTCCACAAGTCCTAAAAGGGCCCAGTTTGAAGATCCCTGACCTAGAAACTAAGAGGTTCGCTCTCAATATGTGGATAATATGTTCCTCTAATGAGCCAAGGCACAATGGTTGCCAAGTTCTCAGTCGACCCAGCCTTGTGATGTCTTTGAAACCAGCCCCATGTTAACTAGACCGGGAACAGACTTCTCAGAAGCAGGCCCAGGAGTTTCTTGGAAAAGTTGACTCACCAAAGGCAAAGGGCCCTAGGCTTTCTCTAAGTAAGATACTTTTACAGATGTAAGAGTTTCTTTCCTTCCTTGGGGTTTTGTAAACAAAGAGAGCGGAGATTTTAGGTCACTAACACCCTTTAGACTTTTTTTTTTTTTTTTGAGAAGAGATGCTTGGCTTTGGGTTTTATTATCCTGGCAAAGGGGGGGGGGGGTCTGGAATAAGGAAGCAGACTAGCCTTCTCTTACTTTGGGATGACTAAAGCTTCCCCGACTCAAAATAATTGGGGGAGAAAGGAAGGAACTGGAGCCAACGTGTTGATCAGCAGAAGCAGCCAAATCAAAGCATCCATGGCTGATTATCCTTGGCTAGACATAAAAGAAAGCCTGGTATTTCTCATGCCTTTTGGAACGTTAGGGACTAGAATCTCATCCGACGAGGCATCAAAACCACAGCTGGACAATCCTTTGGGTCCAAAGTTCTGAATTTAGCACGGAGGCCTGGTCCCTATCCAAAAAATCTGTTTTCCCCAATGATCTAGACCAGTGGTGGCGAACCTATGGCGCAGGTGCCAGAGGCGGCAGAGCGCTCTCTGTGGGCACGCACACCATCGCCCCAATCCTAGGCCTTCAGCTGGGTTTTATAAAACCTTTTCGCTTTAGGCCTCCGCCGCTGTGTGCAAAAAATAAAAAACGGTTCAATCAATCAGTCAATTTCAACTTCTCGCGGGGGGGGGGGGGGAAGAGATCTTGCAAAGTTGGAATTGATTGATTGAACTTTTTAGTCCCACCCAGTCTGCCGTTACCACCGCAGCCACACCCACCCAATGGGCCACACCCACCCAATGGGCCACACCCACCCGGCACTCGACGATGCATAAGTGGGTTTTGGGTTGCAGTTTGGGCACTCAGTCTCTAAAAGGTTCACCATCACTGATCTAGACTAGAGCAGGGGTGGGGAACCTTGGCTCTTTTATGACTTGTGGACTTCAACTCCCAGAATTCCTGAGCCAGCCATGTTAATGCTGGCTCAGGAATTCTGGGAGTTGAAGTCCGCAGGTCATAAAGGGGCCATAGTTCTCCACCTCTGGTGTAAGGGTTCATGTCAGGTTTTACACTTAGGCAAGAAAAACCACATGCACAGGCACAGTATAAAACTTGGGCCTTTTATGACTCGTGGACTTCAACTCCCAGAATTCCTGAGCCAGCATGGGGGAACTATGGCCCCCTTCATGACTCATGGACTTCAACTCCCAGAATTCCTGAGCCAGCCTGGCTCAGCTTGGAAACCTCTCCCTTTCCCTTCAGCATGGCTGGCTCAGGAATTCTGGGAGTTGAAGTCCAGGAGTCATAAAAGAGCCAAGCTTCCCCACCCTTGATCTAGAGCCAACGGATCTGAAGACTCTATTACAGGTAATGCTCATCTTAACAACATTTCATTTAGTGACTCTTCAAAGTTACAATGGCACTAAAACAAAGTGGCTTATGACCGTTTCTCACACTTATGACCGCTGCAGCATCCCCTGTGGTCACATGATAAAAATTCAGACGCTTGGCAACTGATTCATATTTATGACAGCTGAAGTGTCTCAGGGTTACGTGATCACTGTTTGGGACCTTCTGACAAGCCAAGTCAAGGGGGAAGCTAGGTTCACTTAACAACCATGTTATTAACCATTATCCATGTTAATAACAACCATATTATTGACTTAACTCCAATGATTCACTCAGCAGCTGTGGCTAGAAAGGTCATATATATGGGATAAAACTCAATACATGTCTCACGTAGCCACAAAAATTTGGGGCTCAATGGTGGTCATAAATTGAGGACTACCTGTATCTTAAGCAGTCACTATAAATGAGACACAGCTTTCCTTTGCTCCTTCTGAGAGATTTTCTCCAAATTTACTTTGGATTTATTGTTAAACTTCATTGCAATGTTTTTAATGCTTTACTATCGTATGCTCTTGCATTCTTGTAAGCCATCCAGAGTTACTCGAAACAGTGAGAGACGGGCGGCGTATAAATTTAATAAAAAAACGAATTGTTGATTCTGCACAGCAGACAGGACAGCCCTTGGCCGTGCCTGACAACACTTCCACATTTGATTGACAACCGAGATCATTTGAGTGTCAAACAGGATGTCACATGTTCACTGTAACATAAAATACTTGCTCGCTATTTTTAAAAAATTGTGCTTATGCTCCCACCGCAACTTTCTGCAAGAAAAAAAATGAGGGATGCCTGCAGTGCAGAGGCAGCATGGATGGAATTATAAGATGAATAAAAAATTCAGCAGACCTGTGTTCCTAAGATCAGGGTTGGGGAACCATAGTTCCCTACCCATGGCTCAGGAATTCTGGGAGTTGAAGTCCACAAGTCATAAAAGGGCCATCGTTCCCCGTGCTGGCTCAGGAATTCTGGGAGTTGAAGTCCACAAGTCATAAAAGGGCCATCGTTCCCCATGCTGGCTCAGGAATTCTGGGAGCTGACTCAGGGATTCTGGGAGTTGAAGTCCACAAGTCTTAAAAAGGCCATCATTTCCCATGCTGGCTCAGGAATTCTGGGAGTTGAAGTCCACAAACCATAAAAGAACCATCTTTCCCCATGCTGGCTCAGGAATTCTGGGAGTTGAACTCCACAAGGGCCATGGTTCCCCACCCATCCCAGATGGTCTTAAATTAGACATCACAGGAACCAAAGAGACAAGGAATCAACTATTAATTAGCCAGCTCCGCATTCCCTAAGCTTGGGCCCCCATCTATAGACTTCAATTCTCATGTTCTACCACCTGTGTGGGAGTAAAAGGCCCCAGCACATCTGGAAGGCATCACATTGGGCAAGTTTGAGAGAGGGGGTCCTTGCAGATTTCAGCAAAGGTTCAGTGCAGCCTTAAGAGGCAATTGGAAGGGGTGGGCTAGAAAGGGCATATTGGAGTCAAAGCAACAATTCCTGCATGCCAAATTTGAAAGCATCTGGCTCAGAAATTCTGGGAGTTGAAGTCCACGAGTCATAAAAGAGCCAAGGTTGCCTACGCCTGGTCTAGTGGTTAAGATGCTGGCCTAAACCAGGAGACTGTGAATTCTAGATCTGTCTTAGGTAAGAAAGCTGGCTGGGTGACTTAGGGCCAATCACTAGGAGACGGTGACTTCTAATCTCACCTGAGCCATGAAAACCAGCTGGCTGATTTAGGGCCAATCACCAGGAGATGGTGAGTTCTAGTTCTGCCTTCGGCACAAAAATAGACTGGGTGACTTTGGGCCCTTCACCCGGAGATTAACAACTGGGGTAAGAAAGGTTGTAAAGTGGAACAAAACTCACTTAACAACAGTCTTGCTGAGCAACAGAAATTTGGGCGTTGTAATTCGAGGACCGCCTGGACTGCAAGGCGATCCACCCGGTCAGTCCTAGAGGAGATCAACCCCGACTGCTCTTTAGAAGGCCAGATCCTAAAGTTGAAACTCAAGTCCTTTGGCCACCTAATGAGAAGGAAGGACTCACTGGAGAAGAGCCTGATGCTGGGAAAGATGGAGGGCAAGAGAAGAAGGGGACGACAGAGAATGAGGTGGCTGAATGGAAGGGAGGGTCCGGTTTCCTTGGAGCACCCCTTAAAGACTGTGAAAGCTGGACCATAAGAGAGGCTGAGCGCCAAAGAATGGAGGCCTTTGAACTCTGGTGCTGGAGAAGACTCCTGTGAGTCCCCTGGACTGCAAAGCAACCAAACCGGTCAGTCCTGGAGGAGATCAACCCCAACTGCTCTCGAGAAGGCCAGATCCTGAAGCTGAAACTCAAGTACTTTGGCCACCTAATGAGAAGGAAGGACTCACTGGAGAAGAGCCTGATGCTGGGAAAGATGGAGGGCAAGAGAAGAAGGGGATGACAGAGAATGAGGGGGCTGGATGGAGTCCCTGAAGCAGGAGGCGTGAGCTTCAATGGACTCCAGAAGATGGTAGAGGACAGGAAGACCTGGAGGAACGTTGTCCATGGGGTCGCGATGGGTCGGACACGACTTCGCAACTAACAACAACAACAACATCGAGGACTACCTAAACCCCTTCCCCTGAAAAATACATTTCTGGAATTTGACCATTTTACCACGACATTCTGACAATATTCTCTTGGGATGCTCTAAAACAGGTCCCTGGAGGCGGCATGCTGTCTGCTCAAAGGTAGCCATGATCTATGGTTTATAAACCACAACGACTGGATTAACCAAATGTATCATGCCAAGAGCAAGCAAACCGCATTATTTTGGCATCACACCTGAACTCGGTCTGCCTGGGGTCATATAAAACCAACTTGTATAGCCCAGCTCAGAGCTGGCTTGGGAATTTTTTTAAGTTGGAGCAGAAGAAGAGGAAAACAAAAAAAGCTAGCCAGAACTGAAGGCGGGAAGTAAAAAAAAGCAACACAAGCTCAGAATGCACAGAATAAGTCTTCAAGTTATAACTGGTCACCTAATGACCGTTCAACGTTATGACGGATCCCCCCAAAAGTACGTATGACCAGGTTCTGAAATTCTGAAACACCCCCCCTCCCCAAAGTCACATGACTCTATTTCGGGGGGGGGGGCTCAGCAACCAGCCTGCATTTACAACCCTTTGCAGCATCCCACAGTCACATGATCAAGATTTAAAATGTTTTTGCCCAAAAAAAAAAAAAAAAAAAAAAAGTTTACTTCCAGTTTGGGGTAAAAATGCCCCTTAACCATGGGTTCATTTATTGACCACAGATTCATTTAATGACCTTGATTTGCTTAAGGATCACTTTAAAAAAAAGGCCATAAAATTGGATTGGTCACGAGATGACTCGCTTTATAATGATCACAGACAGGTTCCATTACGGCCATAAGTCAAGGACTTCCTGTACACTTATCTCAGGATAGAAAGCAACAAAAAGCATGCTCTAACTATGAACAAGATTCTAGTCCTCCATGAGGTGCTCTTAAGCCCGAGGACTAGTGCAGAACCAAGAACAGGACAGCTCAAAACTCCTGCAACTGTTCCTGCAAAAGTTGATTTTTCATGCCTGCAACCATTCTTCGTCTTTCAGCCTCCTAAACATCTTTGTTGCTCTTCTCTAGACTCTTTCTACTCTCAACATCTTTTTTTTTTTTTTGCATCCGGTTTTGGTCACCACAATAAACATTTTTGGGCGATGCTTACATGTTTTAGCGATTCCCTCAATTCTCAGCATTTCCCTTCCAAGTCTTTGCAATGGTGAGGAAGGCCAGTTTTATTGCCGTGGGCTACTTAAAAAAGCTGTGTATTGGTAGTCCTCCAGTTACGACCATTTCCTTGCTGACCGTTCACAGTTATAATGGGCCCCCCGAAAGATACTTACAGGTAGTCCTCTACATTTAGGCAAGAAAAAACAAATGCACGGGTATAGTATAGGTCAGGGGTAGGCAACCTTGGCTCTTTTATGACTCGTGGACTTCAACTTCCAGAATTCCTGAGCCAGCCATGCCATAGGTTCGCCACCACTGTGGAATTTGCAAGGATTCTGCATCCTCCAGAATAAATTAAAAAGCACTATGCACAGGCAAACGTATTGTGGCTTGTGCCGTCCGCCTCCACACGGCTGCCAGACTGCTGTCATTGGCCAAGTGTCTCTAATTCAGAAATTTCTAATACATCGCTTAGGTTTGTTCCTTTTTCTTTGCTTAGCATTTCACTTGGAACAACAACAATAACAAAAAGGAAAAGCTAGGGCAACAGAATTGTGGGAAATCCCACATCATTCCGGAAGCCCTCATCCATCTATTCGAAACCAAGTTGAAAAAAGAGTAAAACAAAAAAGCAGGACAAAAGGCCCTCAAACAGAGGTTAGTCTCTGTATACAGGTAGTCCTTGACGTACAACCACAATTGAGCTGAACATTTATTTTGCTAGGTGAAACATTTAAGTGAATTTTGTCCAGTTTTACGCCCTTTCTTGCCACAGTTGTTAAGTGAATCCAGTGTCCCCCATTGATTTTGCTTGTCAGACGGTCGCAAAAGGGGATCACTCAATCTGGGACACTGCAACCATCATAAATACAGGCCAATTGCCAAGGGTCTGGATTTTAATCACGTGACCACGGGGATGCTGGAATACCGTAAGAGTGAAAAACAGCCCTAAGTCACTTTTTTCAGTGCCGTGGTAACTTTGAACAGTTACTAAATGGACTGCTGTAAGTCGAGGACTACCTGCTCGTAGTCGATATAAAGGTTACAATGCATTGTGAAATCTAAAGCTACGAAAGAAAGCCCAGTGATATTTCTGGGCCAGGCCAGCTTTGCTAAGTATCAACACAACGCTAGGTGGCTGTGATTGTCAGAGTTCCCCATTTTGTTAGCTACACAACAGGATAAGGAGTCTGGTGCTTGGAAGAAAATCGCCAATATACAATACCTTCAAAATTTTTATCTCCTTCCCAAGCAGGAGCTGTGACTTCGACAAGTTCTTTTTGTTAATGCTTTTTATAGCCACTTCCCAGTCCGTTTTCTGAAAAGAGGATGGAGAAATGCTTTTGAGTACAAACAAAGTGTTCTTATTTTGTAAACAGTCATGAGAAGCAAGCAGAACTGGTCTTTTTTTCTTTTTCTTTTAAAACCGTTAAGATGATTAAGATTCCTGGAAGAAGCTAGCAGACCCTTTTTTTTCCCCCACAACAACTAAGCACAACTGCCAACCCCGCCTAAGACAGTCTAAAAAAGCAAGGGGCGTTCAACCGTGGCAACTTTAAGACTTGTGGACTTCAACTCCCAGAACTGGCTGGGGAATTCTGGGAGTTGAAGTCCACAGGTCTTAAAGTTTCCAAAATTGGACTCCTTTGGTCTACAAGAATGTCAGGTTGCAAACCGTGTAAAGAGGACAATTTACAATCAGGACCACAGGCCCAAACTCTACCCACATGCAACTTAAACAGGAAATGTGGTTGCATGTCTCCAAGACAAGAATGGATCACAATAACAACTCCTTTGTAAGGATGAGAGCATCACTCACACTTTTCTTCTAGCTTTGTGCTTTTGGGAGTCAATAAGGCAGTGGTTCTCAACCTGTGGGTCGGGACCCCATTTGGGGTCGAACGACCATTTCACGGGGGTCGCCAAACAAGGCAGTCGGCCATTTTTCCCCCCTTTTCCTTAGCTGTGCTCCTCCCTTTTATTCTATTGGCTTTTGAAAGCCAATAGAACAGACTCTCTTGAATAGAGTCTAATTCTATTGGCTTTCCAAAGCCAATAGGACTTGTCCAGGCTGTCTCTGCCCTGCTGAGCCCGCCAAAAGCCCCAGTCTGCAAACGGTGCTGCACCAGTTGAGTAGTCCTCGACTTACGACCGGTTGAGTAGTCCTCGACTTACAACTGGTTGGGGGGTCGCGGCATTAAAAAGGTTGAGAACCACTGCAATAAGGCAATAAGCTTCAGCACACTCTAGACTCAGGTTCAAGGGCTTCACAGGCAAGAAGACCAGGGACCTCCTACTATGCTAGTTACTCAAGTAAAGGTACCAGACCTTATCTTGAACAGAGTGCCCAGAAGTTCCAGGTGCCCAAAATGAATCTCTCCCCCCCCCTCTCTCTCTCTCACACACACACACACAAAGAAATCCCAAGTTGTGCAGTTATCCAATTAAAAAAGGACATCTGTGAAGATATCCATAAGGCAAGCTAGTGGATTCACAGGAAAACCTCTGAGAAGAGGGACAGCTTAGGTTTGGCAGTAGGAAGAATTATAGGTAGTCCTCGACTTACAGCAGTTCTTTCAGTGACCGTTCAAAGTTACAACGGCACCGAAAAAAAGTCACTGTTTTTCAGTTAACGACCTTTCCAGCATCGCCATGACTCAGAGGTTCGGCAACTGGCTCATATTTATGATGGTTGCTGTGTCCCCAGGGCCATGGGCTCACCTTTTGCAACTTTCTGACAGGCAAAGTCAATGGGGAAGCCAGATTCACTTAACAACTGGGTTATAACTCATCAACTGAAGCAAGGAAGGTCGTAAAATGGGGCAACATTCACTTAACGAATGTCCCACTTAACAACAGAAATGTTGGTCTCATCTGTGGTCTTAAGTCGAGGACTACTTATATTTGTTAAATTTATTGGCCACCAGTCTCACCCATGGGGCTAGTCTAGGTGGCTTACAATAGTAAAAAGGAAGGAAAGGAAAGGAACCTGAAGTAACAGTGCCATAAAATAAACAATGACAGGAATACGACGTAATAACCAAGAACGGAGGTCAACACTTAACAAAACACACTCACAACAAAGAAATTCTTGCAATAAATGACAAGAAAAGAAGGGAAGGGATCCTCAACAAAATTTGAGGACCCATTTGAAATTGGCCAACTCTCCATCAGACACTCACTGGATCCTGGCAGGCAATGGGGGACAATGGGGGGGGGTTTGCTGCCCCCCTTCAACTACACATCAAAGGTCTACCACCTTTCTACCCAATCTGGGAACTTCATTCAAACATTTTGACAAGAGGTTGGCACCCTGCTGGCAGAACCCAGACTCCAAACTACAAAACCCATGCCCCTGTAATCCCCAGCCTCCTTAAAAGAGTACAGGTTTGCCATTGGTGTGGATGAAAGGGGAGCAGGCTGGGTGGGGGGCAAAAAAAAAAAAAACAGGCACTCCGAAGCTGAGATCATCCCATCCTGGCTCTGTTGGGGAAGGAAAACAAAGCTAGCAAGCCCGGGCAGCGGGCAGTACAGCAACACCCCTGCCCCCCCCCAAAAAAAAATAGGAAAGGGGGAAAAGGGAGGAAAAGCAACCATTTTGGTGGCAATACACCCAGCTTTTTTAAAAAATACACTGCTTTCCTTTCAAGGGTTTAGCCCGAAGTGTACCAAACTGCGGGAAGCTAGTTAGGAGAAGCAGGAAGACAGGGCAGCTAAAGGAGAACAGCTTCCCAGCTAAATTTGGGGATGGGGAAAAAAAAAAAGCACACACTTCAAGGCTTTCCCTCCCCAAATGGCAAGCCCTGTAAGCCCCCCAACCACCAGCAATTCAAGGGTTTAGCCCGAAGTGTACCAAGCTGCAGGAAGCTAGTTAGGAGAAGCAGGAAGACAGGGCAGCTAAAGGAGAACAGCTTCCCAGCTAAATTTGGGGATGGGGAAAAAAAAAAAAAAGCACACACTTCAAGGCTTTCCCTCCCCAAATGGCAAGCCCTGTAAGCCCCCCAACCACCAGCAAGAGAGTCCAGACCCCAATTCTCCCCTTCTCCGCCCGTACCTTGCGGTGCCGACCCTTGAAGACCACGGCAAAAGCTCCATGCCCAATCAGGTCTTTCTTGCTGTATTCAAAATCGCCCACCACCTCCATGTTCTTCAGGGGGGCATGAAGCTTGAGGGGTGGGGGACAATGCAGGGAGGAGGAGGACGAGCAGAAAGGGAAGGGCAAGCTGAAGCTCACATCAGCAGGCTGGGGGAGGAGAGGCAAGGAGGCTGGCTCTGCCTGCGTCCTGGCCACCCCCAAAGAAAGGGGGCACCTGCTGGCATGACGCTGCTGCTGCTGTTGACCTGCGGCAGGTGGTTGGGGGGCACCAGCCAGCTTCCCATAGGCAGGGGGTGTTTGCTGGCATGGGGGGGGGGAAGAGGAAAAGATGGGGAGAAGGGTGAAGCCTCTTTGGGAAAGGCAAGAGGCAAGAAGTGGCCCCTTTAACAGGCAAGCATTCAAAGGTAATTTCAGGCTGAGGGACGATGGACTAAAACCTAAATTCCTAGCCTTGGAAGGGAATGAAGAAGCATAAAGCCCACCTTATTTTTAATTTTTATTTTTAAAGGTGGGGAGTGGGATTTACGAGTAAGGAAGCCCATAAAAAGCCATATAGGAGCAAAAAGCAGATTTGCTGTCATCCAAAGCTCCCTTAAAATACGGGTTGGGAGGGGGGGGGGAGTCCCAAGCTAGTTATGACAATGCCTGGAGGGTTTTTTTTGGGGGGGGGAGTGGGAATGGAATAAAAAGGAGGCAATGACAGTTGCCCCGAGGAGGGGAAAGAGGACAGATCGCGGGGAAAAAAAACCCGTTAATACAGGAGAGATTAAGATACGGGGGGGGGGGAAGAGAGCAAAAGGATTATATTTTTTTTTCTTTTGCGAAGGGAGGCGATAAAAGGGGAATTAGGATCGTTTGTAAGGGTGGAAAGAAACGAAAATATTCCTCAAAAGCGATATCTGGCCTGAGAATTAAGGGGGGGGGAAATGGGTGAGGGAGTTCACCCCCACAGGGGTCCCTGCGCATCACCCTCTTACATCCTGGCCCCCCCACCTCTACCCCGGTTTTAGGGGGGGGGCAGGCGGCCCTTCCTGGAAGAATCGGCCGAGGCCGAAAACGAGGGGGAAAGCTGCAAGTATTGCCGAGGAGAAGGAGCGGCGGGACGAGTCCTCCGCCTTAGGCCGCCCCTCGCGTCCTCCGAGCGTAAAAGGCCAACCTTTCCCCACCGGCGTCCGGGCGCGACTGGCGAAACTTCCGCGCGGCGCAGCTATTTATATAGGGACGTCGCGCGCAGGAGCTTTTTTTTTTCCTCCCCGTCTCCCTCCGCCGGAAAAACAAGAGTGGGCGGAGCGAAGCGGGAGAAAAGGAAAAAAAAAAGAGTCCGCGCGCGGGAAAGTTTGAGGGCGAAAAGTTGCCCTAAGAGGTGGGGTGGGGGAGGGGAATGGCTGTGGGCGCCATCTTGATATTGATATTGATATATATAATAAAATTGGAGTTTAGAAAATAAGCGGTTAGAAGCCAGGCAAAAACACGCCCACCTAACCTCAAAAGAATAAACAAAAGGATGATAGGGAACTCCGCCTCCAAAGCGGTGTTCTGAGGCGGAGGTTGGCAGAAGTTGGACTTCTAAAGGAGGGAGACCTCAGTGAGGATGGGTGACCCACTTTTTCCTCGGACCCTGCTCCTCTGGCCAAGTTATTCAGCCGGCTTCTTTTGGGATGTACCCCACCTACTGCTTTCTAGAAATGGAGCTGTCCTTTCTGAAATTTTACTGTGCTAACCTAAAGTAATGTAAGATAAAATAAACTTTACTGTCATTTTTTACTGTGGGCACACATTAAAAATGACATTCTGTTGCCTACTCTCAAAAGTGTATACATGCATAACACACATATAAACATGCTATATACAACATATGTATACACCCACATCCTTACATATATATATATATATATTAATCACTGTCTACCTTCTTTAAAAAACACACACAGGTTCAGCCTATCCATACCTCATGGCTTTTCTAGGGTTCAAAGGCCCAGGTAATTAGGAACCTGATTCAAATTTATTTTGATTTATACCTATATTATTTGATTTATGTAGTCAGAGTATCCTACTCTGCAGGGGTGTTGTGCAGAAACATCCAAGCAGATGGAAAAAGAGCCACAGATGTTCTTGCAGTTTCCTTGAAAGGGTGTATCAGATTAATAAATACAGGTATATAGTTAGTCCTCGACTTACGACTACAATTGATCTCAAAATTTATATTGCTAAGCAAGATGGTTGTTAAGTAAATTTTACCCCATTTTATGATTTTTCTTTCTTGCCACTTAAGTCAATCAATCTGTTTATTACAGCCATAAGGACAGACATAATCAAAATGTAACAACAGTGACAATTTTACTTCCATATTTACAGAATATAAAACCACCAAACAATCAATGTAATATAATCAGAAATTCTCAAAATAAAACATCATATTAAAATCTTTCAGACCTTGATAATGGTGCGGCGTATTGTGCAAACGGTGGCAGAAAATTGGGCAACCTGAATTGATATTTTCGGATCCTTATCCGAAAGTAGCAACTTTAGATAAAATTCATATCCCCTACCTGGAAACGTCTTCAATATCGGATATATAAGAATCTGTCTAGAGCCGGGGTAGGCAACCTTGGCTCTTTTATGACTGGTGGACTTCAACTCCCAGAATTCCTGAGCCAGCATGGTTGCCTACGCCTGGTCTAGAGTCTTTATATAAAGAACAATGAAGCAGCATGTGGCTTAGGGTTTCTATAGAGCCATCACCACATGGACACAACCAAAAGTGCATAGGAATGCTGTTAAACTCTCCAAAAAGGATTGCCGAAGGCAACGCATCCAGCCTGGCTAAGGTGAAAGCTTTACGAAATTTCAAAATTGCAATGGAAAATAGATAAGAAGCTGGGAGATAAATAGATAATCCTTCTGGAAGCAAGTGACAAACATTGGAATGTGCCACCTTACTTAAGTTTGTTTGGAGATCAATGTAGTTATTACATTAGTGACCCCCTTTTGCGAACTTCTGACAAGCAAAGTCAACGGGGAACCCAGATTCACTTAACAACTGTGTTCCTAACTCAACAACTGTACTGATTAACTTAACAGCTGTCACAAGAAAAGTCATAAAATGGGGTACAATTCGCTTAACAAATGTCTCACTTAACAACATAATTTTGGGGCTCAATTGTGGTCGTAAATCAGGAGCACCTGCATGCCAATCCATAAACCCTGATAAATCCCAGATGTGTTTACTAATCTCAACCAAATAAAGCTTATTTCCGAAAACTTGGGAATCTTAAGATGTGTCGAGTTCAACTCCCAGAATTCCCCAGTCAGCTTCTAGGGATAGAAGTGAATTCTGGGAGTTGAAGTCCACACACCTTAAAGTTTGAGAAACACTGAAATAAAGCCTAGTATGGCTTGATGCCACATTTAAAAAGCTGTAGCATTTACTTTTTATGTGGTATGGTTGAGTTGTACAAAGGGCGTAATGCTCAGATCAATACCCTGGCGCAGTGATGGCAAACCTTTTAGAGACCGAGTGCCCAAACTGCAACCAAAACCCACTTATGCATCGTCGGCTGATGGGTGGGCGTGGCCCATTGGGTGGGTGTGGCCCATTGGGTGGGCGTGGCTGCAGTGGTAACGGCAGACTGGGTGGGACTAAAAAGTTCAATCAATCAATTCCAACTTTGCAAGATCTTTCCCCCCCCCCCGCAAGAAGTTGAAATTGATTGATTGAACCTTTTTTTTTTTTCGCACACGGCGGCGGAGGCCTAAAGCGAAAAGGTTTTATAAAAGCCAGCTGAAGGCCTAGGACTGGGGCGACGGCGCGCGTGCCCACAGAGGGTGCTCTGCGTGCCACCTGTGGCATGCGTGCCATAGGTTCGCCACCACGGCCCTAGCTAGAATCAATGACAGTGAATGTATTTTGCTGCCATGGATTTTTTAATCCCATGCCACACATACAAAATTTTCCCCAGTTCCTTATCATCCAAACATGAGCCCAGAAGCTCCTAATCCTACTTTCCTCCCTTGTGTCATGGTTCCGACAGATGAAACGCTTCAGAAGAACTTCGAGGCATTGTTTATCTTAAAGAATCTTTTATTTAAGAAACAAAGTATGGGCACTACATAGTTGAAACCAGAAACTAAATTCCCCTCCCCTGGATACAAAGTAACAAAGCACAGTTCCCTTCTCCAATAAAGTCATAAATCACATACCCCAATTAACGTGAAGCCTCGGCTTTCTCCCCAGCTCTCCAGCCCGCCAAAACTCTATCAATTCTGGGTACAATGACCTTGGGTTCCCAGGGCTGAGTTATTATTGTTGTGACTTGCTGGACTCTCATCCAGATCCCCCCTCCCAGCAGCAACTAACTCTAAAAGCGATAGAGAAAAATGGCTGCATTTCCATCTGTTGTCAAAGCAAGAACATCCGATGTTAGCAGCGTTGATGCCTTGTTTTAATTTTGTGGTACCACATCACATCTGTCAACGCTAACATTGGATGTTTTAGCACTGACAACAGATGGAGATGCAGCCATTTTCTTATTTTTGCCTTTAGAGTTATATGATGCTGGGGCGGGGGAATGTGCATGAAAGTCTAGCTAGACATAATAACCCTGTACCTAGTGTGAGAACTAAGGTTATTGAAATAAGAGATGATAAGAATTGGCAGGCTGGAGAGCGGGAAGGGAAGCCAGGGCTTTAAACTAATTGGGGAATGTGATTTATGACTATTAACTGGAGGAGGGAATTGTGCTTTTGATACTATGTGCTCAGGGGAGGGGAATTCAGTTTTTGGCTTCGATTATGTTAGTGCCGATGCTAGGCAACTTAAATAAATATTCTTTAAGGTAAACAATGCCTCGAAGTTCTTTGAAGAGTTTCATCTGTCGGAACCATGACAACATCACAGCGGTGAACAGGTATAAGATGCGATAAATTTAAATGACCTGATATGACTGCAATGTTGGCAAATACACAAAGATTCTGGATCTAGCGATGTGGAAATCTAAACAGCTAGATTTTTAAAGGTTAATAAAATAAAGGAGATCGTGGTTGATTTTAGAAAGAGCCGGCATAGCCATACTCCACTTTGCATCAAAGCTGCAGCTGTGGCGGTGGTCGATGATATTCAAGTATCTGCGGGGTGCAGATAACTAACAATCTGACTTGGTCTCTTCATACGTCACCTTTAGCGTTTGCATTTCTTGCAGGAGAGCACATCTTTCTCCTTCTGTCCTGGCCACTTTTTACAGAGGCGTGATTGAGTGTCTTTAACAAACTGCATCACTGTCTGGTTTGGTGGTAGCAGAGCCTCAGATAGAAACTCCACGCAGAGAATGGCGAGGACAGCCGAAAGGATTATAGGAAGCTCGTTTCCCGTGATCCAGGATGCTGCTTACAAGTGCTTAGAGCGCACAGCATTGTTAAAGATCCCGCACACCCACTTCAGGGTCTGTTCCCGTTGCTCCCCTCTAAGAGGAGGTTTCAAAGTATTTATAGCCAGGGCTTTTTTTCTCATAGAACGCCCAGAACGGAGTTCTGGCACCCTTTTTTGGATGGAACCCTGTAGGGTAGGCAAGGCGGGTTGTATGATGTGTGTGAATTCCGGCACCATTTTTTTTTTTTAAGAAAAAAAAGCACTGTTTATAGCAAAACTATTAGATTTTGTAACAGCTTTGCTCTTTACGTCATCCGTCTGGTAAATTTGCAGGATCCTTTTTCCCCCCCCACCATGTATACGTTCAAACTAGACTGTGATGTTTCTTTGTGTCATATGTGTGTGCGGACGGGGGTACATGCATGGTTTTTTTTGAAAGCTGAATGCAACGAAATTTCATTTTAATGTATCCTAATTAGTATACATTTAAAGTGATAATGAGGTTTCTATTCTATTCTATTCCATTTTCATTATTCTAATTCTATTCTATTCTTTCCTATTCTATTCCACTCTTTCATTATTCTGTTCTATTCCATTCCATTCTAATTCTATTCTATTTTAATTCATTATTCTATTCTAATTCTATTCTTTCCTATCCTATTCCATTCTTTCATTATTCTATTCTATTCTCTATTCCAGTGGTTCTCCACCTGTGGGTCGGGACCCCATTTGGGGCTGAACGACCATTTCACGGGGGTCGCCAAACAACACAGTCCCCCATTTTCCCCCCCTTTTCCTTAGCTGTGCTACTCCCTTTTATTCTGTTGGCTTTTGAAAGCCAATAGAATAGACTCTCTTGAATAGAGTCTAATTCTATTGGCTTTCGAAAGCCAATAGGAATTGTCCAGGCTGTCTCTGCCCTGCTGAGCCCGCCAAAAGTCCCATTCTGCAAACGGTGCTGTACCAGTTGAGTAGTCCTCGACTTATGACTGGTTGAGTAGTCCTCAACTTACGACCGGGTGGGGGGGGTCATGGCATTAAAAAGGTTGAGAACCACTACTCTATTCTATTCCATTCCATTCCATTCTAATTCTAATCTATTCTAAATGCTCTTAAGATCAAAACAAGTGAACTTTTTAGTGCAATGTGTGAACTCAAATATTAATTGCAATTTAGCAGCCTTTTAATAATCTCCTGTTCAAATACCAATCAAATCACACCTTACTGCCTGATCTTCTGAGGCTATTCTATCCAAAGAAGCAGATGGATTTTTTTCCTAAGAGGACCACATCCTTTATTTTGCTATTATTCGATCATAGTACTAACCATTACCAAAAGAGACCATTTGCTTAAATGGCTTTTAAAAAAGGACAAGAACTCCTTTTTAAAGGAGCAAATCTATGAATGGCTATTACCGGTGATCAATATTTCAATCTGCTACATCTTTATGGCTCCTGATCTCCGATACAGCTTCAAAGATGACAGGGATAATATTAATCGGGACAAAAGGTCCTTTTTTATAAGGCTTTTGCAGGACCTTAAAAGATTTAAGCTATTTTGAGACGGCAAATTTAGCCTGCCGTGAAACTTAAAAAATTAAAATGGTTTTTGCTGTGGCAAGCAACCAGCACTATCCTTTTGACATCCTAATTATTTCAAGGGTGAGTTACTCCTAGGGCACAGAGAATGATAGACAATGTATTAAAAAATGAAAGATTGAACGATATGGCAATATGGATTGGGGGGGAGGGGAATCAGGAGCCTCCAGGTTCAGGGGCAGTCTACCAAGTAGCAAGTGAGCAATAGCAAGGGACCAATAAGGGTCAATAGGCAATCAATCTGATCCCCAAAAGCTTTTCTGAACATTTTTAGGCGATGCTTACATCTTTTAGCAACTCCTCCAATTCTCAGCACTTCCCTTCCAAGTCTTTGCAACTGTGAGGAAGGCCAGTTTTATTGCCGTGGGCTAATTTAAAAAGCTGTGTGTTGGCAGTCCTCCAGTTACGACCATTTCCTTGGTGACTGTTCAAAGTTATAATGGGCCCCCCGAAAGATACTTACAGGTAGTCCTCTACATTTAGGCAAGAAAAAACAAATGTACAGGTATACTAGGTGGTACCTTGTTCAATAGCAGCAACTGTGAGAGGGATCTCGGAGTCCTAGTGGACAATCACTTAAATTTGAGCCAGCAGTGTGCTGCAGCTGCCAAAAAAGCCAACACAGTGCTGGGCTGCATGAACAGAGGGAGAGAATCAAGATCACATGAAGTATTAATACCACTTTACAAGGCCTTGGTAAGGCCACACTTGGAATACTGCATCCAGTTTTGCTCACCGTGATGTAAAAAAGATGCTGAGATTCTAGAAAGAGTGCAGAGAAGAGCAACAAAGATGATTAGGGGACTTGAGGCTAAAATATATAAGGAACGGTTGCAGGAATTGGGAAAGTCTAGTTTAATGAAGAGAAGGACGAGGGGGGACATGATAGCAGCCTTCCAGTATCTCAGGAGCTGCCCCAAAGAAGAGGGAGTCAAGCTATTCTCCAAAGCGCCTGAAGGCAGGACAAGAAGCAAGGGATGGAAACTAATCAAGGAGAGAAGCAACCTAGAACTAAGAAGAAACTTCCTGACAGTTAGAACAATTAACCAGTGGAACAACCTGCTTCCAGAAGCGGTGAATGCGCCATCACTGGAAGTTTTTAAGAAGAAACTGGACAGCCATTTGTCCAAAATGGTATAGGGTTTCCTGCCTGAGCAGGGGGTTGGACTAGATGACCTCCAAGGTCCCTTCCAACATTATTATTATTATTATTATTAAGCATTTTTAAAAAACTTATTTAACTATTAACTTTGCAAAATATCAGCTTTTTCGTGTGTGTTAACTGAATAAGAAGTTATTTGGCATTCAGGAAAAGATGGGGGGACATCTTGTGGCAAAATTTGGCGTAGCAACTAGAATTCTTTTTTTTAAGTGTGCTTGTTGATCACTTTGCTTTGTCCTTCATAGTATCAAAAAAAAAGATAAGATGTAGAAGCAGCTGTGGTGACAATAATTCTTACAAATCATGGAGGTGGACAATAGCTGAGTCTTACTAAACATAACCTCCACTAAAGGACTATCTTTAATCACCATGGAAATGGATGAATCCTATCCACAACTTAATTACAAATTTATCCTTGAGAAAAATCCGTGAAGCAACAGAGCTAATCATTTTGGGAGTGAAAACCAAAGACATTTTTACAAAACTACAAATTGAACCTCAGACTCAAACTGATCAACCTGTAACCCTAAAAATAAAAGAAGATCAACAATTGAACATTAAAGAAGACTTCATACAACATGCACAAATGGCTGAGAACTTTGTCGTTCAATCACTGACTTTAACTACAGCACCTGTAACTCCAAAAGCAAAGAACTTAGACATTTTAGATAACCAAACAACAACAACACTGGATATGACTCTCTATTCTACTCAGATGAAATCGCAAGAAGAGGACCAGACTACTGATCTGACTACAAATACCCTAAACCAGACATGTCAAACGAAGAGAAGGACAAGGGGGGACATGATAGCAGTATTCCAATATTTCAGGGGCTGCCATAAAGAAGAGGGAATCAAGCTATTCTCCAAAGCGCCTGAAGGCAGGACAAGAAGCAACGGGTGGAAACTCATCAAGGGGAGAAGCAGCCTAGAACTAAGGAGAAACTTCCTGACAGTGAGAACAATTAATCAGTGGAACAGCCTGCTTCCAGAAGCAGTAAATGCTCCAACAGTGGAAGTTTTTAAGAAGAGACTGGGCAGCCATTTGTCCGAAATGGTGTAGGGTTTCCTGCCTGAGCAGGGGGTTGGACTAGATGACCTCCAGGGTCCCTTCCAACTTTACTACTACTATTATTATTATTATTATTAAGGCTGGATCCGGCCCGCGAAGTGGTTTCATGTGGCCTGCGAAGCCATCCTGGAAACAGTGAGGGAACAGGCCAGCTGGGAGCCAATGTACAATTTTGTGGTGGCCATCTATGCTGAAACGCATTCAGTCTTAGCTCCACAAGGCCGTCTGAAAACAGCGAGGAACCGGCCCCTGCCATGTCGGCCCCACCCCTGGGTGCATGCTGGGGAGGGGTCACCCTTTGTGAGAAATGAAGAAATGGACCATGCCTTGGCGCTTGCCCTGGTCCCCCCCCCATTCTTCCAGAGACCCTCAGATCTGTCCCACTCCTGCCCAGGCCCCCACAGGCACCCTTGATGCGAACGATGTAGAGCTGGCCATGCCCATCCAGTAGGCCACCCCCACTCCATCCACACCCACCCAGTAGGCTGCACCCACCCTGGCCACCCCCCCCCCCGAGGGCAACCGCAATGCTGATGCGGCCCTCAATGAAATTGAGTTTGACACCCCTGCCCTAAACCAAACATGGAGATTCGAATTATTAGGGCAAGAACTTAACAATTACCAAGGGGCCAGTTCTTTTGAAAGACTGATAACTGGACGTTCTCCAGTTGATTCAAACAACAGGTGTAGGAATGAAGGGAGATGCATCCAAAGTTTTAGAGGCACTGGCATGGAAACCTACTTGGCACAAAAGGAAAGCCAGAGTCAGATTTAAAAATGGGATTTAGAAATCTACTGAATGGGTAAAAGCAGCCTTTTAGAGATAATGTTTTTTTTTTAATATTTAGCACTTAGATTTATAATGGGAGTTAAAATGAACTGTTAGACTACAACTTTAATTGTAACGTGGAAATAGATTTGTGATAATGAAAGGTATTTTGTTATTAAAGGAGGCGTTATTAGAATGAGAATTAGAATATATTGGTCTATAAAGAAGGTAAACGTTGGAATAATATGTGTATTTTAGTTATGTTAATTATATTATAATGAAATGAGGGAAATCAAGGTTATCCGATGTTTAAACACTGGGTATAAAAGGCTAAATTGGAATATATAAATTGGAATTAAAAAAAAACCCTCTAAACAGGACTTGGATATATATAAGTAAAATACTATTGATAAATCTACTGATTGATTGAGCTTAGTTAGAAACTTATTAACATGAATATGATATATTTATGGGAAACAGTGAGGGAATGTTAATGATGTAACCTGAGATATATAAGAATGATTTTGTTATTGACCGATTTCCCTAGCACCACGCTGCTTCCTAAGTATCTAGATGTTAAAATTTGAAAAATTAATAAAACTTGTTTTAAAAAAAATTCTATTCTATTCTTATTCTAATCTTATTGTATTGTTTTATTCTATTCTATTCTATTCATTCTATTCTATTCTATTCTTATTCCATTCTGCATTCTCTTCTCTTCCATTCCATTCTATTCTGCATTCTTCATTCCATCTATTCTATTCTATTCTATTCTGTTATTCTTTCATCATTCTATTTTATTCTATTCTATTCTTATTCCATTCCATTCTGCATTCTCTTCTCTTCTATTCCATTCTATTCTGCATTCTTCTCTTCCATTCCATTCCATATATTCTATTCTATTCTATTCTATTCTATTCTATTCTATTCTATTCTATTCTATTCTATTCTATTCACGGCCACTAAACGAATGGTTGTAAGTTGAGGACCACTTGTATAATACAACTTTCCTCCTTACAGCCATAATGCAAGAGAACTCACTGGATGGGAGAGAAACAGGGTTATCCCAAAACAACAAGCAACACCCATGCTTAACCATCATGCACCTTGACAACAAAGTTGCTCGCCCCGGGACGTTAAGTGAGAACTACCTGTATTTTCTGTATCGCTGCTAATAGATTTTGATTTAAAAACCGGAGATGTGACTTAAAAGGATATAATTAAAGAAATATTATCTGCAAAAAAACCCACCCCACATTGCAGCATACAGTAATCCTATCCTAACTGCTCCAGATTTCCCGCCAGTCTCCATCCTTCTTTGGGCGACCTCCATTCCATCTTTGCTTCTTCATTTTTATCAAACTTTAGTCAAAATTGTGGCTATCTTGTGCTATATCTTCAGTTCCTCCTTGAATTTTTTTTCTGGTGGTTTTTCGGTCGTCCTGGATAATTCTCTCTCTCCCTCTTTTTTAAAAGTGATCTAAATATTTAAGTTCAGCCAAGCCTGAACGAAACCTTCATTTCGTTTGTCAAGAGTCCCAATTGTTCTATACTCATCTCAGAGTTTGCTATTAGAGGGAATGAGATATTGATATCCATCTTATTGACGGGCGTCCAAAGCAAGGGAATGGTGGCTTGTGCCTGACCAGCATAGGTCATTACTCAAGGTGAAACGTGATCTGAAAGTCTTCCTGCTTGCGCTGTAGCATCCAGGTTGATATTAACGTGGATGAAAATATTCAGTATAGTGTTCCAGTGTTCAATATAAAAGGAAGCTCCCTGCAAGTATTCTGCACACAATGGCCCCAATCTCAACCCCCCCCAAATCTTCCCTAAAACAGGAGGAGGAGGAGACCACAGTTAGGGTCAGAAAAGAATTTTAAAAAGTTGATCTTCAGTCCTTCTGCTATCGTCTCCATCTGTTGGAAAGAAAAGGAAAAAAAAAGCTTAATAACTTTGGTCTTGAGGTCCACACATTGGAAAACTGCCAAGGTTGAGAAAAATTGGATTAGAGTAATGCCAGAAGGGAGTGGGGTTTGTAGGGGGGGGGGGGAGGAGGAGGAGGATGACGACTGTGGGCATCCTTGGTGCTCTCTGAGCCTGGTTGTTTTCTTGCGGACATTTCATGACCCAGCTGGGTAACATCATCTGTGCAAGTAGGGAGTGGGGTTTGCAGAGTGGAGGAAGAGGAAGGGGGAAGAGGAGGAGGAGGAGGACTATGACAACTGTAGGATCCTTGGTGGTCTCTAAGCTTGGTGATTTTCTTGCAGACGTTTCTTTACCCAACTATGTAACATCATCAGTATTACAAGGGAATAGAGTTCACTCTCTGTTTATGTACAAGCGCCTGGCTTCCTCAGTGTTGCTGGGAGTGTTCTTGGTGGTTCTTTAATTAGGCTGTTGTTTAATTAGGGCAAGTCACGTGTGTAAACAGAGAGAGGCCAAACCTTCCTCCCTTCTAGCATTGATGATGTTGTCTAGTTGGGTAATGCAACGTCTGGAAGAACCCAGGTCAGGGATGAACAAGGACTACTACTACTACTACTACTACTACTACTACCACTACTACTACTACTACCACCACCACCACCACCACCACCTCCTCTTCTTCTTCTTCTCCTTCTCTTCCTCCCCTCCTCTTCTTCTTCTCCTCCTCCTTCTTCTCTTTCTCCCCTTCCCCTTCTTCTTCTTCTTCTTCTTCTTCTTCTTCTTCTTCTTCTTCTTCTTCTTCTTCTTCTTCTTCTTCTTCTTCTTCTTCTTCTTCTTCTTCTTCTTTTCTTCTTCTTCTCCTCCTCCTCCTTCCTCTTCCCCCTCCCCTCCTCTTCCTCCTCTTCCTCCTCCTCTTCTTCTTCCTTCCTCTCCTCCTCCTCCTCCTCCCTTTGTCCTTCTCCTCACCACAAACCCCTGTCCTTTCCAGCACTGATGACATTACCTAACTGGGTAATGAAACGTGAGCAAGAAACCTCAAAGATCACCAGGGAGCCCATAGTTCCCCACTTCCTCCTCCTCAGACCCCACAGTTCAACCCGAGCTACAAATATTCTCTTCTATGGGTAAATATTTATACCCTATAAAACATTTTAAAATAGATTAGACAGGAGAGGCAGGAACCACAGAAGCTAATTGTGTATTAAGAGTCGAGTCAATTGGATTGGTGGCTGTAGAAACAAATAAATAAAACCCCAAAGGTCCTTTTTCCAGGAGGCCACTGGACTTTCTTTGTTTTTTTCTTTGAAGACGTTTCGCTTCTCCTCCAAGAAGCTTCTTCAGCTCTGACTGGATGGTGGGGAATGGAAGGATTTATACTCCTTGCAAACAGCCGGTCATTTGCCTCCTTTTAGATCAGTGGTTCTCAACCTTTTTAATGCCGCGACCCCCAACTGGTCGTAAGTCGAGGACTACTCAACCGATCGTAAGTCGAGGACTACTCAACTGGTGCAGCACCGTTTGCAGAACGGGACTTTTGGCGGGCTCAGCAGGGCAGAGACAGCCTGGACAATTCCTATTGCCTTTGGAAAGCCAATAGAATTAGACTCTATTCAAGAGAGTCTATTCTGTTGGCTTTCAAAAGCCAATAGAATAAAAGGGAGTAGCCCAGCTAAGGAAAACGGGGGAAAAAATGGCGGACTGCGTTGTCTGGCGACCCTCGTGAAATGGTCGTTCGGCCCCAAATGGGGTCCCGACCCACAGGTTGAGAACCGCTGATTTAGATCCTTCTATTCCCCACAATCCCAGTCAGAGCTGGAGAAACGTCTTCAGAGAAAAACAAGAAAGTCCAGTTGCCTCCTGAAAAAACACCTTTGGGACAACTACAACCTGAAGGGCTGAGAATCTCCATATACGTGAATAAAGAAAGAAAAGAAAATGTGCATAAAATTACATGTGCAAACTCTAGCAGATGTGGCAAGGCCTGGGACGTCCTCCGCCTCTAGCGATATTTGAATTTGACTATCTTAATAAAACTCTGGTGCTGGAGAAGACTCCTGCGAGTCCCCTGGACTGCAAGGCGACCCAACGGGTCAGTCCTGGAGGAGATCAACCCCGACTGCTCTTTAGAAGGCCAGATCCTGAAGTGGAAACTCAAGTCCTTTGGCCACCTAATGAGAAGGAAGGACTCACTGGAGGAAGGGCCTGATGCTGGGAAAGATGGAGGGCAAGAGAAGAAGGGGACGACAGAGAAGGAGGTGGCTGGATGGAGGGGAGGGTCCGGTTTCCTTGGAGCACCCCTTAAAGACTGTGAAAGTTGGACCATAAGAAAGGCTGAGCGCCAAAGAATGGAGGCCTTTGAACTCTGGTGCTGGAGAAGACTCCTGTGAGTCCCTTGAACTGCAAGGCAATCCAACCGGTCAGTTCTGGAGGAGATCAACCCTGCCTGCTCTTTAGAAGGCCAGATCCTGAAGTTGAAACTCAAGTACTCTGGCCACCTAATGAGAAGGAAGGACTCCCCGGAGAAGAGCCTGATGCTGGGAAAGATGGAGGGCAAGAGAAGAAGGGGATGACAGAGAATGAGGTGGCTGGATGGAGTCCCTGAAGCAGGAGGCGTGAGCTTCAATGGACTCCAGAAGATGGTAGAGGACAGGAAGGCTGGAGGAACGTTGTCCATGGGGTCGCGATGGGTCGGACACAACTTTGCAACTAACAACAACAATAAAACAACACAGAGGAAGTGGGGGGGGAGGGGGAAGCTTACATCCGGAGGCATTTGTCCTTCCCTCCACTTGCTACTCGTTGGCCATCAGGACTCCAGTCCACCGCAAACACCTGGGAAAGGAATATATCACAAAAGCAGATCAACCCTTGCAATAAAGAGGCTGAAACAACTTTAAACTGGACCCCTGCCTCCCCATCCCCCAAACAAGGGAGAAAACAGGAAATTTGTTTCTCAAAGACCTCCTTTGTGAAATTTCAAACCCATCTTGAGGACTAGAAAATTGATACCACTCAATCGCTGCTCATTTGCCATCCAGGAAAACAGCCTGTAAAAGAAGGCTGGGTACAATACAACGCAGTCTACACAATCCTACCCCTCACTGGTTGTTCCCCAGATCAGTGTTTCTCAACATCAGCAATTTTAGGAAGAATGGCTTTTGATTCTCAGAGTTTCCCAGCCAGCCATGCTTTAAGATGGGTGGATTTCATCTCTCATAATTCCCCAGCCAGCATGCATTAAGAGGGGTGGGCTTCCACTCCCAGAATCCCCCAGCCAGGCAGGCTTTAAGAGGGGTGGGCTTCCATTCCCAGAATCCCCCAGTCAGCCTGCTTTAAGATGGGTGGACACCCCATATCTAAGGGAATTTCTGGAAATTGAAGTCCATATACAGTATTTCAAAGTGGTTGAGGTGAGAAACACTGTTCAAGAGCAGGGGGTCTTCCAACTTGGCCCTTTTATAATAATAATAATAATGATAATGATAATAATAATAATAATAATAATAATAATAAAGTTGGAAGGAACCTTGGAGGTCATCTAGTCCAACCCCCTGCTCAGGCAGGAAACCTATACCAGTGGTTCTCAATCTTTTTATACCGGCAACCCCGGTCATAAGGAGGCGGCGCGCATGCGCGGCAGCGCCCCCTGCGCAGCACGCATGCACGGCGGCGCCCCCTGTGCGGCACGCATACGCGGTGGCGCCCCCTGCGCGGCACGCATGCGCGGCGGCGCCCCCATGCACCGCCCCGAGTGGTGCCCCTGCGCGGCAGCGCCCCTGCGCGACGGCGCCCCCTGTGCCGGCTGAGGAAAAAAAATGGCGGACTGCGTTGTTTGGCGACCCCTGTGAAATGGTCGTTCAACCCCAAATGGGGTCCTGACCCACAGGTTGAGAACCACTGCCCTATACCATTTTGGACAAATGGCTGTCCAATCTCTTCTTAAAAACCTCCAGTGTTGGCGCATTCACCGCTTCTGGAGGCAAGTTGTTCCTGAGCATTGCTGGCTGAGGGATTCTGGGAGTTGAAGTCCACAAGTCATAAAAGGGCCAAGTCTGAAGACCCTTGTTCTAAATGATGAGGACAAACCCCATCCTTCTTCCAGCCACCTTATGTCGTTGCAGGCACCCCAAGACAATCCGAGATGGGGGAGACCAGCCATACCTCATCCGCGTGTCCAGGCAGGTCAACGGCCAACTTCTGCGTCTTGGTGTCCCACACTTTGAGGGTGCTGTCGCTGCTTCCGCTGACCAAGAGACGGCTGTCTGCCGACCACGCAATCTGGTACACGGCTGAGACGTGTCCACGCAGGGACGTGAGATACCTGCGGTCAGAAAAAGCTAGTTACGGTGGGGATTGCACGCTCCCCTCATTTTCCCAAGTCTCCCTGTTTTTATTTTCTTATTGCAGGCAGTCCAAACTTACAACCATTTCTTTAGTGACCGGCTTGAACAGTTTTCAGTTAATTTTATGAATGAATTCATCTTAACTCAAATTGAAATTAATCCATTAATGTACATACTCCCAGAATTCCCCAACCAGCCGGCTTTAAGAGGGCTGGACTTCCATCCCAGAATTCCCTAGCCAGCCTGCTTTAAGAGGGGTGGACTTCCACTCCCAGAATTCCCCAGCCAGGATGCTTTAAGAGGGCTGGACTTCCATCCCAGAATTCCCTAGCCAGCCTGCTTTAAGATAGGTGGACTTCCACTCCCAGAATTCCCCAGCCAGGATGCTTTAAGATGGATGGACTTCAGTTCCCAGAATTCCCCAGCCAGCCTGCTTTAAGAGGGGTGGACTTCCACTCCCAGAATTCCCCAGCCACCTGGCTGAAGAATTCTGGGAGTTGAAGTCCACAAGTCTTAAAATTGCCAAGCTTGGAGACCCCTGAACAAGAACACATCCTGAACACAAGGCATCACTCCAGAAACATCCTCCAGAAAAACCACAGCATCCATCTCACTACATCTGGATCGATGTGGTCCAGAGAAAGGAAGGACAATCTCCAGAACGTTCCAGAAGGAAGAAGAAAAAAAATCCCAACCTACTTCCCGGTCCGTCCATCCCAAAGCTTGATTGACTTGTCGAAAGATGCGCTGGCAATGGTGCGGGTATCAGGGGAGAAGAAGACCTGATTGATCAGTGCTTGATGGCCTGTCATTCTGGTCAAGGGCTTCTTATCTTCTGCCGGAAGCCAAAGGAACAAGGTGAAGTCATCTGATCCAGACACCAGCCTTTCCGGTCCTTGGCCCTGGGGAAGAAAAGACCCCCCCCCCCAAAAAAAAGGGTTATGAAATTGAAGGCAACCCTCCTAACAGCTACTTGGATCTTGGAGTCCCAGTGGACAAACACTTAACTATGAGCCAGCCATCTACTGCAGCTGCCCAAAAAGCCAACCCAGTGCTAGGCTGCATTAACAGAGGGAGAGAATCAAGATCACGTGAAGAGTTAATACCAGTTTACAAGGCCTTGGTAAGGCCATACTTGGAATACGGCATCCAGTTTTGGTCACCACGATGTCAAAAAGATATTGAGACTCAGAGAAGAGCAACAAAGATGATTAGGGGACTGGAGGCTAAAACATATAAGGAACAGTTGCTGGAATTGGGTATGTTTCGTTTAATGAAGAGAAGGACGAGGGGGGGACATGATAGCAGCGTTCAAGTATCTCAGGGGCTGCCCCAAAGAAGAGGGAGTCTAGCTGTTTTCCAAAGCACCTGAAGGCAGGACAAGAAGCAACAGATGGAAACTAATCAAGGAGAGAAGCAACCTAGAACTATGGAGAAACTTCCTGACAGTGAGAACAATTAACCAGTGGAACAACCTGCCTCCAGAAGGGGTGAATGCTCCAACACTGGAAGTTTTTAAGAAGAGACTGGATAGCCATTTGTCCGAAATGGTATAGAGTTTCCTGCCTGAGCAGGGGGCTGGACTAGATGACCTCCAAGGTCCCTTCTAACGTTGTTGTTGTTATTATTTTGTTTAGCAACTGAAGTTCTGTGGTCATAGATCAAGCACTGCCTCTATTCCACATGGAGATTGGCAGCAAAATGATTACGTGGAATATTCCGATTTAAAGATCTACCCAGCCAGCTGGTTCAGTCTAATCCAGTGTTTCTCAACCTTGGCAATTTTAAGGCATGTGGACTTCAACTCCCAGAATTCCACAGCCAGCACTGGTCTAATCCCTTCTAAAAGTAAGATTCATAGTCATAAATTTAATTTGAATCTCACTCTCCTTTGTAGCCTTCAGACATACACACACAGACACACACACACAGACACACACACACACACACACACACACACAACATTTTTAGGCGAATTCCGGTAAGATGGCAATGTAGGAGGCTGCATGAACAGAAGGTCCATCCGATAATTTTAAAATGTGTTCTAAAAACATATTGCACAGCAGCTATTTTTTTTTTAACTGAAGCACGCAGCTATCATGATCAGCTGTGGTCTGACTGAGACAAGCTAGGTTTACTGCAGAAGTAAGTCAAATCACACAAAGAACGCAAAACAATTTTGGAAGACCTGCCCATCTTAAATATCCAATGTCCAGTGGCAAAAAATTAAAAAAATAAAAATAAAAATAAATCTGCGATTCTTACCCTGATCTGATTGTATCTCAATAGTGCGTTTTGCTTGATCTCTGCCACTGTTGAAAAAGCAAAGCAAAGCATAAATAGGATGTGTGGACATTACAGGTAGTTCTTGCATTAACGACGGTCATTAATTGGATAAGATAACCTTAATTGTCATTTATCTGCATGCACAATGACACACGTTAAATAAAATTCCAAACGTCCCGTTCTCAAAACAAGGAGTACCACCCACCAAACAATGTCATCATCCCAAGGACGACAATAACAACATAATAGCAGCAGCCACCACCCAAAATGCCAAGTTATATAAAAATGACACCAAAAACTAATCGGAGTCCATTTCGAATACATAGCTGAAAAACGAGTCTTGAGAGTTAACACGGTTGATGCTATATGGAACACACCTGTTACTAAATCTGGTTGTTCAGGGGCTAAGTAATGTGTTCACAAAGCATGATGTCTCGTGACTGCCTCTCTTAGCGACGACAATCCCAGCAGTCCCTGTTGCGGTCGGTTAAGCAAGGACGGTGGGCGGTTAAGCGAAGAGCTCCTTGCAATTTCCCGATGGCTTCCCCAATGCAAAGTCATTGGGGAAGCCGGCAGGAAATTGCAAGTCCCAGCAGTCTGAAAGCAGACCGCAGGGCAGTGAGTGGTTGCTACTGGGCAAGAGATGGTGTATGAGTGGCAGAGGAGGGTGTGCCGATGGCTGGCATGGCAGAAGCGCCAAGGAGCCGGGAGAGGGTCCACGAGTGGGGAGACTTATCCATGCGCCTTGCAACCTTCCCTGCTGGCTTCCCCATTGGTGTTGCCTTTAGAAAAACAGCAGGGAAGGTTGCAAATGGCGATTATGCGGTCTTAGGCTGGGGAATTCTGGGAGTGGAAGTCCATCCATTTAAAGCATGGCTGGCTGGGGCGTTCTGGGAGTTGAAGTCCACCCCTCTTAAAATCCCCAAGGTTTGAGAAACACTGAACAAGGAAACTCAAAAGCGCCAGATGCTCTTACGTGATCCGCTCACATCCTGGGGGTTGATAGAAGCTTTGGCGGGCTCAAAGGCTCCTGTCCGGAGGACATAATCCGTGCTGAGCGCCATGGTGTTGACCCAATGGGCGTGGCCCTGCAAGGTGCGGCACAGGATGCCCTGAGGAGGACCAAAACGCAAGGCCTCAATCCCTTCTTTCCTTCATTTTGTAGAGAGACCCCCTTTATCTGAAAAGATGCTAAGCCAATGGTGGCGAATCTATGGCACGGGTGCCAGAGGCGGCACTCGGAGCCTTCTCTGTGGGCACATGCGCCGTCGCCCCAGTCCTAGGCCTTCATCTGGGTTTTATAAAACCTTTTTGCTTTATGCCTCCACCGCCGTGTGCAAAAAAAAAAAGGTTCAATCAATCAGTCAATTTCAACTTCTCGCGGGAAAAAAAAAGATCTCGCAAAGTTGGAATTGATTGATTGAACTTTTTAGTCCCACCCAGTCTGCTGTTACCACTGCAGCCACGCCCACCCAATGGGCCACACCCACCCAATGGGCACCCCCACCAATGGGCCACACCCACCCAATGGGCCATACCCACCCAATGGGCACCCCCACCCAATGGGCCACACCCACCCAATGGGCCATACCCACCCGGCACCTGACAATGGATAAGTGGGTTTTGGGTTGCAGTTTGGGCACTCGGTCTCTAAAAGGTTCTCCATCATTGTGCTAAGCCCTCCAAATGTGGTTGCTATCTGGACCTCCCAGGGGAGGAGACAGGAAATACCACTTGGCCTAGTGCAGTGGTTCTCAATCTTTTTAATGCTGCGACCCCCAACCAGTCGTAAGTCGGGGACTACTCAACCGGTCGTAAGTCGAGGACTACTCAATGGGTGCAGCACCGCTTGCAGAATGGGACTTTTGGCGGGCTCAGCAGGCAGAGACAGACTGGACAATTCCTGTTGGCTTTTGAAAGCCAATAGAATTAGACTCTATTCCAGAGAGTCTATTTCAAAAGCTAATAGAATAAAAGGGAGTAGCACAGCTAAAGAAAGGGGGAAAAAAATGGCGGACTGCGTTGTTTGGCGACCCCCGTGAAATGGTCGTTCGACCCCAAATGGGGTCCTGACCCACAGGTTGAGAACCACTGGCCTAGTGGTTAAGACACTTCCCATTAATGGGGAGAACACAGAGAAGATTGAAATTAATAAAGGAGTAAGACAGGGATGTCCAATGTCACCTCTACTTTTTATTCTAACGTTAGATGTGCCATTAACTCAAATTAGAATGAACAAAAAGATAAAAGGATGAAAGGTTAAAACAGAAGAATATAAGACATAGGCATTTGCAGATGATTTGGTGTTTTTTTTTTTATAGAGGAACCATTAGAACAGTGGTTCTCAACCTTTTTAATGCTGCGACCCCCAACCGGTCGTAAGTCGAGGATTACTCAACCGATCGTAAGTTGAGGACTACTCAACTGGTGCAGCACCGTTTGCAGAATGGGACTTTTGGCGGGCTCAGCAGGGCAGAGACAGCCTGGACAATTCCTATTGGCTTTGGAAAGCCAATAGAATTAGACTCTATTCAAGAGAGCCTCTTCTATTGGCTTTCAAAAGCCAATAGAATAAAAGGGAGGAGCACAGCTAAGGAAAAGGGGGAAAAAATGGCGGACTGCGTTGTTTGGCGACCCCCGTGAAATGGTCGTTCAACCCCAAATGGGGTCCCGACCTACAGGTTGAGAATCGCTGCATTAGAAAGAGGTAATATTTTGATGAATGAAATAGAAAAATATGGGACAGTGGCAGGACTAAAAATTAACAAAGAAAAGACCAAAATGTTAGTTAAAAATTTAACTAAAAAAGGAGATTAGAAGAAAATTTGGGATTGCAAATTGTAAAAAAGATGAAATATTTAGGAATTTGGCTCACTGTAAGATGTTCTTCAATAAAAGAAGATAATTATAGAAAATTGACACTACAAATGAAAAAAGATTTAGAGATTTGGGGAAAACTACAATTAATATTGTTAGGAAGGATTTCTGGGATCAAAATGAATATTCTACTAAAATTATTATATCTATTTCAAAGAGCTCCAATAAAATTGGGAAATTTTTTTTTTGACGATTTAAACAAAATGATTAATAAATTCATATGGTTAGGCAAAAAAGCACGAATAAATGTTAAAGTGTTACAGGATAGTAGAAGTAGAGGTGGCCTTGGGCTTCCAAAATGGGAAACTTATTACCAAGCAGTGGGGTTGCTTTGGATTAGTGATTGGATAAATTTAGAAAATAAAAGGATTCTAACAACTGAAGGTCATGATTTACCGGCTGGTTGGCATGCTTTTTTAGGGGGAAAAGATAAGAAGTCCCACACATACTTTTACCTACACCAGATAAGAGATGCATCAATTTGGACATGGGAAAAAGTAAAAAAAAAAAAAACATTATACGAAAATTCCAAATTGGACCTCAGCGATGGAGGCAATGATTCACCCAAACACACGGGATAAAACAAAGATGATAAGGTACAAAGAATTATTAGACAATCAAGGGAATCTTAGATCAAGGGAGGAATTAAAAGAACAGGGAATAATTATCGATTGGTGGCCATATTTACAGATACAATCAAAATATAGCAAAGATATGGAAGAGTATGGAATAAGTTGGATAGCACAGCAAGTGGACAAAATATTGACAAGCAAGAGAGGAAAATTTTTAACAAAAACCTATACATTTTTATTAGAAGTTGAACTGGAAGAAGAAATAGTAAAGGGTCCAATGATAGAATGGGCACGAAATATAAGTAGAAATATAAAATTAGATGAATGAGTATGGAACAAAAATTGCAAACTAACATTGTCAACCGCATACAAAGAAAACCAATATAAAATGTTCTATAGATGGCATTTAGCACTGGCGAGATTGGCTAAGATATATAAAAATATGAATCCGGACTGTTGGAAATGTAAAAATAAAGAGGGAACATTTTATCATATGTGGTGGCAATGCCCCAAAACAAAGACTTATTGGGAGCAGATAAGGAGATGGATCCAGGAAATAACAAAAGAACAAATTGAACTTAAACCCAAAATATTCCTATTAGGCATAATCAATCCAAAGATGGAAAAACAACTTCAATACATCATTATACACATAATAACTGCTGCACGCATTGCATATGCGCAATGCTGGAAAAGGGAAAATATACCAACAAATGTAATGATTATTTATAAGATATTAGAACAGGGGTTCTCAACCTTGGCAACTTTAAGACTTGTGGACTTCAACTCCCAGAATTCCTCAGCCAGCTTTGCTTTGCTGGCTGAGGAATTCTGGCAGTTGAAGTCCACAAGTCTTAAAGTTGCCAAGGTTGAGAACCCCTGTACTAGAATGTGCTGAGATGTATAAACTTACTCTAGAAATAAAAGACAAAGAAGTTACAGAATTTTATCAGATATGGGACAAGTATTACAATTGGTTAGAATTGAGGAATAAAAAAGTATGAGAAGTAATGTAAATAAGTGTAAATAAATGTAAGAGATATAGGACATAGTATTGTTAAGAAAAAAGAAAAATGTACTTTGTATTTTGTTTTTTGTAAAGAGAAAAAGAAAAAAAAAATAAAATTTTAATAAATAAATAAATAAATAAAATAAAAAAAGACACCAGATGAGAAAGCAGGAGACGGTAAGTTCTAGTTCTGCTTTAGACATGAAATCAGCTGGGTGACTATTGGTCAATGACCAGGAGACGGTGAGTTCTAGTTCTCATTTAGAGATGAAAGCCAGCTGGGTGACTTTGGACCAATCACCAGGAGACTGTGAGTTCTAGTCCTGCCTTAGGCATGAAAGCCAGCTGGGTGACTTTGGGCCAATCCGCAGGAGACGGTGAGTTCTAGTGCCGCCTTAGGCATGAAAGCCAGCTGGGCGACTTTGGGCCAATTATGAGGAGACTGGGAGTTATAGTCCCGTCTTAGCTATGAAAGCCAGCTGGGTGACTTTGGGCCAATCCGCAGGAGATGGTGAGTTCTAGTGCCGCCTTAGGCATGAAAGCCAGCTGGGTGACTTTGGACCAATCACCAGGAGACAGTGAGTTCTAGTCCTGCCTTAGGCATGAAAGCCGGTTGGATGACTTTGGGCCTGTCACTCTGTCTCAGCCCCACCCACCTCATAGGGTTGTTGTTATAGGGAGGAAGGTGTGTTGGTCATAATAATTTGAGTTATTTGACAATATAATAAAAGTGGGACGCAAACAAATATATAAAACAGTAATAAATAAATTGCCTTGCCTGGCTGGCCAACCCAAACAATGATGGGGACACCATGCAGACTTGGAAAAAAGGGAAGAGGGGCTAACATATTTTTTATTTTATTTATTCAATCTGTGGGCTCCCCGATTCCCCACAACTGAGTGACTTACATCTTGGGCTCTCCAGACTTTGATGGTGCGGTCTTGTGAAGAGGAATACAGCAAGCCGTCCCCTCCCCACCGGAGGCAGGTGACCGACTGAGTGTGGCTGGTGAGGATCTTGTCGCAGCGGCCAGCGACTGTGTCCCAGATTCGAACGCTGCCATCTTTGGAAGAGCTGGCTAAATAGCGACACTCGGGGCTCCTGAAGGCAGAGTTAAAAAGAGAGAGAGAGAGAGGGAGAGGGAGAGAAAGAGAGAGAGAGACATGGGTGGGTGGATGGACGGATAAGAGATAGATGATAGATGGACAGACAGAGGATAGGATAGAATAGACAGGCGGATAGATAGATAGATAGATAGATAGATAGATAGATAGATAGATAGACAGATAGATACAGATGGATGGACAGATAAGAAATAGATGATAGATGAACACAGATGGGATAGAATAGAATAGAATAGACATATAGAGACAGATGATAGACAGATAGATGGACATAGAGATGACAGACAGACAGACGGACGGACAGATAGATAGATACAGATGGATGGATGGACGGATAAGAGATAGATGATAGATGGACACAGACGGGATAGAATAAATAGATAGATAGATAGATAGATAGATAGATAGATGATAGACAGATAGATGGACATAGAGATGACAGACAGATAGACGGATAGATAGATAGATAGATAGATAGATAGATAGATAGATAGATAGATGATAGACAGATAGATGGACATAGAGATGATAGTCAGACAGACAGATAGACGGATAGATAGATAGATAGATAGATAGATAGATAGATAGATAGATATGGATGGACGGATAAGAGATAGATGGACACAGATAGAATAGGATAGAATAGAATAGAATAGAATAGATAGATAGATAGATAGATAGATAGATAGATAGATAGATAGATAGATAAGATAGATACAGATGGATGGATGGACGGATAAGAGATAGATGATAGATGGACACAGACGGGATAGGATAAGATAGATAGATAGATAGATAGATAGATAGATAGATAGATAGATAGATGATAGACAGATAGATGGACATAGAGATGATGGACAGACAGACAGACGGACAGACAGACAGATAGATAGAGATGGATGGACGGATAAGAGATAGATGATAGATGGACACAGACGGGATAGGATAGAATAGATAGATAGATAGATAGATAGATAGATAGATAGATAGATAGATAGACAGACACAGACAGACAGACAGATAGATAGATACAGATGGATGGATGGATGGATAAGAGATAGATGATAGATGGACAGACGGGATAGGATAGAATAGATAGATAGATAGATAGATAGATAGATAGATAGATAGACAGACAGACAGACGGACATAGAGATGATAGACAGACAGACAGACGGATAGATAGATAGATAGATAGATAGATAGATAGATAGATAGACAGACAGATAAGAGATAGATGATAGATGGACACAGACGGGATAGGATAGGATAGGATAGGATAGGATAGATAGATAGATAGAGACAGATAGATGGACATAGAGATGATAGACAGACAGACAGACAGACAGATACAGATGGATGGATGGAGGGATAAGAGATAGATGATAGATGGACACAGACAGGATAGGACAGAATAGATAGATAGATAGATAGAGACAGATGATAGACATATAGATGGACATAGAGATGATAGACAGACAGACAGACAGACAGATAGATATAGAAATGATAGGTAGATATAGATAGATGATAGATGGATAGATGATAGACAGACAGGTAGATGGAGAGAAGCTGTAAAAGTTGCCCTAAAAATAATCAAAACCAGGCAAATGTTCAATAATGCAATCCCCTCTGTTGCTGAAGGAGAAAAGAGAAATGGCGGCGGCCTCCATCTTGAATTTTTTTCTGAGGCGTTTAGGGTGCTGAATACAGGAGTCCTCACGACCACAATTGAGCCCAAAACTTCTGTCATTAAGTAAGATATTTGTTAAATATGTTTCATCCCATTTTACAACCTTGCTTGCCACAATTGTTAAATGAATCACCGCAGTAGATTAAGTTAGTAACTCAGCTGTTAAATGAATCTGACTTCCGGATTGAATTTGCTTGTCAAAAGGTCGCCAAAGGGGGAATCACGTGACCCAGGGACCCTGGTCATAAGTATGAACCAGTTGCCAAACGGCTGAATTTTAATCATGGAGACGCTACAAAGGTTGTGACGGTAAAAAAGTGCCGCTGTAATTTTGAACGGTCACTAAACGAACTGCTGTATCTTAACGGTCACTAAACGAACTGCTGTAATTTTTAACAGTCACTAAACGAACTCCCTGTACAGCAGTGTTTCTCAACCTTGACAATTTTTAGGCAGATGGACTTCAATTCCCAGAATTCCACAGCCAGCATTGCTGGCTGTGGAATTCTGGGAGTTGAAGTCCACATGCCTTAAAATTGTCAAGGTTGAGAAACACTGCTGTACAGGCTTGGGTTTTTTTTTTTTCCCTGCACCTTAGGTGGAAATGCAGTTGAAAACTACAGGAATTATAGGAAAGAAATAATTACAGGTAATCCTCGACTTAACGACCACAACGGAGCCCCAAATTTATGTCGCTAAGGGAGACGTTTGTTAAAGGGAGTTTTGCCCCATTTTACGATTTTTCCCGCCACGTTTGCTCAGTGAATCGCTGCCGTTGTTAAATGAGTAACGCCGTTAAGTGAACCCGGCTTCCCTCCTTGACTTTGCTTGTTAGAAGGTCGCAAAAAAGGGAATCACGTAACCCCGGGACGATGCGACCGTCGTCAATTTCCTGCCTGAGCAGGGGGTTGGACTAGATGACCTCCGAGGTCCCTTCCAACTTTATTATTATTATTATTAAATATGAACCCGTGGTCAAGCATCCGAATGTAAATCAGGTGACTGTTGGGGATGCGGCAACCGTTCTAAGTGTGAAAAAGGGTCCTGAGTCCCTTTTTTTGGGCGCCGTTGTAACTTCAAACAGTTACTAAACAAACTGCTGTTAAGTCGAGGACTGCCTGTACACAACTGCGATTTAAAGCAAGGTGGGGATTTAAGCTAAACTTGTGTTTTAAGCCACAATGGCCATTTAAGCCATGATTAGAATTTAAGCCATACATTGATTGAATGTAAAGATCAAATATAAAAGTAATTAAGATATGGATAAGCTAGAAATGTACTGATAAATGCAATAATGATGTTTTTACTTAGTTGATATAATAAGAACTTAAATATGAGATAGTAGATATTAAGGGGAAAAGAGAGGAAATATTGGAGGTTATAGCTTGAGATTTGTGTTAAAAAAATTTGTATGTTATTTGTTGGGGGCAATGTAAATATATATATACATTGCTTACTGGTGTACACCGCTTAGAGCAGTGGTTCTCAACCTTTCTAATGCCGTGACCCCATAATACAGTTCCCCATGTTGTGGTGACCCCCAAGTGGGTGTGGCCACCAGTAAGAGGGAGTAGGACAGCTAAGGAAAAGGGGAAAAAAATGGCGGACAGCATAGTTTGGTGACCCCCGTGAAATGGTCATTCGACCCCAAATGGGGTCCCGACCCACAGGTTGAGAACCACTGGCTTAGAGAGTGCTTGCACTTAAAGCGATATATAAATCCCATAAATAAATAAATAAATAAATAAATAAACTATTGATTAACCCAGCCACCACCTTGCTTTTTAAATACTTAAATGTAAAATTAGAAAATTAATAAAAGTTTTATTTAAAAAAAAAGAATTTAAGCCACGATTGTTAATTTAAACTCCCCTAGTTTAGAAGTGCAGAGCCAGGGAAGAGGGTGGGGGGCGGGGGTGGGACTTACAAATGCAGAGGTTCCCAGCAGAGCGACGTGACCCACTTGGTGTGTCCCACCAGGATGCGGCCAATTTGGGCTCCGGTGCTTGGATCCCAGAGCATTATCTGCGCAGAAGGTACATGGGACACATTAAGAAACATTTTCTCAAAATTGTGTGTGTATGTTTTGTATCTTCCTTTATTTTTATAAATGACTCAAGGCGGTGAACATGCTAAATAGACCTTCCTCCTCCTATACACCCTTCAACAGCAACCCTGTGAGGTGGATTGGGCCAAAAGAGAGGGACTTTGGCTTGCCTGCCAAAAGCAGGACTAGAACTCCCAGTTTCCTGGCGACTGGTCCAAAGTCACCCAGATGCCGAACTCACCGTCTCCTGGTGATTGGCTCAAGGTCATCCAGCTGGCTTTCGTGGCTAGGGTGGGACTAGAACTCTGTCTCCTGGTGATTGGCTCAAAATCACCCAGCCGGCTTGCACGCCTAAGGCGGGACTACAACTCCCAATCTTCTGGTGATTGGCCCAAAGTCCTGCAGCTAACATTCACGCCTTACGCGGGACTAGAACTTCCAGTCTCCTGGTGATTGGCCCAAAGTCACCCAGCCAGCTTGCATGCCTAAACTAGAACTTCTAGTCTCCTGGTGATTGGCCGAAAGTCACCCAGATGCTTTTCTTGCTGAAGGCAGGAGCAGCTCCCAGTCTTCTGGTGATTGGCTCAAAATCACCCAGCCGGCTTGCATGTCTAAGGCGGGACTAGAACTCCCAATCTCCTGGTGACTGGCCCCAAATCCTCCAGCTAATATTCACGACTTACACAGGACTAGAACTCCCAGTCTCCTAGTGATTGGCCCAGCACCCAACTGGCTTTCATGGTTAAAGCAGGACTAGATCTCACCACCTGCTGGTGATTGGCCCAAAGTCACCCAGCCGGCTTTTGTGCCTAAGGAAGGACTACAATTCACTGTCTCCTGGTTTCTAGCCTGAGGCCTTAACCCAGTGGTTCTCAATCTTTTTAATGCCGTGACCCCCAACCGGTCGTAAGTCGAGGACTACTCAACCGGTCGTAAGTCGAGGACTACTCAACTGGTGCAGCACCATTTGCAGAATGGAACTTTTGGCGGGCTCAGCAGGGCAGAGACAGCCTGGACAATTCCTATTGGCTTTTGAAAGCCAATAGAATTAGACTCTATTCAAGAGAGTCTATTCTATTGGCTTTCAAAAGCCAATAGAATAAAAGGGAGTAGCACAGCTAAGGGGGGAAAAAATGGCGGACTGCGTTGTTTGGCGACCCCCGTGTAATGGTCGTTCGACCCCAAATGGGGTCCCCACCCAAGGTTGAGAACCACTGCCTTAACCAGTAGACCAAAAATGGCTACTTTGAATTAGCAGACTTGGCAACTTTAAGGCCAGTTGCCTCCTTTCCTGCACCGTGAAGCCCTGTGCTCAGTCACGCATGCCCTGGGTCATCTCCTGTCTTGACTACTGCAATGAGCCCTACATGGGACTGCCCTTGAAGAGTATTCGCACGCTGTAGCTGGTGAAGAATGCGGCAGCACGAGCAGCCTTAACCGCCGCCCCCCCCCGGATGGTGCGTATAACACCGCTGTTACCCAACCTGCATTATTTAATGTTTCCTTTCCAAGGCAAGGTGTTGTTTAACCCCTTTAAGTGAGTTTTGCCCCATTTTACGACCTATTTTTGCCATAGTTGTTAAGTGAATCATGCAGTCATTCAGCGACTCTGGCTCCCCCCCCCCCGTTGACTCCAGGAACGCAGCAACTGCCCCCAACAAATGCCCAATGTTTGATCACGTGACCCTGGGAAGGCTTCGACTGTTGTTAAGTGTGAAAAACAGTCGCAAGTCACTTTTTCCAGGGCCCTTGTAACTTCAAAGGAGTGGTTGTAAATTGAGGACTGCCTGTATAGTCCTCTAGTCCTCATGGACCTCGATGTTTCCAAGCAGAGTTGTGTCTTCCAGGGGTGGACATGGCACACATCCCAGTTCAGGAAATAATAAAAAAAAAGCCGAAAATCTTCACCTGTCCGTTCTTGCACCCGGATGCCAGTTTCCTTCCGTCGGGCGACCAAGCAATGCTCAGCACCCAATGGCGGTGACCTGTGGCGGAATGAAGGAGAGAGAGAGAGAGGGACTGAACAGTGCCCTCCAGTTCCATGAACCCCTAAAGATCTCAAGATGCTTATTCTGGCCCAGTGTTTCTCAACCTCGGTCACTTTTAAGAGGGGTGGACTTCCACTCCCAGAATTCCCCAGCCAGCCTGCTTTAAGATGGGTGGACCTCCACTCCCAGAATCCCCCAGCCAGCATGCTTTAAGATGGGTGGACTTCCACAATACCCCATCCAGCCTGCTTTAAGAGGGGTGGACTTCTACTCCCAGAATTCCCCAGCCAGTCATCCTTTAAGATGGGTGAGCTTCCACTCCCAGAATCCCCCAGCCAGGATGCTTTAAGAGGGGTGGGCTTCCACTCCCAGAATTCCCCAGCCAGTCATCCTTTAAGATGGGTGAGCTTCCACTCCCAGAATCCCCCAGCCAGGATGCTTTAAGAGGGGTGGACTTCTACTCCCAGAATTCCCCAGCCAGTCATCCTTTAAGATGGGTGAGCTTCCACTCCCAGAATCCCCCAGCCAGGATGCTTTAAGATGGGTGAGCTTCCACTCCCAGAATCCCCCAGCCAGGATGCTTTAAGAGGGGTGGGCTTCCACTCCCAGAATTCCCCAGCCAGCATGCTTTAAGAGGGGTGGACTTCCACTCCCAGAATTCCCCAGTCAGCATGCTTTAAGATGGGTGGACTTCCATTCCCAGAATCCCCCAGCCAGCATGCTTTAAGATGGGTGGGCTTCAACTCCCAGAATCCCCCAGCCAGCCTGCTTTAAGAGGGTTGGACTTCCACTCCCAGAATTCCCCAGCCAGCATGACACAAAGCCATGTTTCTCAACCTTGGCCACTTTTAAGATGCATGGACTTCCAATCCCAGAATTCCCCAACCAGCATGCTTTAAGATGGACTTCCACTCCCAGAATTCCTCAGCCAGCCATGCTTTAAGATGGACTTCCACTCCCAGAATTCCTCAGTCAGCATGCTTTAAGATAGACTTCCATTCCCAGAATTCCTCAGTCAGCATGCCCTCCCTTGCTTACTATTTCCTCGAGTGATTATATTCCAACCTACCTCGCAGGGCTGCTATGGCGGAAATGAGAGGCGGCTATTATAAAGTCTTAAACTCCAGAACTATGTTTCTCAACCTTGGACACTTTTAAGACGGGTGGGCTTCAAACTCCCAGAATTCCCCAGCCAGCTAGGGAATTCTGGGAATTCCCATGGCTGAGAAGCAACCCGGTCTCCCTTCCCCATGTCGAGACTCACCCTTGGCTGTGAAGTGTGGGGTCTCCGTGTTCAGGTCCCAAAAGCGCACGGTGGTGTCCCCAGATCCGCTGGCCAGGTACCTGGGGAGACAAACCCTCATGCTGACGCAGCCGAGGGACAGTGGTGACCGGAGGGCATTCGGGGGTCAAAAAAGTCAAGATGGCCACTTTGCCCATCTGACTGAAGCTCCCGGTGAGCCATCCAAGGTAGCTCAGACTAGGAAACCGAAGTCATACACCTTAATGTAAAGTAGTCCTCCACTTACATCAGGCATCATTAAGTGGTCGGTAAGTGAAGCGTCACATGACAGAATCAGATTTTGTGACCTTTTTGCCATGGTCGTTAAGTAGGACATCATGAGGTTGCCCTTCCTTGCCGGCTTCCCCCATGGATTTTGCTTTTCAGAAGCCGGCTTGGAAGATCCAAAATGGCAATCACGTGACCCCGGGACAGTGCAATTGTCGTAAATTCAAGCGCTTGAATCACAATCACAATCGGCACAGTCTAATAGTCATAAGTGTGAGGACCGGCAGCAATCACTTTTTCAGCCCCGTCGTAACTTCGAACAGTCACTAAACAAATGGGTCATTCACCAAGGATGACTCGTTCTATCTTTATTATAGGTAGTCCTCAGCTTACGACCACAGGAGAGCCCCAAATTTCTGTTGCTATGTAAGACCATTAAGTGAGTTTTGCCCCATTTTACGACCTTTCTTGCTACAATTAAGTGAACCGCTGCCGTCGTTAAGTAAGTCACACGGTTGTTAAGTGAATCAGGCTTTTTCCCTATTGACTTTGCTGGTCAGAAGGTCACAAAAGGGGATCACGTGACCACAGGACACAGCGACCGTCATAAATATGAGTCAGTTACTAAGTGCATGAATTTTGATCATGTGACCCTGAGGATTCTGCAACTGCCATAAATACGAGTCAGTGGCCAAGCCTCCAAAGTTTGATCACGCAACCCATGGCACCTTCCAATGGTCATCCATTGGAAACATTGGACCCGCTGGACGTTTCCAATGGACCATCCATCAGGAAGTCACTTTTTTCGGTGCTGTTGTAACTTCGGTCAATAAACGGTTGTAAGTCGAGGACTACCTGTGTAGGTTTACACCAGGGATCTTCAAACTTGGCCCTTTTATGACTTGTGGACTTCAACTCCCAGAATTCCTCAGACAGCGTGCTTGGCTGACGAATTCTGGGAGTTGAAGTCCACAAGCCATAACAGGGCCACGTTTGAAGACCCCTGGTCTGGATCTAAGCCCGCGGTTTCATCAAAATGGCCGACTGAGGAATTCTGCGAGTTGAAGTCCACAAGCCCTAAAGGGGCCACTTTTGAAGACCCCTGGTCTGGATCAAAGCCCGCGGTTTCATCAAAATGGCCGACTGAGGAATTCTGCGAGTTGAAGTCCACAAGCCCTAAAGGGGCCACATTTGAAGATCCCTGGTCTGGATTCAAGCTTGTGGTTTCTTCAAAATGGCCGACTGAGAAATTCTGCGAGTTGAAGTCCACAAGCCATAAAAGGGCCACGTTTGAAGACCCCTGGTCTGGATCTAAGCCCGCGGTTTCATCAAAATGGCCGACTGAGGAATTCTGGGAGTTTATTTATTTATTTATTTAGGAGACTTATATACCGCTTTAAGTGCAAGCACTCTCTAAGCGGTGTACACCAGTAAGCAATGTATATATATATTTACATTGCCCCCAACAATCGGGGTCCTCATTTTACCTACCTCGGAAGGATGGAAGGCTGAGTCAACCTTGAGCCGGTGAGATTTGAACCGCTGACCTGCTGAACACAGTCAGCTAAAGTGGCCTGCAGGACCCCTGGTTTACACTAACCCAAATCTGGCAAGTCTTAATCCGTTTCATCCCTCCCTCCCTTTTGTCTTTATGAGAACTGGTGGGGGGAAGGGGGGACTTATCTGAGAGGCTCTCTCAGATTACATTCGTGCCCTGGACTCGTAGTCCTCTTTCTTCCAACCGCCATCTTTGTAGCAGATCTTCCTCCCAGGCCTCTAGGTTATGTAGGCAGTCCTCAAGTTATGTCCGTAATTGGGAACAAAACTTCCATTGCTAAGCAACAACACTAAGCAATAGCATGTAGACTTATAAACCACTTCACAGTGCTTTGCGGCCCTCTCTAAGCGGTTTCAGAGTCAGCCTATTTGCCCCCAACAATCTGGGTCCTCATTTTACCAACCTTGGAAGGACAGAAGGCTGAGTCAACCTTGAGCCGGTCAGGATCGAACTCCTGGCTGTGGGCAGAGTCAGCCTGCAATGCTGGATTCTAGCCAGTGCGCCACCCATGGCTTGCTTGCTTGCTCCCTTCCTCATTTGTTCCTTCTTTCCTCTCTTCGTTCTGTTCTCCTCCTTTTCTCTCTTTCTTTTTCCCTCCTTCCCTTTCTCATTCCTTCCTTCCTCCCTCCCTCCTTTTCTCCTTCCTTCCTTCCTTCCTTCCTTCCTTCCTTCCTTCCTCCCTCCATTCCTTTTCCTCCTGCTTTACTTCCTTTCTTCCTCCCCCCTTTTGTCCCTTTCTCCTCCCTCCCTCCCTCCCTCCCTCCCTTCCTCCCTCCTTCCCTCCCCAGGCAATAGCACTTAGACTTGTATACCGCTTCACAATGTTTTAAGCGGTTTAGGGTCAGCATATTGCCCCCCAACACTCTGGGTCCTCGATTTACCGACCTCGGAAGGACGGAAGGCTGAGTCAACCTTGAGCCAATCAGGATCGAACTTCCTGGCTCTGGGCAGAGTCAGCCTGCAATACGGCACTCTAACCACTGCGCCACCACAGCTCAAGATGGCTATTAAGTCACATCCAATATTATGCTCTATTTTTTGCCACATCTGGTTATTAAGGGAATCACACACGCACAAAAAGCATTAAGCAGCGGCTAAGTCAGGGGTAGGCAACCTTGGCTAATTTATGACTCGCAGACTACAACTCCCAGAATTCCTGAGCCAACATGAGGGATCTATGGCCCCCTTCATGACTCGTGGACCAACTCCCAGAATTCCTCAGCCAGCATGGGGGAACTATGGCCCCCTTCATGACTTGCGGACTTCAACTCCCAGAATTCCTCAGCCAGCATGGGGGAACTATGGCCCCCTCATGACTCGTGTACTTCAACTCCCAGAATTCCTGAGCCAGCATAGGGGAACTATGGTCCCCTTCATGACTCGTGGACTTCAACTCCCAGAATTCCTGAGCCAGCATGGGGGAACTATGACCGCCTCATGACTCATGGACTTCAACTCCCAGAATTCCTGAGCCAGCATGGGGGAACTATGGCCGCCTCATGACTTGTGGACTTCAACTCCCAGAATTCCTGAGCCAGCATGGCTCAGCTTGGAAACCTCTCCCTTTCCCCTCAGCACGGCTGGCTCAGGAATTCTGGGAGTTGAAGTCCCCAAGTCATGAAAGAGCCAAGGTGGCCTACCCCTGGGCTAAGTCTTCCGGGCCCTGAGCTGCCCTTCCCTCCGGCACCCGATCCGACCTGCGTCTCCCCTTACTTTCCGGTAGGGCTGAAGGCGACCGAGATGACGGCCTCGCTGTGGCCCTCCAAGGAGCTGGTGCAGCGCGTCACGGCTCGCACCCGGAACACGGCCAAGGGTTGGTAGACGATCTCAACCACCCGTTCGGTCTCGAGGGTCAGTTCGGACAGGGTCTTCTGCAGGGAGGCCACGATTTCGGACTCCTGGACGTAGAAGGCCAAGGGCAGGGGCTCCTCCTTGCAAGAGACAAGATGGGGAAGGGGCGGGTCAACGCTTGGTAGGCAGTAAGGGGTAGTGGTGAGAGACGGAATTGCTGGGTTTCCCCATGCTTTGGGTTGTCGGGACTGTGTCCTGCTTCACACACGGTCCCCCCCCAAAAAAATGGAGATTGGAGGCGGAGGGGGGAGCGGCTTTTTAATCTTATAGGCTGCCCAGAGTCCTTGTGTGTTTGAGTTGGGCAGCCATATTACAACTATTTCACAAATAAATGAATACAATCTCCGAATGCAGGTAGTTCTTGCAGAATGACCAGTGTGTTTAAAGTTACAACGGACCTCCCCAGAGCTACTTGCACAATGTTTCGCAGTCAGGTCAGCTGCAAATGCATGCACACACACACACACACACACACAACCTCCCCACATACACAAAATGTATTACGGGCACTTGGCTTGCATTTATGGCTGTTTGCTGCCTCCCACCATGATGTCCGGTGCTTCCCCCCCCCTCCGTTTCAAGCATTTATTTATGGTTTCTGGCAAAAAATTGCTTATGGTGAAAACAGGTTCCTTTAACTACCAGGATGCTCACTTAACCACGCAAGAAAGAAGGCTGTAAAACTGGACGTGGTGAGGTGGTAATTCCACACTCAGTTAGAGTCGTTTGAGGACTGTATCAATTTGGACTGTTTTAAAGGAGCCGGGGAAAGAAGGAAGGAAGGAAGGAAGGAAGGAAGGAAGGAAGGAAGGAAGGAAGGAAGGAAGGAAGGAAGGAAGGAAGGAAGGAAGGAAGGATTAGGGAGGGAGGGTTGGGGAGTGGAAGGAAGGAGGGTGGGTGGCAGGAAGTAAGGGTTAGGAAGAGGGAGGGAGGGTTGGGGGGTGGCAGGAAGGAAGGAAGGAGGGAGGGAGGGAGGAAAGGAGGAGGAGCAGAAAGAGGAAGGAGGAGGAGGAAGAGGAACGAAGGGAAAGAAAGAGGGGGAGGGAGGAAGGAGAAGGTGAGAAGGAAGGAAGGAGGAAAGAAGGAAGGAGAAAGGAAGGAATGGAAACAGAGAGAGGAGGGAGGGAGGAAGGAAGGAGAAGGAGGAAGGGGAAGAAGAGAAGGAAGGAAGGAAGGAAGAAAGGAGAGGGCGGGAGGAAGGAATGAGGAAGGAAAGGGGAAGGAGGAGGAGCAGAAAGAGGAAGGAGGAGGAGGAAGGAAGGGAAAGAGAGAGGAGAGAGAGGGGGAGGGAGGGAGGAAGGAAGGAGGAGGAGGAAAAGGAAGGAAGGAATAAAGAAGAAAGAGAAAGAAGAGAAGGAGGGAGGAATGGAAAGAAAGAGAGGAGAGAGGGAGGGAGGAAGGAGGAGGAAGGGGAAGAAGAAGAGGAGGAAAAGGAAGGAAGGAGAGGTAGAGGAAGGGGAAGGGGAAGAAGAGGAGGAGAAGGAAGGAAAGAGAGAGAGGAGGGAGGGAGGAAGGAAGGAGAGGAAGGGGAAGGAGAAGAAGGGAAGAGGAAAGAGAGGGGGAGGGAGGGAGGAAGGAAGGAGTGAAAGGGGAAGAAGGAAGAGAAGGAAGGAATGACAAATGAGGAAAGGAGGAAGGAAGGTTAGGAGGGAGGGAGGGAGAGGAGAGGAGGAGGAGGAAGAAAGGAAGGAGCCCCCCCCCCTCAGTTGTACCTTCTCCAAGAGAGTATTGCAAACCAACTGGAGCTTTTCCGGGGTGATATCCACGGGGACATCAAACGGGGCCCCCAGAATTTGCCCGGCTTCATCTTTGAACTGGATCAGGAGCCGTTCAACATCCGCTGTCATGGTGAAGCCTCGGGGCGTCGAGCTCTTTGCACTCTGGCCTGGAAACCAACAGGAGAGACAATCAAAACAAAAAATGGCCTCCGCCCTGCAACTCCCTCCAAGCTCCCTTTTTGTCGCAACACACCCTTCCCCATCACAGTTGTTCCGAAAAGTATCGTCAGCCCCTTGGAGCGAAAATCGGAGAGAGAGATCGACTGTCCTGTGCCAATGAATGGGTTCATTAAAACAACAGCTTTCAAGGATGAGATCAGAGATATCTGAAGGGTGCGTGTGTGCGTGTGTGTGTGTGAAAAACGTCAAGATGGAGGCAATAAGGCCTTTTAAAAACGGGCACTGCTCTTGACTTGATTTTCAACAGATGATGGACGTAGAACACAGAATAATAAGAGTTTGAAAGGGGCCTTGGAGGTCATCTAGTCCAACCCCCTGCTCAAGCAGGAGACCCTCTACCCATTTCAGACAAATGGCTGCTCAGTCTCTTCTAAAAAGCCCCCAGTGATGAAGCACCCACAATTTCTAGAGGCAAGCTATTCCACTGGTTAATTGTTCTCACTGTCAGGAAATGTTTCCTTAGTTCTAGATTGCTTCTCTCCTTGATGAGCTTCCACCCGTTGCTTCTTGTCCTGCCTTCAGGCGCTTTGGAGAATAGCTTGACTCCCTCTTCTTTGGGGCAGCCCCTGAGATATTGGAATATGGCTATCAGGTCACCCCTAGTCCTTAACAGAATAATAGAGTTGGATGGGACCTTGGAGGTCTTTTAATCCAACCCCCTGCTGAATCAGGAAACCCTCTATCATTTCAGACAAATAGTTGTCCAATCTCTTCTTAAAAACCTCCATGTTGGAAAACCCATGACTTCTGGAGGCAGGTGGTTCCACTGGTTAATTGTTCTCACTGTCAGGAAGTTTCTCCTTAGTTCTAGGTTGCTTCTCTCCTTGATTAGTTTCCACCCGTTGCTCCTTGTCCTGCCTTTAGGTGCTTTGGAGAAGAGCTTGACTCCCTCTTCTTTGGGGCAGCCCCTGAGATACTGGAAGACTGCTATCATGTCCGCCCTTGTCCTTCTCTTCATGAAACTAGACATACCCAATTCCAGCAACCATTCCTTATATGTTTTAGCCTCCAGTCCCTTTGATCATCTTTGTTGCTCTTCTCTGTACTCTTTCTAGAGTCTCAACATCTTTTTTATATCACGCTAACCAGAACCGGATGCAATATTCCAAATGAGGTCTCCCTCCTACTGGATGAGAGAGAGTGAATTTGAGGAGGGGGGCACGAACAATTTTGGGAAATGCCTCTGTACTCACCATTGTAGAAACTAATTTTGCAAGATCAAAATTCTAACCCAGTGGAAAAAAGGAGTCTCCAATTATTTGATGCAGAGCAGCTTAACAATAACAATACTCTATCTCAGTGATGGCGAACCTTTTAGAGACTGAGTGCCCAAACTGCAACCCAAAACCAACTTATGCATCGTCGGGTGCCGGGTGGGCATGGCCCATTGGCTGGGGGTGGCCCATTGGGTGGGCGTGGCTGCGGTGGTAACGGCAGACTGGGTGGGACTAAAAAGTTCAATCAATCAATTCCAACTTTGCAAGATCTTTTTTTTCCCCGCAAGAAGTTGAAATTGACTGATTGATTGAATCTTTTTTTTTTTTGTACACGGCGGCGGAGGCCTAAAGCGAAAAGGTTTTATAAAACCCAGCTGAAGGCCTAGGACTGGGGAGAGGGCGCGCGTGCCCACAGAGGGGGCTCTGAGTGCCGACTCTGGCACCCGTGCCATAGGTTTGCCGCCACTGCTCTATCTGCAGATCTTTGTATTTTGTTGTTTTCTTTCCTTCTTTCTCTTCTCTTCTGCTGTCTCCAGGTACTGCCACCTCCAATATTCAGACTTTGTCTTCCTAATTGACGATTGTTAAGCCTGAGGTGTTATGTGGTAGGTGCCTGTCTGTTTGAACTCTAAAATCCCAGAGGACATTAGCTTCTGCATTTTGTATTTATTATTATACTTGTTTTACTTGGAATACCTTCCATCCTGCCACGAGAACTTTTACATCATAAACACCCACATCTGCCTGTCCCCGGTCCTTGGGAAGGTCTTGGTAGGGGGACTAAAATGCCAAATCCAATTTTGAACATCTGGCTGACTATGCAATGAACCATCTCATAATAACAAATTACCTTCCATCAATTCCCAAAGGCAGCTTGACTTGGAATAATTCTGCAACCAGACCTATACTATTAAACAAGAACATCTGCCCATCCCAGGTCCTTGGGAAGGACTCCATAGGCCAGGGGTCTTCCAACTTGGCCTTTTTATGACTTGTGGACTTCAACTCCCAGAATTCTTCAGCCAGGCATGCTGGCTAAGGAATTCTGGGAGTTGAAGTCCACAAGTCATAAAAGGGACAAGTTGGAAGACCCCTGGCCTAAACCATTTGAGACAAATGGTTGTCCAGCCTCTTCTTAAAAATAGGTGGATAAAAATGCCAAATCCAGTCTGAACATCTGCCTGACTATGCAAAGAACCATAATAAGCCAAACATCTGCAGCACCCCTTAAAACACCATGGGCACTGACAAATTCTTGAGCAGTCAATTGCAAAAGGCAGCTTCATTGGGAACAGTTGACATCCTTCAACCAGACCTCTAAACACCATCAAACATCCACATCTGCCTGTCCCAGGTCCTTGGAAAGGACTACATAGGTGGACAAAAATGCCAAATCCAGTTTCAACATCTGGCTGACTATGCAATGAACCGCCCTCATAATAACAAATTACCCCCCCCCGGTCAATTTCCAAAGGCAGCTTGACTTGGAATAATTCTGCAACCAGACCTATATTATTAAACAAGAACACCTGGCCATTTCAGGTCCTTGAGAAGGGCTCCATAGGTGGAGAAAAACGCAAAATTCAGCCTGAGCGTGTGACTGGCTGGGCAACCAAGCACAACCATGATGAGAATGAGATGTAGGGGGAACCCTGAGTTGGGGGGGGGGTCAGACTATAAGACCTCCAAGGTCCCCTCCAAGTCTTGTTATTCTGTTATTCCTTGGGATGGTGGTTCCTTCTCTGCTCCCACCACCAAGGCCGCCTGTCTCCACCGCCCCTCCCAAAATATGGGGCACTGTCTTACCTCCCCCTCCAAACTTTGCAACAACAACAACAACAACAACAAAACATCACCCCAAACCTACGGCCGGACGTCTCTGCTCAAAGTAGCCTCCACGTGGGAAAGGAGGCTGACGTCATTACTCCGCGCCGGGCACAGTTCTGACTCGGCTGCCATCTGCTGGAGAAAGCGGGGATCTTCCGCCAGAAGTTGGGAAAACTTCTGTAAACATGAGAATTGACAACATTCGCCCTGCCTGGGCTGGCAGATTTCTTTCTTTCTTTCTTTCTTTCTTTCTTTCTTTCTTTCTTTCTTTCTTTCTTTCTTTCTTTCTTTCTTTCTTTCTTTCTTTCTTTCTTTCTTTCTTTCTTTCTTTTCTTCCTTCCTTCCTTTCTCTCTCTCTTTCTTTTTTTGCAATCCCTTATTTCTTGTTATTCACCTCCTGATCCTCCTATTTCCTGGATTTTTGCAGAAACCTGTGGATGCCATAAATAAGAGGGGGTGTGTGTCAACCTATTCTCCAAAGCCCCTGAGGGCAGGACAAGAAGCAATGGATGGAAACAGATAAGATGAGATGAGATGAGATGATAAGATATAACCTTTATTGTCATTTTTTACTGTGGGCACGACGACACACATCAAAAATGACATTTAGTTGCCCCCTCTCAAAGTGAACACATACATGACAGACACCTAAACATACTATATACAACATATACATACTACTTACAACATATGTATAGACCTACAACTCTACATGTACATAAGATATGAATATTAAACACTGTCCATCTTGAATATATAACGGAAGGAGGAAGCTTGAGAGTTCACAAGGTTTATACTGTATGGAACGAAACTATGGCTGAATCTGGATGTTCTGCTTCGGATACCACGGAACCCCCTCCTCCCCCCAGAAGGTAATGAGGAAAACAGGCCGTGAAGAGGGTGTGTAGCATCCCAGACAATCTTACGGACCCTGCTCAAGCAACGCTTCTGTGCTATGTCCTGGATGGGAGGGAGGGAACTGTCAATGATCTTTTCTGCCGTCCTCATCACTCTCTGCACCGCCTTCCTGTTTGAAGCAGGGATGCTTCCAAACCAGACTGTGATGCTGTGTGACAGGATGCTCTCAATCTCCCCCCCTATAGAAAGTGGTAAGGACAGTGGAAGGAAGATGTGCTTTTCTCATGCGGCGCAGAAAAGGCAGGCACTGCTGTGCTCGCTTCACCAGTGTCTCGCTGTTGAGTGAGCAAGCCAGCCTACTCGTTAACTGCACACCCAGGAATTTGATGCTGGTAACCATCTCCACAGGTGAATCATTAATGCACAGACAGTGAGAACAATTAACCAGTGGAACAGTTTGCCTCTAGAAGTTGTGGATGATCCAACACTGGAGGGTTCTAAGAAGAGATTGGACAGCCATTTGTCTGAAATGATATAGGGTCTCCTGCATGAGCTGGGGGTTGGACTAGATGACCTCCAAGGTCCCTTTTAACTCTGTTGCTCTGTTTTCCTTTCCGAGGCTGTCAGCTGCCTAGCAATAGCCTGGGATTGGGGGGGGGGAACATTTTTGGAAGAGTGCCAGAGGTGTGAAGGAATCTTGTGGGAAATCGGGGAGCATGGACAGTTTACCGGAAGCAGAGGTGCTAAGCCGAGTCATCTTCTTCCTTTTCAAGGACACAGGCCGAGAAAGGAACTTGCTTTGGTGTCAAAGGAACCACGTTCCCAAAACATCGGAATGGGACCTGACTGGACTGCTCTCCCAGGAAGGAGGGTTTGGGACTTTGGACGTTGCTTTCAATATATGATTTTCACCCCATTTTTCTTCAGAGCTTGCCTCGGTCACGCTGCACTCAATACCTCTAGTAAAAGCATCTTTTCTCTAACCCCTGTGGAATCGAGGGTGGTTCTTTCCCAGGGATCAGGTTGGGGACGGTCTCTGACACTGCCATAATTCCAGACCATCATTAAAATGAATGGTTCTTAAATCAAGGACTCTCTGTTCGTAGGAAATGCATTAGAAGCCATCAGAAAAATGCGTGAAGTTAGGCTAGTGAGAATGTTGAAAAAAGGCTGCTTGGGGGAATGAAGTGACCCATTGGCTGTTAGGTTCTATAATAATAATAATATAATAATAATAATAATAATAATAATAATAATAATAATAATAATAATAACAACAACAATAATAATAATAATAATGTTGGAAGGGACCTTGGAGGTCATCAAGTCCAACCCCCTGCTCAGGCAGGTAACCCTATACCAGTGATGGCGAACCTTTTAGAGACCAAGTGCCCAAACTGCAACCCAAAACCACTTATGCATCGTCAGGTGTCAGGTGGGTGTGGTCCATTGGGTGGGCGTGACCCAATGGGTGGGCGTAGCTGCGGTGGTAACGGCAGACTGGGTGGGACTAAAAAGTTCAATCAATCATTCCAACTTTGGAAGATCTTTTTTTTCCCTGCGAAAAGTTGAAATTGACTGATTGAACTTTTTTTTTTTTTTTTGCACATGGCAGTGGAGGCCTAAAGCGAAAAGGTTTTATAAAACCCAGCTGAAGGCCTAGGACTGGGCGACGGCACGTGTGCCCACAGAGAGGGCTCCGAGTGCCGCCTCTGGCACTCGTGCCATAGGTTCGCCACCATTGCCCTCTACCATTTCAGACAAATGGCTGTCTAGTCTCTTCTTAAAAACTTCTAGTGTTGGAGCATTCACTGCTTCTGGAGGCAGGTTGTTAATAATAATAATAATAAAGTTGGAAGGGACCTTGGAGGTCATCTAGTCCAACTCCCTGCTCAGGCAGGAAACCTACACCATTTCGGACAAATGGCTGTCCAGTCTCTTCTTAAAAACCTCCAGTGTTGGAGCATTTACTGCTTCTGGAGGCAGGTTGTTCCACTGGTTAATTGTTCTAACTGTCAGGAAGTTTCTCCTTAGTTCTAGGTTGCTTTTCTCCTTGACGAGTTTCCATCCTTTGCTTCTTGTCCTGCCTTCAGGCGCCTTGGAGAATAGCTTGACTCCCCTCTTCTTTGGGGCAGCTCCTGAGATACTGGAACACTGCTGTCATGTCCCCCCTCGTCCTTCTCTTCATTAGACTAGACAGACCCAATTAAACTAGACATACCCATACTAGACATTGTTTACAAGGCAATTAGAAAGTGCTGAAAAACCTCAAGCATCGGCTACGGAGACCTAAATCATGGCTTATAAAAAGAACGCCGGTTTACGGTTGGCTTGTGATGTGCACGCTCAAGCCATGTGGAGATTCTTCATCTTCCAGGTCACGGCTTTTTTTATGAGGCAGCTGGACTTTCTTGTTTTTCCTTTGAACAAATTTCGCTTTTCCTCCAAGAAGCATCTTCAGCTCTGACTGGATGGTGGGGAATGGAAGGATTTATACTCCTTGCAGACAGCTGGTCATTTGCCTTCTTTTAGAGCAGGGGTTCTCAACCTTTTTAATGTTGCAACCCCAACCGGTCGTAAATCGAGGACTACCCAACTGATCGTAAGTTGAGGACTTTCCCTGCCCGGGAGCACCGCGCCGAGGCATAGCTGGCAAGCGGCAGAGACGGCGCAGGCCGACCACCGGCTGGGCCACCAGCTGGCCCAGCCCAAGGGAGGTAAGGCACCCGCCGGGCCCCACGCGCGCCAGCAGCCCTCCCTGCGCCCACCGGCCTCCCACCTCCCACCCCTGGCCCTCTTTTACTTACATTTTTAGTAGTCGCTCAGCAGGGAGGGGTGGAAGCTTCCAGACAGCTCGCCTTCGCTGCAGACAACTTGCAGCACCGTTTGCAGAATGGGACTTTTGGCGGGCTCAGCAGGGCAGAGACAGCCTGGACAATTCCTATTGGCTTTTGAAAGCCAATAGAATTAGAATCTATTCAAGAGAGTCTATTCTATTGGCTTTCAAAAGCCAATAGAATAAAAGGGAGTAGCACAGCTAAGGAAAAGGGGGGAAAAATGGGGGACTGCGTTGTTTGGCGACCCCCGTGAAATGGTCGTTCGACCCCAAATGGGGTCCCGGCCCACAGGTTGAGAACCACTGTTTTAGAGTTGTTGAGGCCACTTGGAGGTTTACCTGTGTCCTCAGGGTCACCTGAGTGGTGCAAATGGTTGTGGAGCCTTCTTGGCTGCAGGATGGTTTGTGCCCTGGGTCCCTTCCCCGTTGAAGACAGGCACACAGGCTGTTGGGGATGACACTGTGTTGTCTGCATCTCAAACAGAAGTGCAAATGGTTCTTGGTCATTTGCATTCTTTGAATCGTTGAGGCCATTTGGAGGTTTGGGTCCTCAGGGTCACCTGAGTCATGCAAAGGTGCAGATCACACAGACTCATCGCCAACAGCCCGTCTTCAACAGTGAAGGGACACAGGGCGGAAAAACATCCAGCAGCCAAGAAGGCTCCACACACATTTGCACCGCTCAGGTGCAAAGAAACCTTTGCAGGATCTAATCCGAGTCGGTCACCCGGACCAGAGGTTTTGTCTTCCGAGCTTTCAGACTTAAAGAGAACAAGAAGGGAAGAAGAAGGATGTAGTTTCAATTTTGCCGCTACTAAGATTGTTGGAAGAGAAGGCACAAAAACAGCCAGGGAAGTGCCTGGGAAACCGGCTACTTGCTGATTTACGGCCAGCTTATCAGGTAATTAGGAGCTTAGTAGTTGAGTCTCACCAGCTCAAGGTTGACTTAACCTTCCATCCTTCCGAGGTCAGTAAAATGAGGACCCAGATTGTTGGGGGCAAATAGGCTGACTCTGTAAACCGCCCAGAGAAGGCTGTAAAGAGCTGTGAAGTGGTATATAATCTAAGTGCTATTGCTAGTGCTTCCTTCCTTCCTTTCCTTCTTTCTCTCTACCTTTTCTCCTTTCCTCCCTTCTCTCCTTCCTTCCCTCCTCCCTCCCATGGTGGCGCAGTGTTAAAATGCAGTATTGCAGGCTGACTTTGCCCAGTGCCAGCAGTTCAATCCTGACTAGCTCAAGGTTTTGCCATTACTAAGATTGTTGGAGGAGCAGGAACAAAAACAGCCAGGGAAGTGATGGAAGCCTGGGAAAAAGGCTACTTGCCAGTCAACAGGAGTGCTGATTTACGGCCAGCTTATCAGGTAATTAGGAGCCGAGCAGTTGAGTCTCACCAGCTCAAGGTTGACTCAGCCTTCCATCCTTCCGTAGTTAAAATGAGAACCCAGATTGTTGGGGGGCAAAAAAGGCTGACTCTGTAAACTGCTCAGACAGGGCTGTAAAAGGCCCTGTGAAGCGGCATGCAAGTTTAAATAATAATAATAATAATAACAAAAACAATAATAATGACGTGGCAGTGCCTGGAGACAGCAGAATAGATAAGAAAGAACTGGAGAAGATCACAAAATACAAAGACCTACAAATAGAAATAGAAAGACTGTGGCAAAAGCAAGCAAGGGTAGTACCAATAGTCATAGGCTCCTTGGGCGCAATCCCAAAACAACTGGAGCACCACTTGAACACCATCATCGGCATTGACAAATTCGCCATGAGTCAATTGCAAAAGGCGGCCTTACTAGGAACTGCTTCCATCCTGCGATGATACCTGTAATAACCTCAAACATCCACATCTGCCTACCCCAGGTCCTTGATAAGGACTCGATAGGTGGACAAAATGCCAAATCCAGTCTGAACATCTGGCTGTGCGATGATCCATATTAATAATAATAAAAAAGTTGGAGGGGACTTTGGAGGTCATCTAGTCCAACCCCCTGCTCAGGCAGGAGACCCTACACCATTTCAGACAAATGGCTGTCCAGTCTCTTCTTAAATCTTCCAGTGTTGGAGCATTCACCGCTTCTGGAGGCAGGTTGTTCCACTGGTTAATTGTTCTGTCAGGAAGTTTCTCCTTAGTTCTAGGTTGCTTCTCTCATTGATTAGTTTCTCTCCGTTGCTTCTTGTCCTGCCTTCAGGCGCTTTGGAGAATAGCTTGACTCCCTCTTCTTTGGGGCAGCCCCTGAGATACTGGAACACTGCTATTATGTCCCCCTTCGTCCTTCTCTTCGTTAAACCAGACATACTCAGTTCCAGCAGCCTTTCCTTATATGCTTTAGCCTACAGTCCCCTGATCATCTTTGTTGCTCTTCTCTGCACTCTTTCTAGAGTCTCAACATCTTTTTTACATCGTGGTGACCAAAACTGGATGCAGGATTCCAAGTGTGGCCTTAACAAGGTGTTGTAAAGTGGTATTGCTAAGTGCTAATAGCCAGCTATCGACATCCCAACCAACAACTAAAAAGCCACACGCATCAGGCACCATATCAATACCACACAAAGAGCACAAGCCCCAAAACTCAGAAGACAAAACTTCCAGTCCCGATGACCGACACAGATTGAATCCTGCAATGTTATCCTGGGACACGTATGTTTGCCTTCATTTGTAAGAAATCTTTCGTCCCGGTGATCGACTCCAGATTGGATCCTGCCGAAGAACGACCAAGGAGTCAAGATGAAAGATTTAAGAGACCGCTTCCCTCTCCTGATTAAAGTTATGTGCAGCAGAAACAAACCACGCAGAGAAAACGGACACAAGTGCCTCATTTATATATAGATAGATAGATATATATTTATATTTCAATCAAAACACAATTAAATATGGTTTTAAGTACTGGAATACTTGGGTTTCCGACAATAAGGTGGTACACGGTACCAAAAAAACCTAGAGACAACTTGTTTTGCTTTCTGACGGGCGTGTCGCTCCAGCCGATACCGCCAAGTGGGGTGCGTTTGAGTCTACTCCACTTTCAAAGGGCTGGAGTCAAAATCAAAAACTTTCCTAAAGTGTAGTTCTGGATGAAGGCTCCTTTTTTCCTTTCTTTCTTTCTTTCATTTGCACAAGTCTTCAGGAAACAAACGCCAGTGAGAACGTAAAAAAAACAACAACACTCCAAAGGAATTAAAAAAAAGCAGAAGGAGAAAAAAACAAACCCTTACAAGCACAACTGGAGTGGATTTTGTCTCAAGTACTCCAAATTCTTGTAAAACGTTTCGCGCCTGGCAAGCGTGGGAGATCAAAGGAAGTTCCAGATTTATGTGAGAAAAGGGAAAATAAAATAAAGAGAAGAAGAGGCGATCAAACCCCCCCCCCACCCCACAAATTGCATTAAAGGAGAAGGTAGAAAGGTGAAACGGAGTCTGGAACGATGCAGCAAAAACCGAATTCACTTCTAACCTGGGCGAGAAGCCGTTGTTTCACCTTAACGGGGACTTTTTGCAAAAGGGAAAGGAAGCGGGAACGCACCCAAAAAAAAAAAAAAGTTCATTGCTTATTTTTCTTGCATTTTCCCAAATTAAAATGAAATGTTCTTCTGCGGGGGGGGAGGGGGGGGCGAGAGAGATGGCGGTGTGGAGTCCAGCGTTTTGAAAGGCAAAGAGACAGACGGGACCCCGAAAAAAATTGCTTGTTCCCAATTTCCTCTCTTTCCCCCCCGAGTGGCCCAAACGCACGAGGAACGGAGTCCAGTTTTATGGAATACTTCATCATTTCCGGATCTTTCGAAAACCAGCGCCAGGGTTGTTTTAAAGACTGCTCTTTCGTCCGCTGCAAAGCCCTCTCCGACAGGCTGAAGGTGGCTGCGAGCCTTTCTGATTGCAGATTATTTTTTCTTTTTAAAGTTTGCAATAACAACAACAAAAAACTGCAGCTCGGAAAACTACGGGGCAAATCTCCGTGCCTAACTGTAGTCCAGAGGGAGAATCCTTGGTAGAAGGAGCTGGGAAATCTTCCTTCGACGGGGACTCGACAAGAGTCTTTTTTTCTTGTCCATAAAGGGGAGGGGGGGGAAATGTACCCGCTGCATAGGGGTTCGGGATGCTGATGAGGCGGCCGTGAGGAAGGGGAGAGAAAACAGCTCCACTTTGCTTCATAGGCAGAAGCTCCCAAAGATCATAGCTGAGGAAGACAGAAGAAAAAGGGGTGGTTAAGAAGCAGAAAGGGGGGCTCAAACTTCCATTTGCAACATCCAACTCTCAGTCTTTTTTTCCCAGTGGGCCTTTTGGGGTAGCCAGAAGACCCTCCCCCCTTTTGCAACCCTCCCACTTCCAATTCCGACGCACACAATTTCCGACCAAAAGCTGCACTGAATTCTGCTGTATTTGGCATTTGAGATCTCACAATGGGATCCCGATCACACCGGGAATCTGGTTTATAGAGTTGGCTACCGTGTTTTCCCCCAAAATAAGAAATCCCCCAGCCATTCATGCTTCAAGATGGGTGGACTTCCACTCCCAGAATCCCCCAGCCATTCGTGCTTCAAGATGGGTGGACTTCCACTCCCAGAATCCCCCAGCCATTCGTGCTTCAAGATGGGTGGACTTCCACTTCCAGAATTCCCCAGCCATTCATGCTTCAAGATGGGTGGACCTCAACTCCCAGAATTCCCCAGTCAGCCATGCTTTAAGAGGGGCGGACTTCCACTCCCAGAATTCCCCAGCCATTCATGCTTCAAGATGGGTGGACCTCAACTCCCAGAATTCCCCAGCCAGCCATGCTTTAAGAGGGGCGGACTTCCACTCCCAGAATCCCCCAGCCATTCATGCTTTAAGATGGGTGGACCTCAACTCCCAGAATCCCCCAGCCATTCATGCTTTAAGAGGGGTGGACCTCAACTCCCAGAATTCCCCAGCCAGCCATGCTTTAAGAGGGGTGGTCTTCCGCTCCCAGAATTCCCCAGCCATTACCTTAGTCACCTTTTCGACAGCTGCCTCCGGGGGTTGTGCCTGTTGCATGACGTCGTTGACGATCATTTTGGCTATCCTCCACGCCATCTCCTCCTGGGCCTACGACAGACCAAAGATGTCCGTCAAGCCCAGGGCATTCTGGGAAGGTGAGTAGCAAGCAGAAGAAAGCTACCCTCCAGGATCCTTGCCTCCCCCTCCAATTCATCTGGGTCCCAAACTGTATTTTCAAGCAATATTTGATGGGCCACTATGCAAATAACTGACCTCTGCATTCTGGTACAGGTAGTCCTCAATTTACGACAGCTGAGCCTAACATTGCTGTTGTTAACTTAGTAACCCAGTTGTTAAGTGGATCTGGCTTCCCCCATTGACTTTGCTTGTCAGAAGGGGATCACGTGATCCGGGGACAATGCAACCGTCATAAGTACATGCCAGTCACCAAGTGGATGAATTTTGATCACGTGATTATGGGGACGCTGCAAAAGTCGTTAAGTGTGAAAAATGGTCGTTAAGTCGCTGTTTTTGAGTGCCAATGTAAGGGCCCACCCCACTTTGCATCTTAAGAAGACAGAACTCTTGGAATAATTCTTCCAACAGGCATCCTTTATTAAGAGAAAATGGTGCAGGCGTTCTAGACAGGACTTGGGGTCCAAGCTCTCCCATGCAAGGTTTTAAGGGGTTCCCCAGTAGCCCCACCCAATCACCCCCCTCTTCCAGCGACAGTCTCAGGCATTGCACTCCCACCCCCTTTTCCTTACTGCCGGCTGGATGGAGACTTCAGAGAAAACTACATGAAAGGTAATAGCCCCATTCTTATGGTTAGTCCTTTTGGTGATACACACATCCTGTTCCTTTCTTCAGAGAAAACTACATGAAAGGTAATAGCCCTTTCATTGTTATGGTTAGTTCTTTTGGCAATACACACATCCAGTTCCTTTGAAGTGTACCGAAGGAAGTGAGGGCCATAAAGCCCCCTTCCCTTCATCGTATGACAGAATCCATAGAAGGCAGAAATGGGGTTTTCTATAATTGATAACTAGAGATGAAATATAATTGGATTCTGACAGCCCCTGAAACTCTGAACGGTCTCTAAACGAAAAATTCTAAGTCAAGGACTAAATTGTGTTTGTTTAATGTCTGTTCACAGTTACCAAGGTACTGGAAAAAGGTCACTTACGACCAGTTCTCGCACTTAACGACCGTCGCATCTGTGTGATCACGTCATCAACGTTTGGAGAGCTGGACAACTGGCCTGTATTTGTGATGGCTGCAGTGTTTCAAGGTCACGTGATCACAATTTGTGACCTTCCAAGCTCGCCTCTAATAAGTCAACGGGGAGACCTGGATTCACTTAACGACCACATGATTCCTGTACCGACGGGGCAAAAAAAAGGTTGTGAAATCCTCACTCGAGGAACGAATCTACCCGATGAGAGGGTTAACTTCCCAAGTATTCAGAGAAGCTGGCCCTGCAGCCATTTTTTTATATTCTGGGGAGGAATTTTTCTGGTTGTACAGTAGTGGCCAAAATTGTGGAAACCTTTTGGGAAAAAAGAGTCTTCTTTGCAAGAAGGTGAGCAAAACTCAATTAACAACATGTTATTTTTCCCAACAGAGCCTCTATTTATCACAGAGCCCAGAGTCGCTTTTTAAGGGAGATAGACATTTTCTAAATTTGATATATATTTTATTTGAGGGAATCAACTATTGTTGTTGTTGTTAATTGCGAAGTCGTGTCCGACCCATCGCGACCCCATGGACAACGTTCCTCCAGGCCTTCCTGTCCTCTACCATCTTCTGGAGTCCATTGAAGCTCACGCCTCCTGCTTCAGTGACTCCATCCAGCCATCTCATTCTCTGTCGTCCCCTTCTTCTCTTGCCCTCCATCTTTCCCAGCATTAGGCCCTTCTCCAGTGAGTCCTTCCTTCTCATTAGGTGGCCAAAGTACTTGAGTTTCAACTTCAGGATCTGGCCTTCTAAAGAGCAGTCGGGGTTGATCTCCTCCAGGACTGACCGGTTGGATCGCCTTGTAGTCCAGGGGACTCGCAGGAGTCTTCTCCAGCACCAGAGTTCAAAGGCCTCCATTCTTTGGCGCTCAGCCTTTCTTATGGTCCAACTTTCACAGCCGTACATTGCAACTGGGAAAACCAAAGCCTTGACTATACGCACTTTTGTTGGCAGGGTGATGTCTCTGCTTTTTAGTATGCTGTCTAGATTTGTACTATTTCAACTATTAAGAGCTACTTAAAGTTTCTTTAGAAAGGGCACCGCCTGCCTCCTGATTTTTAGCTACTATAGACTAACACAGCACTTTTACAAGGTCCCTAAACTCCAGACATACTTGTGCCCTCCTGATTTATTTATCTTTTTTACCTACTTACAGCAGTGGCCAAAATTGTGGAAATCTTTTGGGAAAAGTGTACAGTAGAAATGCCACCTTTGGTTAAGTTTCCACCCATTTTTCTTCTCATTTCTTTATAACTGTAGCCTTGTTCGCTTAATACTATTTTACATCGCTTTCTGGGCGACCCGTCAACTCTTTGCCCCATGACTTTAATTTTATTACGTTTTACAAGCTCACTCAATGAAAGAACACAAAAAAACCCCAACCAACTTGATAGCCATCACACAACACACTGACAAATGTCCTCCTCTCGGCTTCAATATATGACATCCATCACCGAATCCTACTGTGATCTGATTGGCTCATGGCCAAAACAAGAGGACACCCGATTGGCTCTCTAAACACTCATGCTCATTGGCTACCATCAGGTGAAGGAAAGCTACCTGAGATCAACCTGAGCAAGTTGTGCTTCCCTTTTCTGGTTATTTGGCTACAACTTTTCACAGTACAGATAATCAAACAAACTTTGTTGCATTACATTCTTGATTAAATGATTTTTCCACTGATATATAGTTTTATGGTACTACTCTAAAAAAAGGGGGTGTTATTAGCCACCCAACCTCAAAAATACACTTTTCCCAATTTTGTCCACTACTGTACTTGGTTTATGACCTGAATTCTCAATCAGAATAGTGCTGGAAGGGAACCCTTGAGATCATCTAGTCCAGGGCTTTTCAATCTTTTCACCCATATTACCACTTTTAGGATATGGCAACATCCAAGTACCACCAGTCGCCTAGCAAGGTGTCAAATATTTGATGACCCATAAAAAAAAAAGGAAAAAAGGGATAAAGTACAGGTAGTCCTCGACTTACAACAGTTCGCTTAGTGACTGTTCGAAGTTACAACAGAGGCACTGAAGAAAGCGACTTATGACCATTTTTCACACTTATGACCGCTGCATCATCCCCAGGGTCATGTGATTTACATTCAGATGCTTGGCAACTGACTCGTATTTATGATGGTCGCAGTGTCCCCCAGGTCATGTGACCCCCTTTTGCGACCTTCTGACCAGCAAAGTCTATGGGGGGAGCCAGGCTCACTTAACAACTGTGTTGCTAATTTAACAACTGCAGTGATTCACTTAACAAATGTGGCAAAGAAAGTCATCAATTGGGGCAAAACACACTTAACAAATTTCTCCCCCTCCTCCTTTTATATCTTCTCACCCTTCTTTTATATCCTTTCTCTCCCCTCCTTTTATATTGTCTCTTCTCTCCCCTTTTATATCCTCCTCTCCACTCCTTCTATATCTTTTCTCCCCTTTTATATCCTCTCCCCTCCTTCTTTTATATCTTCTCTTCTCACCCTTTTTATATCCTCCTCTCCACCCCTTCTATATCTTTTCTCCCCTTTTATATCCTCTCCCCTCCTTCTTTTATATCTTCTCTTCTCACCCTTTTTATATCCTTTCTCTCCCATTTTATATCCTCCTCTCCACTCCTTCTATATCTTTTCTCCCCTTTTATATCCTCTCCCCTCCTTCTTTTATATCTTCTCTTCTCACCCTTTTTATATCCTTTCTCTCCCATTTTATATCCTCCTCTCCACCCCTTCTATATCTTTTCTCCCCTTTTATATCCTCTCCCCTCCTTCTTTTATATCTTCTCTTCTCACCCTTTTTATATCCTTTCTCTCCCATTTTATATCCTCCTCTCCACTCCTTCTATATCTTTTCTCCCCTTTTATATCCTCTCCCCTCCTTCTTTTATATCTTCTCTTCTCACCCTTTTTATATCCTTTCTCTCCCATTTTATATCCTCCTCTCCACTCCTTCTATATCTTTTCTCCCCTTTTATATCCTCTCCCCTCCTTCTTTTATATCTTCTCACCCTTTTTATATCCTTTCTCTCCCATTTTATATCCTCCTCTCCACCCCTTCTTTTATCTTTTCTCCCCTTTTCTCTCCCCTTTCTTTTATATCTTCTCTTCTCACCTCTTTCATATTCTCCTCTCCACCCCTTCTTTTATATCTTCTCACCCTTCTTTTATATCCTTTCTCTCCCCTCCTTTTATATCGTCTTTTCTCTCCTTCTTTTATATCCTCCTCTCCACTCCTTCTTCTATATCTTTTCTCCCCTTCTTTTATATCCTTTCTCTCCCTTCTTTTATATCTTCTCTTCTCACCCTTTTTATATCCTTTCTCTCGCCTCCTTTTATATCCTCCTCTCCACCCTTTTATCTTTTCTCCCCTTTTCTTTCTCTCCTCTCCTTTTATTTCCTTTCTCCCCTTTATATTTTCTCTTCTCTCCCCTTTTTAAATCTTCTCTCCCCTACTTTTACATCATCTCTTCTCTCCCCTCCTTCTTTTATATTCTCCTCTCCACTCCTTCTATATCTTTTCTCCCCTTTTATATCCTCTCCCCTCCTTCTTTTATATCTTTTCTTCTCACCTTTTATATCCTCTCCCCTCCTTTTATATCCTCCTCTCCACCCCTTCTTTTATATCTTTTCTTCTCACCTTTTATATCCTCTCCCCTCCTTTTATATCCTCCTCTCCACCCCTTCTTTTATATCTTTTCTCCCCTTTTATATCCTTTCTCTCCCCTCCTTTTATATTTTCTCATCTCTCCCTTTTATATCTTCTCTCCCCTCCTTTTATATTGTCTCTTCTCCCCTCCTTTTATACCCTCCTCTCCAGTCCTTCTATCCTTTCTCCCCTCCTTTATATCCTCTCCCTTTTTATATCTTCTCTTCTCACTCTTCTTTTATATCCTTTCCCTCCTCCTTTTATATCGTCTCTTCTCTCCCCTTTTATATCCTTTCTCTGCCTTTACATCCTTTCTCCCCTTTTTATCTTCTCTTCTCTCCCCCTTCTTTATATCCTTTCTCTCCCCTCCTTCTTTTATATCCTCACTTCTCCCCCCTTACACTTTTTTATACTTCCCCCCTTGCACTTTTTTATACACTTTTTTCCCCAGTGCTTTTTCAACCGCCATACGGGAACCCTCTGCCAGGTGCCAACGTACCACCAGTGGGACGCCTGCCAACGGTTGAAAAGCCCTGCTCTAGTCCAACCCCCTGCTGAAGCAGGAGACCTAAAACGAACAATTTGCCTGCACACCCAGACGCAGAGGAGGGTCTCTCGGAATCGCCAAAGAGGTGGGTCGTATTTTTTCCGTAAGTAGGGAGGGCCTTACCTCATCTGTATTTCCTTGCACCCATTTCTTCATTGCTTGTGAAAACATGGACCCTGGGAAGAGAAGGAGAAGAGCTGAGAAACATCGTGTTTTATGTAGTCCACATGACTAGCTGAGGAATTCTGGGAGTGGAAGTCCACCCCTCTTAAAGCATGCTGGCTGGGGGATTCTGGGAGTGGAAGTCCACCCCTCTTAAAGCAGGCTGGCTGGGGAATTCTGGGAGTGGAAGTCCACCCCTCTTAAAGCAGGCTGGCTGGGGAATTCTGGGAGTGGAAGTCCACCCCTCTTAAAGCAGGCTGGCTGGGGAATTCTGGGAGTGGAAGTCCACCCCTCTTAAAGCAGGCCAGCTGGGGAATTCTGGGAGTGGAAGTCCACCCTTCTTAAAGCATGGTGGCTGGGGAATTCTGGGAGTGGAAGTCCACCTGTCTTAAAGCAGGCCGGCTGGGGAATTCTGGGAGTGGAAGTCCACCCCTCTTAAAGCAGGCTGGCTGGGGAATTCTGGGAGTAGAAGCCCACCCCTCTTAAAGCAGGCTGGCTGGGGAATTCTGGGAGTGGAAGACCACCCCTCTTAAAGCATGCTGACTGGGGAATTCTGGGAGTGGAAGTCCACCCCTCTTCAACCTGCTAAGGCTGAGAAACTTTGGCTTAGGAGAATCTTGAGGAGGAAGAGGCAGCTGACCTTTGGACTTCTTGATGTCCGGTTCTGGCTCCGATTCTCGAATGAACTGGCCCAGGTTGCTCACACGGCCAAACGTCATCTTCCTGAAGCGGGAGGAAGAGCGGCTTATAAGCTCTGGGAGAGGGGTTAGGGTTGCAGCCGAGATGGCAGGTCCACGGCAAAGGAACTGGCCAGGTTTCCCCCCCACCTCCTTGCAGGCTCAAATCACACCTGTTTGCCTGGAGGGCCTATTATTCTTTCCCCATTTCAGAGAAGGAAACCTTGTTCTCCCACCTTCACGCAAGGGGAAAAGCAATTTAAAGCTGACCACGGGGGAAACAGGGACTTGAGCAAGACTTGAACAGCCCGTCGCTTGAAGGAAGTGGAAACCCAATGGTCGTAAGTGCGAGGACTGGCGTTAAGTAGCTTTTCCCAGCACTGTCGTCCCTTTGAACAGAGGCTAAAGAAACGGTCCTACAGTTGGGGACTATAGTAGTGGCCGAAATTGTGGAAAACCTTTTGAGAAAAGTGTATTTTTGGAGGTTTGATGGCTAATAACACCCCTTTTTTTGGGGGGGGGAGTAGTTCCATAAAATTATATATCAATGGAAAGATAATTTAATCAAGAACATCATGCAACAAACATTGTTCAATTATCTGTACTGTATTCTATGAAAAGTGAGAGCCAAATAACCAGAAAAAGGAAGCACAACTTGCTCAGGTTGATCTCAGGTAGCTTTCCTTCACCTGATGGTAGCCAATGAGCAGGAGTGTTTAGAGAGCCAATCGGGTGTCCTTTTCTTTTGGCCATGAGCCAATCAGATCACGGTAGGATTCAGTGATTGATGTCATGTATTGAAGCCGAGAGGAGGACATTTGTCAGTGTGTTGTGTGATGGCTATTAAGTTGGTTGGGGTTTTTTTGTGTTCTTTCATTGAGCGAGGTTGTAAAACGTAATAAAATTAAAGTCATGGTGCAAAGAGTTGACTGGTCGCCCAGAAAGCAATGTAAAATAGTATTATTAAGCAAACAAGGCTACAGTTATAAAGAAATTAGAAGGAAAATGGGTGGAAACTTAACCAAAAAGTGGCATTTCCACTCTACACTTTTCCCAAAAGGTTTCCACAATTTGGGCCACGACTGTACTCCTATTGTCATAAGGTAGAACAATTCAATCCCCAGATCTGTCAGTTCTTACCCTGAAGAAAATCAAGATGGGATTGCCTTGAGTTTCTTTCTCACCTTCCCTTCTAAATCCTTCCTTTTCCCTTAACAGCTTTCTCAACCTCGGCTCTAGATTGTTTGACCGGGAAGGGGCCATCCGGATGTGAGGTTAAAACCAGACAGGCATTCTAAAAGCAACAGGCTCATCCCAGGGTTTTTTTTTGTAACCCACAAATTGATCTCTTTTCTGCTGGCTGGAGAACTAGCTGCATTTGTGCTCAGCTGCCACTCGGCACGACAAAAAAACAAAAAACACCTTACCCAGCGTAGGTCCGCTGATACAGAGACTCGGGGTCCAGGCTGGCAGCATCGACAATTATTGCTTCATCAAAGTTTTTCAGGATTTTTATGCTGGCCTTTTTGAGGCTGGGCTGTGATTATGATCCAGAGAATGAGAAGAGGAAGGAAAAAAAAAAGAAAAGAAAAAAGGACCTCATATAACTGTAATTTGGACTTAACTTTTCATAAAAGATCTATCTATCTATCTATCTATCTATCTATCTATCTATCTATCTATCTATCTATCTCTATCATCAATCTCTATATCTATCATCAATCTCTGTATCTATCTCTGTATCTATCTATCTATCATCAATCTCTATATCTATCTATCATCAATCTCTATCAATCTATTTCTTTCTATCTATCTATCATCTATCTATCATCAATCTCTATCATCAATCTATATCTATCTATCTATCTATCTATCTATCTATCTATCTATCTATCTATCTACTTTCTCTCTCTATAGCTATCATGTATCTCTCTCTCTATATATATATAATTGTCTGTCTGTCTGTCTGTCTGTCTATCTATCTATCTATCTAATCTGCCTACTTACCTGTCAATCTCTTTCTCTCTCTCTCTACCTACCTGTCTGTCTATCTCTGTCTGTCTGGATTTCTCTGGCTTACCTGTGTCCTCAGGGTCACCTGAGTGGTGCAAATGGGTGTGGAGCCTCTTTGGAACTGCGGAAAGGACCGTGTTGTAGACTGGAGATAGATGATGTTATATCCCTCCCCCTCTGTTGACGGAGGGCTGTTCAATTTTGACATAGATACCCTCTTTGACCCCTTTTTCAAACCAGTGGTCCTCTCTATCCAACACAGAACAAACCCAACAGGAGAAGAGTCAGCCGTCCATCTGCATTTAAGAGACGAAGGCCGCTCTTTCGAAGACAGCAAAGTCCACATTTTGGACAGAGAAGACGGCTGGCTTGAAAGAGGGGACAAAGAGGCCATCTAGGTCAAGATTGAGCAGCCCTCCCTCAACAGAGGGGGAGGGACAGGACATCATCCATCTCCAGTCTACAACACGGTCCTTTCAGCGATTCCAAGGAGACTCCACACCCATTTGCACCACTCAGGTGACCCTGAGGGGACAGGTAAGCCTCCAGATGGCCTCAACGACTCTCTAAAAGAATGCAAATGACCAGCTGTCTGCAAGGAGTATAAATCCTTCCATTCCCCCACCATCCGGTCACAGCTGAAGAAGCTTCTTGGATGAGAAGCGAAACGCCTTCAAAGAAAAACAAGAAAGTCCAGTTGCCTCCTGAAAAAAGCACCTTTGGGACAACCCTGACCTGGATGGCTGAGAACATCCATGGATAAAAACGAAACACCCATGTGATCATCCCCGTACGACAGACACATAATGTTCCCTGATGGGCGGTGCCGGAGAAGTTGGCTCGACCTTCAGAGCCATCTTTTCTCATTTTAATTGTCACTCTCGGCTTTTAGGCTGAATTTTCTCCTAGTTAACTGACTTCACGGACTAACAGTCCAGAGCAGAGTCCCCCAAATCTTTGGGCACCACCAGGGACCGGCTCCATGGAGAGGTTTTTCCACGGACCGGAAAGTGCGTGGTTTTGTATGCTGCCTGCATCCCAAGGATGGGGCTTTGCTTGTTTGTGTGGACCGGTTGCTGACATTCTGCGGCCCGGTACCGATCCATGCACTGGGGGTTGGGGACCTGTCATTGATGATAGATTGAGATAGATAGATGATAGAAAGATAAATAAAGGATAGAAAGATGACAGACTGTTAAATGATAGATAGATATATAGATAGATATGAATAGATAAATAAGTATTAGATGAATAGATAGAGAGGGTAGATAAAGAGACAGGCAGGCAGACAGACAGATAAATGATAAAGGATAGAAAGATGACAGACTGATAAATGATAAATAGATATGGATAGATAAATAAGTAGTAGATGAATAGATAGATAGAGAGAGTAGATAGATAGGCAGGCAGCAAGGCAGATAGATAAACGATAAAGGATAGAAAGATGACAGACTGATAAATGATAGATAAATAGATATGGATAGATAAATAAGTAGTAGATGAATAGATAGAAAGAGAGAGAGGGTAGATAGATAGATAGATAGATAGATAGATAGATAGATAGATAGATAGATAAGATAGGTAGGTAGGTAGATAATGATTAGATAGACAGACATGAAAGAAATAGACAATGGGGAGGTAGGATAGATATAGAGATACAGAGAAAGAGAGAGAAATAGACAGAAATAGATAGGAGAGAGGTAAGGATGAATAGAGATAGATAGATAGATAGATAGATAGATAGATAGATAGATAGAAGACATAGATAGGCAATGGAGAGGTAGGATAAGCAGAGATAGAGCTACAGAGAAAGAGATAGAAATAGACCAGTGATTCTCAACCTTTCTAATGCCGTGACCCCAAAATACAGTTCCCCATGTTGTGGTGACCCCCAAGTGGGTGTGGCCACCAATAAGAGGGAGTAGGACAGCTAGGGAAAAGGGAAAAAAATGGCAGACAGTGTGGTTTGGTGACCCCTGTGAAATGGTCATTTGACCCCAAATGGGGTCCCGACCCACAGGTTGAGAACCACTGAAATAGACAAATAGATAGGAATGAGAGACCCTCTGGTCCAGAGGACCTTATCAAAAGTTAAGCCATCAGAGCTACTAAGAAGAGGCAGACAAAGAACCCGGAGGAAGACTTAGGGCAGACAGCTGAGGAATTCTGGGAGTTGAAGTCCACAAGTCATAAAAGGGCCAAGCTGGAAGACCCCTGACTTAGGGGTTTTTGGGAGGTGGGGAAAAAAGGAGACCAACAAGTATCAACTGAGCACCTGGGAAGTAGCCCCGCTGTCCGCAGCACCCGTGTGGGAATAGTGATCGGAAGTATTGCCGAGACCGTGGACGTTCAGGGTGAGACCGCCACCTCCGCTGGCAAACTCATCTCCCCGGACCGAATGGATGAGGTCGTTCAAGTATTTGTAATAAAGGTTGCTGGACAGGAAGCTGGGTAAGAAAACCTGCGAGACGGGAGAGAAAAGTAGCGTGTGGAAATGACAAAGAGAATATGGGTAGCTCGGAGTGGAACGTGGCTTCCTCTAAGCTGGGCTAGTTTTTTTTTTGTTTGGTTTGGTTTTGCAGACGTTTCATGACCCAGGTGGGTAACATCATTAGGGCTAGAAGGCAGTGGAGTTGGCAGAGTGAAAGAGAAGGAGAAGGGGAGGGCAAGGGGGAGGAGGAGGAGGAGGAGGAGGAAGGGGGAGACTGTGGGGTCCTTGGTGCTCTCTGAGCCTGGTGGTTTTCTTGCAGACATTTCATGATCCAACTAGGGAACATCATCAGTGCTAGAAGAGAGGTGGAGGAGGAGGAGGAGGAGGAGGAAGCAAGGAAGGAAGGAAAGGACTGTGGGGTCCTTGGGGCTCTCTGAGCCTGGTGGTTTTCTTGCAGACGTTTCATGACCCAACTAGGAAACATCATCAGTGCTAGAAGAGAGGAGGAGGAGGAAATAATGGACTGTGTGGTCCTTGGTGCTCTCTGAGCCTGGTGGTTTTTCCTGCAGACGTTTCATGAACCAAGTAGGGAACATCATCAGTGCTAGAAGGAGGGAGGAGGAGGAGGAGGAGGAAATGGACTGTGGGGTCCTTGGTGCTGTCTGAGCTGGGTGGATTTCTTGCAGACATTTCATGACCCAACTAGGGAACATCATCAGTGTCAGAAGGGAGTGGGGTTTGTGGTGGTGGTGGTGGAAGAGAAGGAGGAGGAGGAGGAGGAGGAGAACTGTGGGGTCCTTAGCGTTTTCTGAGCTTGATGGTTTTTTTTGCAGACGTTTCATGACCCAGCTAGGTAACATCATCAGGGCTCGAGGGGAAGGAGGTCCTGAAACCAATCTTTGCAATGTCTGGTTAAACACGGTTCACAGGTGATAGAAAAATTATTTCTCTGCCAATGGTGGCAGAAACAGCTCACCTTACATAAAAAGGACAGTTTCTGAACCTCAACAATTTTTAAGACAGGTGGACTTCAACTCCCAAAATTCCTCAGCCAGTATATCTTACGTCATACTAATGGGGAATTCTGGGAGTGGAAGTCCACCCATCTAAAAAGATGCTGAGATTGAGACACACCGAGATAAAAAAAAACAACAATAAAAATGCCACAGGCTGATCTAAATCCCTGTCAAGCAGCCTGCACAGCCGAACCATGCTCAAGGCTCCTTAACCAGATCCCTCCAAGTCCTGTCGGACTATTTCAGGCTGCTCCTGAGGGGCCTTTGTCACCATTCTCACACACACCCCACACACTTGAATTGAGGCCTGGTATTCTACCACAGGAGCAATTAGCAAGCATATTGATCCAGATCCAGCATAGGAATAGGTAAGAAACCAGACCGTTTGAAGTGCCAATCAACAAGAGAACCAACCAGCTGCTCAGAATTCCAATATAGCTACAAACAAACAAAAAAACAAACAACCGCACAACCAACTGACCACACTGGCACACTTATAAGCTAAGGCAGGGGTCTTCAAACCTGGCCATTTTATGACTTGTGGACTTCAACTCCCAGGATTCTGGGATTGGAAGTCCATAAGTCTTAATTTGGCCAAGTTTGAAGACCCCAGAGCTAACATCAGCAGCAGGATGTTCTTCTTCCTATTCTCCTTAGCTCAGGGGTCTTCCAACTTGGCCCTTTTATGACTTGTGGACTTCAACTCCCAGAATTCTGAGCCAGCATGAGGGAAACTTTGGCCCCTTCATGACTTGTGGACTTCAACTCCCAGAATTCCTGAGCCAGGCATGGGGGGAACTATGGCCCCCTCATGACTCGTAGACTTCAACTCCCAGAATTCCTGAGCCAGCATGAGGGAAACTTTGGCCCCCTCATGACTCGTGGACTTCAACTCCCAGAATTCCTGAGCCAGGCATACTGAGGGGAAAGGGAGAGGCTTCCAAGCTGAGCCATGCTGGAGCAGGAATTCTGGGAGTTGAAGTCCACCAGTCACGAAGAGGCCAAAGTTTCCCTCATGCTGGCTGAGGAATTCTGAGAGTTGAAGTCCACAAGTCATGAAGGGGCCAAAGTTTCCCCCATGCTGCCTCAGGAATTCTGGGAATTGAAGTCCACAAGTCCTGAGGGGCCATATTTCCCCCATGCTGGCTCAGGAATTCTGGGAGTTGAAGTCCACCAGTCACGAAGGGGCCAAAATTTCCCTCATGCTGGCTCAGGAATTCTGGAAGTCCACAAGTCATAAAAGGGCCAAGTTGGAAGACCCCTGAGCTAAGGAGAATAGGAAGAACATCCTGCTGCTGCTCAGGGGTCTTCAAACTTGGCCAAATTAAGACTTATGGACTTCAACTCCCAGAATCCTGGGAGTTGAAGTCCACAAGTCATAAAAGAGCCAAGTTTGAAGACCTCTGAACTAGACCTTCAAATATTGAGTGAGAAGGACCCCAGCCAGCAGAATTCTGGGAGTTGAAGTCCACAGATGCTGTCTGTGGCATTCTGAGAGTTGAAGTCCACAAGTCATAAAAGGGCCAGGCTGGAAGACCCCTGAACTAGACCTTCAAATATTGAGTGAGAAGGACCCCAGCCAGCAGAATTCTGGGAGTTGAAGTCCACAGATGTTGTCTGTGGCATTCTGGGAGTTGAAGTCCACGAGTCATAAAAGGGCCAAGTTTGGAAGACCCCTGAGCTAAGGAGAATAGAAGAACATCCTGCTGATGAATTCTGGGAGTTGAAGTCCACACGTCTTAAAGTGGCCAGGTTCGAAGGCCCCCGGGTTAGCTAGTTCTGCTAACGAAACGTTCAGAAATGGAAAGAAGCGTGGAGAGCAAAAACCGCGGCCGAAATCTAAAAACTCCGAGGCGCGAGTGTTCTCTCTTCCTTCATTCCCACCTTCTCCATGGTGGTCCAGGCCTGTCTCAGCGGAGTGGTGAAGCAGTTGGGGAGTGGTCCGCCTTCCCTGCAGATGTTGGACTCAATTTCCAACCGTACGGAGTCATCGAACCCGAGAGGATGAGTGGATTGAAGAGAGAAGTACCTGGGTTTTTTTGGGGAGGAGGGAAGGAAGAGGGTGGTGGGCAGGCAGAGAAAGAGAGAGAGAGAGAGAGAGAGAGAATGGTCAGATTTGAGACCCCAAAGGTGAAAAAGAGCTTTTCCAACTTCGTTTTTTTTGCTCCCTCGGTGGATGGTGTTTTGTCAATCTGGGGCGGGTGTCGGGAGGGGAGGACGGAGTGAAACAGTGACACCCCCCCACCACCCTTCTAGCATTGAGACTACAGGTGGTCCTTGACTTATGACCACAACTCCACCCAGTTTTTCTGTGGTTCAGTGGGTTTTTGCCCCATTTTACGACCTTCCGTGCCAGGGAACCACAGCAGTGGTTAACACGATAATAACATCGTGGTTAAGTGAATCTGGCTTCCCCATGGAAATAATAATAATAATACTAATAATGCTAATAACTACTACTAATAATAATCTGCCTATCCCAGGTCCTACTCGATAGGTGGACAAAATGCCAAATCCAGTCTGAACATCGGGCTGACTATGCAATGATTATTATTATTAATAATAAGAATAAAGTTGGAAGGGACCTTGGAGGTCATCTAGCCTGACCCCCTGCTCAGGCAGGAAACCCTATCCCATTTCAAACAAATGGCTGTCCACTCTCTTCTTAAAAACCTCCAGTGTTGGATCATTCACAGCTTCTGGAAGCAGGTTGTTAATAATAATAATAATAATAATAATAATAATAATAATAATAAAGTTGGAAGGGACCTTGGAGGTCATCTAGCCTGACCCCCTGCCCAGGCAGGAAACCCTATCCCATTTCAGACAAATGGCTGTCCACTCTCTTCTTTTAAAACCTCCAGTGTTGGAGCATTCACTGCTTCTGGAGGCAGGTAGTTCCACTGGTGAATTGTTCTCACGGTCGGAAAGTTTTCTCCTTTGATTGTCAGAAGGTGGCAAAAGGGGGGGGGAACGTGACCCCGGGACACTGCAGTGGCCATCAATATGAGCCTGTTGCCAAGCGTCTGGTTTTGGTCATGTGACCAGGAGGCTGCCACGACAGTCGTTAAGTGTGAAAAATAATCATAAGCCGCCGAAGGCGATCGGGTGACTCTGGGACACTGGATCTCAGCCTGCTTTCACCAGGGCTGGCCAGATGCAAAGTAAGGGGTGAGGAGGGGGGATGAGAGAGAGAGGTGTAAGTAAGAAGGAGGCTCACTTATCATACAGAATCATGGCATCGTTCTGGGCCTCCTGCCCGTCATACTGGCCCTCTTTGGATGCCAGCTGGGACTGGAAATTGTCTGCTGCCAGCCAGAACTGCAGGATGTTCACAGCATCTTCTTTCTCCATGAACTGGGAAAAATAAATCAGACAGATGTTGGAAATGCAAACATAAGTCAGGCCCTTATTACCACGTGACAAAGTAAAGAGTTATTGGAAAAAGATAACATATTTGGCTAGGAAGGAGGTTGGGAAAGAAAACACGTAGATTTTAAACCTGCACTTTTTTTTTTTAATTAGTAATAATGCCAGAAAAGACTAACAAACAAAGCTTATGTTTGATTTTGCGTGCCACAACAGCGGCCAGAATTATATTCGCGCACTACTGGAAAAAAAAACAAAGGAATGTCATCAGATGAAGAAATAATCATAATAAAAAAAATACTAGAATGCGCAGAGATGGAGTGTGAGACTGAAAGAAAAAGAAGAAACGGAATGTCGTCCCGTCTGGGACTTATTTTATCGATGGCTAGAGGGAAGAATAAAGGATTAGGAATTAAATATGTATCATTAGTGAATGTAAACTCAAGACAGCACGTTGGTTGAAAAATTATTACTGAATGTATGGGGAGGGGGAGAAATCAATAAAAACTTCAAAAAAAAAAAAGAAAATCAGGAAAAGGTGAGCGCAAAGGTTCCTCCGTGGAGGGCTAAAATTCGGTGTGGGGGGGGGAAAGGACAAGGGGGAAGAATGGGCGGGAAGGGAAAGGAGAGGGAAGGAAAACAAAAGGAAAGGAAAGGAAAGACAGAAGGAGGGAAAGAGGGGGAAAAGGAAGGAAAGGGAAAGGAAGCAGGAAGGAAGAGGGAAGGGAAGGGAAGGGAAAGAAAAGGGAAGAAATGGGAACGGAAGGGAAGGGAAGGAGAATAAACCAGAATTGGGCATTCTAGACCAGGGCTTTTCAACCAGGATATGCATAAATCAAAATTTATGGATACATGTAAGAAAGTTATTTTTGATTTAATCGATATAAGAATTGGATTAATTTAAAGATGAGACAGTAAATACTAAGGGGAAAAGAAAGGAAACATTTAATATAACAGTTTGAGATCTGCACTAAAGACATTTGTATGTTATTGAATTATTGACCAACTCAGCCGCCACGTTGCTTTTCAAATATTTAAATGTAAAACTAGAACAGGGCTTTTCAACCAGTGGTACGGGTACCACCTCTGGTCCATTGGCACCTGGCAGGGGGTACGCAACCATCCCAGAAAAGTGGTAGCGGGGGAGGGGAATGAGCTGAACCGGTGGCAGCACCACACAAGCCTGAGCGAGAGACGGCTGGAGCTGCAGGGCTGTCAGGGCTCAGCGGAAGCGCCAGGATGAGTGCCGCTTTCCAGCTGATTGGTGCTTCTTCAGGGCTGTCAGGGCTCAGTGGAAGCGCCAGGATCAGCGCCAGGCTCCAGCTGGAGCTCAGCACTGATCCTGGTGCTTCTGCTGAGCCCAGAAGAAGCGCCGATCAGCTGGAATGTTGCAGCCTCTCCAGGGTCTTGTGATTTACATTCAGATGCTTGGCAACGGATTCATATTTATGACGGTCACAGTGTCCCAGGGTCATGTGAAGTGACCAAAACCTGCTGCAACCACCCAGCAGACGGGGGGAATAAAAACCAACCCCCCCCACCCCACCCCCACTGCCAATCCTCAACAGAAATGCTCCCAACAATGAAAACCTCGGACAGGAGGAAGAGCGCCATCGGGCGGGCAGGCAGGTGTCTTGCTCGGCTGGGGCTTGGGGGGCACTTTTTTCAGTGCCGTTGTAACTTTGAACAGTCACTAAGCGAACTGTTGTAAGTCGAGGACTACCTGTACTTTATCACTTTTTTCCTTTTTTTTTTTTTTTTGGTCATCAAGTTTTTGACACCTTGCTAGGTGACTGGTGGTCCTCGGATGTTGCCATATCCTAAAAGTGGTATAGTGGGTGAAAAGGTTGAAAAGCCCTATTCTACGGAAGGGAAGGAAAGGGAAGGGAAAGGAAGGGAAGGAAAGGTTAGGAGGAGGAGGGGAATAAATCAGAATTAGTCATTCAAGGGAAGGGAAGGGAAGGGAAAGAAAGGGAAGGAGAAAGCAATAGTAAATGAAAGGCAGAGGGAAGGAAGGATGGAAGTAAGGTAGTGGCGTGGAGGAAATGGAAAGGAAATGGAAAGGAAAGACAGAGGGAAAGAAACAGGCGAGAAAGAAAAGAAAGGAAAGGGGAAAGAAAAGGAAGGAAAGAGTTAAGAGCAGAGGGAAGCGAAGGGAGAGGGAATGAAAGAGGGAAGGAAAGAAGGAAGAAAAAGGAAAGGAAGGGAAGGCAGAGGGGGGAAGGGAAGGGAGAAAGGAAAGGGAAGAACAGGAAGGATGGAAGAAAGAAAGAAAGAAAGAAAGGGAGGAAGGAATGGGAAAGGAAAACAAGGAAAAAAAGAAGGAAGGCAGAGGAACAGGGAAAAGGAAAGAAGGGAAGGAAGGAAGGGAAGAAAAAGAAAGGAAGGAAGCAGGAGAAGGGAAGGAGAGCAGATAAGGAGGGAGACCCACAGTATTGAATAACTGGAGGTTGTATAAATATTTATAGAAGTATATACCGAGAAGGTTAGATAAACAGAAGTATTAATGTAAGAGAAAATTAATCTTATTGTATATAATACAGATAGGGAAATTTGGAGAGAGGAGTTGCTCGGACATTACCCCTGAATGGTATCTGAAGAGGGATGGGAGGGAAGAAAGGAGAGGAGAGAGAAAAGAGTGAAGGAGGGGAGAAGGAAGTAGGAAGGATGGAGGAGAAGAGGAGAAGTGGGGAGAAAAGGGAGGAGAGTGGTGAAGGGAAGAGAAGAGGAAGGGAAGTAGGGAAGAGAAAAAAGGGAGAAAGAAGGTAGAGAAGGAGGAGTGTGGATACAGTGAAAGGGGAAATGGGTGAGCAACACCAAAAGTCATGTGTACGTATTTATTTCATTTTATTAAAAGTATCTTATATATGAATGTAAAAAGAAATGTATGTTAATATCTGATAAAGATCACGGTATATATGTATGGGGGAGAGTTTGGAAAAATAAAAAATTATTATTATAAAAAAAAATATGCACCTTTGAAACTGTCGTAACATTAAGCTCCCGAATAAAAGATTTGAACACGAAAAAAAGCTTCCCAGATCGACACGACGCTCTTTGTTACCCCGTCAGCGACACACACAGAGCGTGTGAAATCATGGGACAGGTTTCACAACCAGCAAACCGCACTACGAACACCTCCTAGGCAGAAAATAAAAATCTTTTGGGGTGGGGTGAGAAGTGACACGGCAACTTTTGACAACTCTCCAGACTCCTTCAACAGCTGCGAAAAGGATTCTGTCTGCCCTTAAATTAAACTTACAGGCTTTTCGCAGCCTCCGCCAGGCAGGAAAGATTCAGCGGCGAGCAGAGAATAACCGTTTTTTTTTTTTCAGGTGTGCAAAATCCACGTGCCGAGAGAACCAATTAATACAGGTAGTCCTCAACTTACGACCGCAACGGAGTCCAAGATTTCCGTTGCTAAGTGAGACATTTGTTAAAGAGAGCTTGGCTGCGTTTTTACGACCTTTCTCACCTTCTTAAAACCAGGGGTCTTCCAACTTGGCCCTTTTATGACTTGTGGACTTCAACTCCCAGAATTCCTCAGGCATGCTGGCTGAGTCCTCAAGTCATAAAAGGCACACCTGGCTGAGGAATTCTGGGAGTTGAAGTCCACAAGTCATAAAGGGCACGCCTGGCTGAGGAATTCTGGGAGTTGAAGTCCTCAAGTCATAAAAGGCACGCCTGGCTGAGGAATTCTGGGAGTTGAAGTCCTCAAGTCATAAAAGGCACGCCTGGCTGAGGAATTCTGGGAGTTGAAGTGCTCAAGTCATAAAAGGGCCAAGCTGGAAGACCCCTGTCTTAAACAAAGGACTGCAGTTGTTTAGTTAGTCACCCTCGTTGTTAAGTGAATCCCACTGACTTTGCGTGTGAGGTCGCAGAAGGGGGTCACGTGACCCCCGGGAACACTGCGACCGTCGTAAATACGAGTCAGTCGACAGGCGTCGGAATTTTGATCAGGTGACCCTGGGGAAGCTGCAACAGTCGTTAAGGGTGAAAAATGGTCATCAGTGACTTTTTTTCCCCAGCGCCATTTTAACTTTGAACAGTCACTAAACCAGCGGTTCTCAACCTATGGGTCGCGACCCCATTTGGGGTCGATCGACCATTTTTCGGGGGTCGCCAAAGAAGGCGATCTGCCATTTTCTCCCCTCAAGGGGCGGCGGCGCGCATGCGCAGAACGTTTGTGTGACGGGGGTCGCCGTCACACAAACGTTGAGAACCACTGCACTAAACAAACCGCTGAACTCAAGGACTATCTGTACACAGGTGTCCAATTTGTCGACTTTAAGACCCGCGGACTTCAACTCCCAGAATTCCCCAGCCAGTGTGCCTGGCTGAGGAATTCTGGGAGTTGAAGTCCACAAGGCTTAAAGCAGGGGTCTTCAAACTTGACCCTTTTATGACTTGTGGACTTCAACTCCCAGAATTCCCCAGCCAGCGTGCTTGGCTGAGGAATTCTGGGAGTTGAAGTCCACAAGTCATAAAAGGACCAAGGTGGAAGACCCCTGGCTTAAAGCTTGCAAAGATGAACACCCCTGGTCTACTATATCTTGGAGAGCGAAGAGATGAAAACAACATTGTGTGTGTGTGTGTGTGTGTGTGTGTGTGTGTGTAAAGTTATGAAGTTTGCTTTCACAACTAACCCTGAACTTTCAAGCACACACAACTGAGGTTAAAGTAGGGAGGACAACCGTCCTTACAGCGCTGTTGGGAAGATAAATTCCACCAGATTGTCACGAACCGAGACACCCAGAGTCACACTTTGAGAGTGTGATGTGTGTGTGTGTGTGTGTGTATAAACTGAAAATAACATTAAAACTAAAATTCTGCTAGGTTTCACCAAACGCGAGACCGCGAGAAGGGAAGGAAGTGCAATGAAAATTTTAAACCAGTCGGCATGTTTCAAATACTGTTGGGGAAAACCACCTTAAATAAGAATTTTAAACAGGGTCTATGACGAGGCAAAAAAGGTGACCCATTTGAAAAGAGCCTTTATACCAATGTGGTTATTATTGCAGAAATATTAGGGAAAAAATATCTATATTTCATTGTTATTTACCTAAATAATAAGAATTCTATTCATTCAAGGTTGGCGAAAGAGAGCATTTCTGGAAGAAGAAAACGTCAAGCAAAGCTATTTGGTGGACTACAGCAGGGCTTTTCAACCTTTTCACCTACTGTACCACTTTTAGAATACGGCAACATCCAAGTACCACCTGTCGCCTAGCAAGGTGTCAAAAATGTGATGACCAAAAAAAAAAAAAAAAAGGAAAAAAGTGATAAAGTACAGGTAGTCCTCGACTTACAACAGTTCGCTTAGTGACTGTTCGAAGTTACAATGGCACTGAAAAAAGTGCCCCCCAAGCCACAGCCGAGCAAGACACCTGCCTGCCCGCCCGGCGGCGCTCTTCCTCCTGTCCGAGGTTTTCATTGTTGTGAACATTTCTGTTGAGGATTGGCAGCGGGAGTGGAGTGGGGGGGTGTTGGTTTTCATCCCCCCCCCCCGTCTGCTGGGTGGTTGCAGCAGGTTTTGGTCACTTCCCATGACCCTGGGACAATGTGAATGTCATAAATATGAATCTGTTGCCAAGCATCTGAATGTAAATCACAAGACCCTGGAGAGGCTGCAACATTCCAGCTGATCGGCGCTTCTTCTGGGCTCAGCAGAAGCACCAGGATCAGTGCTGCTTTCCAGCTGGAGCCTGGCACTGATCCTGGCGCTTCCGCTAAGCTCTGACAGCCCCGAAGAAGCGCCCATCAGCTGGAGCCTGGCGCTGATCCTGGCGCTTCTGCTGAGCCCTGACAGCCCTGCAGCTCCAGCCGTCTCTCGCTCAGGCTTGTGTGGTGCTGCCACCGGTTCAGCTCATTCCCCTCCCCCGCTACCCCTTTTCTAGGATGGTCGTGTACCACCTGCCAGGTGCCAATGGACCACAGGTGGTACCCGTACCACTGGTTGAAAAGCCTTGATCTACAGAATTGTAGAAACTAATTGTTATTGATTGCTTTTTAAAATATAAACCCAGACAACACGATGTTTACCAAGGTGATTATGTAAATGAAAATAAAACATATTAAGGAGAAGAGGAGGAGGAGGAGGAGGAGAAGGAATGCCTCGTCTCACCTCGGAAAAATAAAAAAGGGCCGATTCGCAGAAGAGGATATCAGCTAGGTAGACGGTCCCGCTCGTCAGCACCTCAATCTGATATTTGCAGAAGTGATGGCTTCGCAGGAATTCGCTAAAGTGCCTATGAGAGGAGGGGAAAAAAGGGGGATATTCCAGCATCAGAAGCCAAGAAATCAGTTCCTTTCCCAGAATTACAGAGTTGGAAGGGTCCCTGGAGGTCATCTAGTCCAACCCCCTGCTCAGCCAGGAGAGCCTAAACCAGGGGTCTTTAAACTTGGCCCTTTTAATGACCTGTGGACTTCATCTCCCAGAATTCCTCAGCCAACGTGCATGCTGGCTGAGGAATTCTGGGAGTTGGAGTCCACAAGTCATAAAAGGGCCAAGCTGGAAGACCCCTGGCCTAAACCATTTGAGACAAATGGTTGTCCAGCCTCTTCTTAAAAACACATGGAACATACACAGCTTCTGGAGGCAAGCCATTCCATTGATTATTAAGAGAATCGTAACCCTGAAAAGGGACCTTGGAGGTCTTCTAGTCCAACCCCCTGCTCAGGCAGGAAAAACCCTATACCATTTCAGACAAACGGCTGTCCAGTCTCTTCTTAAAAACCTCCAGTGATGGCGCATTCACCGCTTCTGAAGGCAAGCTGTTCCACTGAATAATCAACACAGAATAACAAGAGTTGGAAGGGACCTTGGAGGTCATCTAGTCCAACCCCCTGCTCAGTCAGGAAGCCCTATACCATTTCAGATAAATGGTTGTCCAGTCTCTTCTTTAAAAAAAAACAAAACCCTCCAGTGATGAAGAACCCACAACCTTTGGAGGGAAGCCATTCCAGTGATTTAATCATTCTCACTGTTGGGAAATTCCTTTTTAATTTTAGATTGGATCTTCCTTTGATGCCAGAGTGGAGAGAAATCAGAGAGGAAGAATGACCTAGCAGGATATTTTTGAACATTTTTCCAGCAAAGGGTTAGGAGACTGGAGGCTAAAACATACAAGGAACGGTTGCTGGAATTGGGTAGGTCTAGTTTAATGAAGAGAAGGACGAAGGGGGACATGATAGCAGCCTTCCAGTATCTCAGGGGCTGCCCCAAAGAAGAGGGAATCAAGCTATTCTCCAAAGCACCTGAAGGCAGGACAAGAAGCAACGGATGGAAACTCATCAAGGAGAGAAACAACCTAGAACTAAGGAGAAACTTCCTGACAGTGAGAACAATTAACCGGTGGAACAACCTGCCTCCAGAAGTGGTGAATGCTCCAACACTGGAAGTTTTTAAGAAGAGACTGGACAACCATTTGTCTGAAATGGTATAGGATTTCCTGCCTGAGCAGGGGGTTGGACTCGATGACCTCCAAGGTCCCTTCCAACTTTATTCTTATTCTTATTACTTTCTTGCTATGGGCAGTCCTCAACATATGACCATGACGGAGCCTGCCTATTATGGTCGTATATGGGAAACTGTGAGCATCGTAGACCAAGATATGTCCAAAAATGCTAGAATTCCTGGAAGCCTGGCAGGCAGACCGATCGCTCATCAACAGGCATAAGAGATCAACAACATTTACCCGCCATTCAAGAGAGACAATAAAAAAAACAAAAAAACAAAAAAGGAAACAAAAAAGATGAAAACGCCTCCTTGTCAGCAATCGACACCCAGATGAGCAGAGATTAACCCCAAGGCTAGACCAACAATCAAGCAATAAGCAAGATCCCAGTCAAGGATAACAACTTGGACAGTCACATAGTAAACAACAACCTAATCAAGGGACCATTGAGAAGAAAACAGTCCCACCAACACTGACGGGAAAAGCCATTAGTATTTAAAATGAGAGCAAACCCCACTTCCTCCTAACACTGATGATGTTACCTAGTTGGGTCATGAAACGTCTGCAAGAAAACATCCAAGCTGAGAGAGCACTAAGGACCCCACAGTTCTTCTCCTCATCCTTCCCTTCCTCCTCCTCTTCACTCCTCCTCCTCCTCCTCTCCATAAACCCCTCCTTCCTTCTGGCACGGAGGATGTTCCCTAGTTGGGTCATGAAATGTCTGCAGGAAAACCATCAAGCTCAGAGAGCACCAAGGACCCCCCCCAGTCTTCCTCCTCTGCTCTGCAAACCTCATTCCTTTCTAGCACTGATGATGCTATCTAGTAGGGTCATGAAATGTCTGCAAGAAAACCACCCAGCTCAGAGAGCACCAAGGACCCCACATTCCTTCTCCTCCTTTCTAGCACTGATGATGCTCCCCAGTTGGGTCATGAAACATCTGCAGGAAAACAACCAAGCTCAGAGAGCACCAAGGACCCCCACAGTCCTCCTCCTCCTCCCTTCTAGCACTGATGATGTTACCTAGTTGGGTCATGAAACGTCTGCAGGAAAACCACCCAGCTCAAAGAGCACCAAGGACCCTACAGTCGTCCTCCTCCTCCCCCCCCTTCTAGCACTGAGGATGTTCCCTAGTTGGGTCATGAAACGTCTGCAGGAAAACCACCCAGCTCAGAGACCACCCAGGACCCCACAAGTCCAAATCTAGGAACAGGAGCGCGCACAGCTTCATTTGATTTCAAGAAGAGTCGACTTACTCTTGTTCCATGGCGCTAAACACCACGGACTGTGCCATGACGAAGCAGTTGGGGTCCACCCGTCCATCTTCCCCGCAGATCTTGGCTGAAAGTTCACCGGAAGACATTCCCGTTAGCGTCAAAGAGTTTACAGCAAAGGGAAAAAACAGAAGGCGACGTGCGGCTGGCCCACGTGCAAGCCGAAATGCAGAGCAGGCACTTTGGGGGGGGGGCAAGGGTTTGAAACAGGGGGTGGGGGCCAGGATGCTTCTCCTTGCCAGCCCCAACCTCCCCAAGTTTTGTTATCCCGCGAGACGGGAATGCGATGTCTTACCCACAATATCGTTTCTCATCAGCTCGGTAACCGGTATCGGCTTAGCAGCATCGGGAGATATATATTTGGTAAAGATGGTCACTGCATCCTGTTCAATACCTGGAGGGGGAGGGGGGAGAGAGAGAGAAAAGGGACAGTGGATTGGGCCCAGTTCTGCTACCGAACATCCAGACTCAGTCACGGTTTTTGTTGCCTGCAGCATCAACCTTGTCAACGCCCAAGCTTCCTCTTTTTTCTGCTATGTATTTAAGAGGGACAGTGATTAATATTTATATGGATTTATAGGTAAGGGCGTAGGCATGTACATATGTATGCATACAGCATGTTTATAGGTGTGTTATTCATGTGTACGCTTTGGAGAGCAGGCAGCAGAATTTGATTTTTAATGTGTGCCCACAGTAAAAAAAATGACAATAAATCTTATATCTTTTCTTATATCTCCTTATATTTTATCTTACATCTTATCTTATATTTTACATTATATCTTATTTTACATCTTACCTTATATTTTATATCTTATCTTTTATCTTATTTTACATCTTATCTTATATCTTACATTTCATATTTTATATCTTATCTTACCTCATCTTATATCTTCTTATATTTTCTTACATCTTATATCTTATCTTTTATATCTTATTATATCTTATCTTACATCTTATCTTATATTTTATTTTTATATCTTATATCTTTTATCTTATCTTATTTTACATCTTATATCTTATCTTACATCTTATCTTACATCTTATATCTTCTCTTTTATATCTTATTATATCTTATATCTTCTTACATCTTACCTTATATTTTATATCTTGTTATATCTTATATCTTATCTTATATTTTATATCTTATATTTTATATCTTATATCTTATCTTGTTTTACATCTTATATCTTATCTTAAATCTTATCTTACATCTTATATCTTATCTTATATTTTATTATATCTTATCTTACATATCTTATATTTTATATCATATATTTTATTTTATATCTTATCTTATTTTACATCTTACCTTATATCTTATCTTATATCTTACAGTCCAAATTTTATATCTTATCTTAAAATAACAACAACAACAACAACAACGAGAAAGAACTGGAGAAGATAACAAAATACGAAGACCTACAAATAGAAATAGAAAGACTGTGGCAAAAGCAAGCAAGGGTAGTACCAATAGTCATAGGCTCCTTGGGTGCAATCCCAAAACAACTGGAGCACCACTTGAACACCATTGGCATTGACAAATTCGCCATGAGTCAATTGCAAAAGGCGGCCTTACTGGGAACTGCTTCCATCCTGCGACGATATCTGTAATACCATCAAACATCCACATCTGCCTATCCCAGGAGCCAGTAAACAATGACTTAAATGGGTTTTGCCGGCATCTGCAGCCGGCTCATGGACTGCGTCACCGGTCCCGGCCGGTTAATTAGTGTTCCAGATGTTTCGCGGTCCATGAGCCGGCTGCAGATGCCGGCAAAACCCATTTAAGTCATCATTGTTTACTGGCTCCTTAGCCCTGATGATGTTTGGAGTTTCCAAACGAAAGCTTGGCAGCTTTTAGTAAAGTATATTTTTATATTTATACTCTCCTGGTGTTCGTATTTTATTTGTACCACAGACATGCCCAGGAGTCGTATTTTTATGCAAATTTTCCAGTACATATTTTATATCTTGTCTTACATCTTATCTTATATCTCTTTTATCTTATCTTATCTTATCGAGTTCCTCTGAGGTTGCAGCGAGTTTGGAAAAGAAACAGTTCAGCGGTTTGCAAAAACTTCCGCAATAACCAGAGGTTTGTTTGGGTTTTTTCCGAGAAGGAAGTCAAGACTTTCACAATTCCACCCAAGACGAAAACTGAACGGGGACTTTGCTTGGTGAAAAAAGCAAATCTCCTTTGCGCTGGCAATAAGTCCCTCGTTGTTTCTGAAACCAGGGGACCTTTCAGAAACGGGGTCTTCCTCCCTCTTGAACTGCCACAGGCGGTCCTCGAGTTACGAGTCTCAATTGAGCCCACGATGGTGCCCAAAATTACGCCCCATAATTGAGCGCACAAAATCACGATGGTAAAAATCAGTTATCACACCACCCAGTCTGATTTTAATGGCTGTTTTTCCCCTCCTTCAGTGGCCGTTAAGTGAATGCCGTGGTTGTTAAAGAGAGCTCATTGTTTTGTCAGAACTAAACTTGTGGTAAATTGCAGACATATGACTGCGGGATGCTGCAAGCGGTCGTAAACGCAGGCTGGCTGCAATACGGTCACATTGACTGCAAGGGGTGGGTTGAATGGGGACGTCGCAACTTTGAAACCGGGCACAAAAGTCCGATTTTCAGGGTTTGTCATAACTTTCAACAGCCATTAAGCAACTGGTCGTACGTCGAGGACTATCTGTATCCCATCAAATGGCCCATCTCGCCTGCGTTTTCTTCCTCTCCCTCTGTTAGACCACACAGGTGGTCCTCATTTACTGACTGACTCATTCAGAGACCGTTCAAAGTTACAAGGATGCTGAAAAAGATTGCGAAAGGGGATCACGTGACCCCCCCCAGGACATTGTGACCGTCATAAATGTGAACCAGTTCCCAAGCGTCTGAATTTTGGTTGGGTGATCAAGGGGATGCTGCAACGGTCGTAAGTGTGAAAAACGGTCGTAAGTCACTTTTTTCAGCGCCGTGGTTAACTTTCAAGTCACTAAATGAACTGCTGTTAAGTCCAGGACTAGCTGTAGATGTCGTGCTGTGCCTGACCCACTGTTTTTTTTCCCCACCTGTCCCAGAATGGAAATTGAAGAGGAAGGGATCACAAGAGAGTAAGCAAGCACCCAGTGGTGAACAGATATCAAAAGTAATACAGGGGCACATCAAGCCTGATGTACTCTCCATTGTGTGTGTGTGTGTGTGTGTGTGTACCTGCTTACTCTCTTGAAATCCCTTCCTCTCCAAAGTCTGTAACTATAAGCTTTAATTCCCTTTTTGCTAATTACCCCAGAGCCGGAATGAACATACGTAGCGTAGGAGAGTGAGGAAAAGAAAAGCCCACTTATCGACTGCTTTGCTTAGCGACCTTAGTTGCGGGTCCCAACTACGACTGCAAACTGAGGAGCATCTGTAATTGGCCTGGGGGCCAGACCTACTCTCTTTGTTCCATGGCAGGCAGATGGAACCTCTATCCTTCAAGCATCAAAGCATCACCACCCATTTTGGAAAGGACCCCTGGGAGTTGTAGTTTAAGTATAGTTGGAAGGCTACGGTGCTCTCCACCATTTCTACACAGTGAAACTAAGGAAATACAGAGTACAGAGAAGAGCAACAAAGATGATCAGGGGGCCGGAGGCTAAAGCATATAAGGAACGGTTGCTGAAATTGGGTATATCTAGTTTAATGAAGAGAAGGACAAGGGGGGACATGATAGCAGCCTTCCAGTATCTCAGGGGCTGCCCCAAAGAAGAGGGAGTCAAGCTGTTCTCCAAAGCGCCTGAAGGCAGGACAAGAAGCAATGGATGGAAACTGACCGAGGAGAGAAGCAACCTGGAACTAAGGAGAAACTTCCTGACAGAACAATTAACCAGTGGAACAACCTGCCTCCAAAAGCGGTGAACACTGGGGCTTATCAGTGTTTTTCACACTTACGACCGTTGCAGCAGCCCGGTGGTTGTGTGATCAAAATTCAGACATTTGGCAACTGACTCGTATTTATGACGGTAGTAGTGTCCTGGGATCACGTGACCTCCTTTTCCGACCTTTTGACGAGCAAAATCCGTGGGGAAGGCCAGATTCACTTAAACAAGAGTCTGACTAATTTAACAACTGCGGCAATTCCCTTAACAACCGAGGCAAGAAAGGACGTAAAACGGGACAAGCTGACCTAACAAGTATTTCCCTTAGCAACAGACATTTTGGGCTCAGTTGCGGTCGTAAGTTGAGGACCGCCTGTAGGTCCTTAAATGAGGAGGTCACTGGAAACTACTTAGAACATGGCTCTCAACCTGTGGGTCAGGACCCCATTTGGGGTCGAACGACCATTTCACGGGGGTCGCCAAACAACGCAGTCCGCCATTTTTTCGCTCTTTTCCTTAGCTGTGCTACTCCCTTTTATTCTATTGGCTTTTGAAAGCCAATAGAAGAGACTCTCTTGAACAGAGTCTAATTCTATTGGCTTTCAAAAGCCAATAGGAATTGTCCAGGCTGTCTCTGCCCTGCTGAGCCTGCCAAAAGTCCCATTCTGCAAATGGTGCTGTACCAGTTGAGTAGTCCTCGACTTACGACCAGTTGAGTAGTCCTCGACTTACGACCGGTTGGGGGGTCGTGGCATTAAAAAGGTTGAGAATCACTGACTTAGAAAGACCATGGGTTGGGCTTACTTTTCATGAGTTTCCCTGACATGCCCCTTAGTGCAAAGCAAGGACTATTTCTACTGGACGCTGAGACCGTGGAAGCATCGTGAGAGTCACCCGGAACCGGAGAGTCCTCGTCTTCTGACGGAGTCAACCCCAAACAGGGTTTGTCCCCGCCTTGGCCAAGCAGCAAATGGTTCCGAAGAGTCAACGTTGGCCGGCTCAAACATGCTGGAGAGGGCTCGGCGGGATAACAGTCATCCAGTCCTCCGTTAAGCGACTCGCCGAGGGGGGAAAAGCCAAGAGGGTCCTGCTGCTGCAGGCAAGGGGACACCGGCTCGGCCAGGGAGCTGTGCTTCACCGTGTTCAAGCTGTGTGCTCGGATGCGGGACCAGGTGGCGGAGCAGAAAGTCTCAGCTTCCAGCCAGAATCGGACCAGGTGTTCCATGCGGTGGAGCTCCATGTACTGGGCAAAGTACGGGAGGGCCACGGGGTCGCGCAGGACTTGCGCCAGCGTCTTAGACAGGCTTGACTTGCTTTCTTGAGCTTGGTAATCCAGGCAGGAGCGGCCTAGAGAAAGGAGAGGGAGAGAAGGTGAGGAGGGGGGATCCTGCCAAGGTTCCGACTGACGCGCCCAACCGAGTAAGTATCTTCAAGAGATTCTGATCTCTTAATGTAAAACTTTATTGCGTACATCAATTCAGCACGATGGAAAGCAAAACCAGCTCTGGTAAGAGCATTGAATTCTCCCTCCTCCCTCTTGACCGTGTCCCGTTGTCCAATTAAATGCAAAAATATTGTTTTGAGAAAATATCCTCGGCCTGGCCAGGTCCTGGGCGAATCGTCCTTGACGCTCATGGTCCGGCTTTTTAATTTTTGAAATCTGCATTCCGACAGCTTCCCTCCCCACCAAGCTGAGAAGCAATAATTGTCACACCAGCAAAAGCATGTGTCAACGCTGCTAACACCGGATGTTCTACATTGACAACAGATGAAAATGTAGTCATCTTTCCCCTTTCGCTTTTAGAGTTAGAGCAGTGGTTCTCAACCTGTGGGTCGGGACCCCATTTGGGGTCGAACGGCCATTTCACGGGGGTCGCCAAACAAGGCTGTCCGCCATTTTTTCCCCTTTTCTTTGGCCACGCCCCTGGCACCCGGTGATGTATAAGTGGTTGGGGGTCACTACAACATGGGGAACTGTATTATGGGGTCGCGGCATTAGAAAGGTTGAGAACCACTGTTCTATTGGCTTTTGAAAGCCAATAGAATAGATTCTCTTGAATAGAGTCTAATTCTATTGGCTTTCAAAAGCCAATAGGAATTGTCCAGGCTGCCCTGCTAAGCCCGCCAAAAGTCTCATTCTGCAAATGGTGCTGCACCAGTTGAGTAGTCCTCAACTTACAACCGGTTGAGTAGTCCTCGACTTACGACCGGTTGGGGGTCGCGGCATTAAAAAGGTTGAGAACCACTGAGTTAGATGATGCCTGTATGTGTGTGAATGAGAGTCTAGCTCAGGGGTAGGCCACCATGGCTCTTTTATGACTCATGGACTTCAACTCCCAGAATTCCTGAGCCAGCTATGCTGAGGAGAAATGGAGAGGTTTCCAAGCTGAGCCATGCTGGCTCAGGAATTCTGGGAGTTGAAGTCCGCAAGTCATAAAAGAGCCAAGGTTGCCTACCCCTGGCCTAGCTAGACATAACAACACTAAACTTAGCGTGAGAATCAAGGTTATTGAGCCCAGAGCTGATAAAGAATTGGCGAGCTGGAGAGGAAGCCCCCTCACCTTCAAGCTAATTGGGGAATGTGATTTATGACTGTTAATTGGAGGGAATTGTGCTTTGATACTATGTGCCCAGGGGAGGGGAATTCAGTTTTTGGCTTTGATTATGTAGTGCCGATATCATGCTACTCGAATAAAAGATTCTTTAAGGTAAACAATGCCTCAAAGTTCTTTTGAAGAGTTTCATCTGTCGGAACTATGACAGCATGCTTGGGAGAGACGTTCTCCAGGTTTCTAGAGAGACACCCGATAAAATATCTCCGTCATGGCCCCATCTGATCCCAGTTCGGAGGAGGAGGAGTTGAAACCAGGACCGTTGTAGAGGTGAGAGACAGGCAAAGGTCGTGTGTAGAAAACTGCCCCTCCAACGCCTGTGTTTTCTCTGCATCTATCTCCCCCCCCTTTACATCACCATAGCGATGTGAAAGTACGCAGGTCTGTGTGACCTTGCCTGCCTGATAACAGCTTGCTCCCATCAACAAGATGCTATTAACTATTCCCTGTTTTTGGCCTCTGGCTTCTATATTCTTGAGGATTGGTTGAGAGTTTAAACAATGAAATGCTATTGTCATGTATAAACTTTTGCTTCTTGGAATCTGTATATAAACAATAAAAGCTGCGTAGAAAGCAGCCATTTTTTGCACCCTGCTATGACTTAGCACTGATTACTACAACCGTCCAATGGGGAGAGTGCTTCTCTGCTGGATCGTCTGGGGGTCCAGGGGCTGAGGACGATGCTGTCCCAGGCCCCTCTGGCACGGGGTGGTGGTGCTACCTGCCCCAGCAAACACGGGAGAGGATCAGCTGCAAACAGGCAATGGTGTTGAGAGGCAGCAGATCTCCCTCCCATGAGGAACAGCTGCCTCCCCCACCTGATCCTAGAGCGGGGCTGCTGTGGAGGAGGCTGGCCTAGCACTTCTCACAACGCACATCTGCCTTGAGTTGATTTAAGCCAGTGGTTCTCAACCTTTTTAATGCCACGACCCTCAACCGGTTGTAAGCCGAGGACTACTCAACCGGTCGTAAGCCGAGGACTACTCAACTGGTGCAGCACCGTTTGCAGACTGGGACTTTTGGCGGGCTCAGCAGGGCAGAGACAGCCTGGACAATTCCTATTGGCTTTGGAAAGCCAATAGAATTAGACTCTATTCAAGAGAGTCTAATCTATTGGCTTTCAAAAGCCAATAGAATAAAAGAGAGTAGCACAGCTAAGGAAAAGGGGAAAAAAAATGGCGGACTGCGTTGTTTGGCGACCCCCGTGAAATGGTCGTTCGACCCCAAATGGGGTCCCGACTCACAGGTTGAGAACCACTGATTTAAGCAGAGGCCGGGGAGAGTATCTTTCTCAGGAACAATCTGATGTGCTTATTTTTTAACTAATTCGCATACAGGTTGTCCTCAGGTTGTGGAAGCTTCCTATGACGGTGGTTAAGTCATAAAGGTGGTAAAACGGTTGACCAAAAGTTACGCACCTGGCATTCATGCCTAAACTGGGACTAGAAGTCACAATCGCCTAATGATTGGCCCAAAGTTACCAAGGCACCTTTCAGGACTAAAACGGGACTAGAACTCTCAGTCTCTTGGCGATTGGCCCAAAGTCCCCCAGCTGGCTTTCATGCCTAAGGCGGGACTGGAACTCACGGTCTCCTGGTGATTGGCTCAAAGTCACCCAGCTGGCTTTCATGCCTAAGGCGGGACTAGCACTCACCCTCTCCTGGTGATTGGCCCAAAGTCACCCAGCTGGCTTTCATGCCTAAGGCGGGACTGGAACTCACCGTCTCCTGGTGATTGGCTCAAAGTCACCCAGCTAGCTTTCATGCCTAAGGCGGGACTAGAACTCACCCTCTCCTGGCGATTGGTCCAAAGTCACCCAGCTGGTTTTCATGCCTAAGGCGGGACTGGAACTCACCGTCTCCTGGTGATTGGCCCAAAGTCACCCAGCTGGCTTTCATGTCTAAGGCGGGACTAGAACTCACCCTCTCCTGGCGATTGGTCCAAAGTCACCCAGCTGGCTTTCATGCCTAAGGCGGGACTGGAACTCACTGTCTCCTGGTGATTGGCCCAAAGTCACCCAGCTGGCTTTCATGCCTAAGGCGGGACTAGAACTCACCGTCTACTGGCGATTGGTCCAAAGTCACCCAGCTGGCTAGCATGCCTAAGGCGGGACTAGAACTCCCTACCTCCTGGCGATTGGCCCAAAGCCACCCAGCTGGATTTCATGACTAATCTGGGACTAGAACTCACTGTCTCCTAGCTTCTAGTCTGGGGCCTTAATCACTTGACCAAACTGGTTCAATCCATCAATCCATCACTTCCTTGCAGGTACCCATTAGGCTATTTTAGGCCTCTAAACATGCTCAGGAGCTCTTTGGACCCAGCTAAACCAGAAAAAAAGGGACCAGGCTCACCCAGGTCTCCAAAATGTGCAGCTTCCATGTGGCTGGGCTGCTTCTTAAGGGCTGCCGTGCGACTGCTGCAGGACTCCATGTTGGCCGAGATGGCGTTGATAGCCACGTGGCTTGGTCCGGCGGCCTCGAGCAAGGCATGGCTCCTGGTACCTCTCTGTGGGGAATATCCTGGTGCTGCAGCTGGAAAAGGGAACCACAAGGTGATGCTGCTTTGGGGAGCTCAAACCTGGGTTGGTCTTGCAGGGGCTGCCAGACAGACAGCCCTGTCTGGGCTGTTTATACAGGTGATCCTCAAGTTACAACCACAATTGAGCTGAAAATTTATGTTGCTGAGCCAGATGGTTGTTAAGTGAATCTCACCCCACTTTATGACCTTTCTTGCCACTGTTAAGTTAGTAACACGGTTGTTAAGTGAATCTGGTTCTCCCCACCTTTGACTTTGCTTGTAAGAAGGTCGCAAAAGGGGATCACATGACCCTGGGGCACTGCGACCGTCATAAATATAAACCGGGTGCCAAGGTGTCTGAATTTTGATCACGTGACTGTGGGGATACTGTTAACGGTCACAAAGGGGAAAAGTGGTTGTAAGTCGCCTTTTACGGTGCCTTCCTAACTTCGAACCGTCACTAAATGAACAGCTGTTAAGTTCTTGGCAGTGTGTTGGCAATTTGGACCAGAATTTCTGTCACTAAGCGATAGGGTCACAAAGCGCCACCATTGGAAATCTCCAATTTTCTAGATAAATCAGCAGGGAAGGCTGCAAATGGCGATCAAGTGATTGAAGTCCTGTAGGAAGTTCCTATGAAAATCCAGAACCACATTCAGTGCATGAAAATTCATCCCAAAGGTACTTTTTTTGGAGGCCACTGGACTTTCTTGTTTTTCCTTTGAAGACATTTTGCTTCTCCTCCCAGAAGCTTCTTCAGCTCTGATTGGGATGACGGGGAATGGAAGGATTTATACTCCTTGCAGACAGCCGGTCATTTGCCTCCTTTTGGAGAGTCGTTGAGGCCACCTGGAGATTTGTCTGTGTCTTCAGGCTCACCTGAGTGATGCAAATGCGTGTGGAGCCTTCTTGGACCTGCTGTAGAGAGGATATAGACAATGTCGGATCCCTCCCCCTCTGTTGATATAGATGGCCTCTTTGACCCCTCTTTCAAACCAGTGGTCCTCTCTATCCAACATAGAACAAACCCATCAGGACAAGATTCAGCAGCCCATCTGCCTTTAAGAGACGAAGGCCGCTCTTTCGAAGACAGCAAAGTCCACATTTTGAACAGAGAAGACCGCTGGCTTGAAAGAGGGGTCAAAGTGGCCATCTAGGTCCAAACTGAACACCCCTCCCTCAACAGAGGGGGAGAGATAGGACACTATCCATCTCCAGTCTACAACATGGTGCTTTCAGCAGTCCCAAGAAGGCCCCACACCCATTTGCACCACTCAGGTGAATGATGGACACAGGTAAACCTCTAAGTGGCCTCAACGACTCTCTAAAAGAAGGCAAATGACCGGCTGTCTGCAAGGAGTATGAATCCTTCCATTTCCCGCCAATCCAGTCAGAGCTGAAGAAGCTTCTTGGATGAGAAGCGAAACGTCTTCAAAGAAAAACAAGAAAGTCCAGTTGCCTCCTGGAAAAAAAAAAAGCACCTTTGGGATAACTATGACCTGGAAGATGGAGAATCTCCACGGACATTAAAATGGCTCACACTGAGGGGTAGCCAGCCTTCCTGAATCTCTGAGTCAGAATTGTAAACAGTCCAGAAGTGACATAATTTCATTTCTTTCCCCACTTCCTGCTTGTTATATTCAAAGAACAAAGGCAATTTAGACTGATTAAGTCAGTGTTTTTTAAAATTTCTGCGGTGTGGACTTCAACTCCCAGAATTCCCAGTGTTTTTTAAAATTTCTGCGGTGTGGACTTCAACTCCCAGAATTCCCAGTGTTTTTTCAAATTTCTGCGGTGTGGACTTCAACTCCCAGAATTCCCAGTGTTTTTTTTTAAAATTTCTGCGGTGTGGACTTCAATTCCCAGAATTCCCAGTGTTTTTTCAAATTTCTGAGGGGTGGACTTCAATTCCCAGAATTCCCAGTGTTTTTTCAAATTTCTGAGGGGTGGACTTCAATTCCCAGAATTCCCAGTGTTTTTTCAAATTTCTGAGGGGTGGACTTCAACTCCCAGAATTCCCAGTGTTTTTTCAAATTTCTGAGGGGTGGACTTCAATTCCCAGAATTCTTCTCGGAGTTGAAATCCACACCTCACGGTTTAGAAACATTGGTCTGAGCACATGAAGACTTTGTCATAAGGCAGCCAAAAGTAAATTAGTTTTAATGGGTGGAAGTTAATTAGCAGAGGAAGGCAGGGCCAACATAATTGATTTTAGGAATAATGAGTTAGTCATTTAGCTTTTCTTTGTTATCCGGCAGAAGAAAAAAACTAGTTTCCTTCAGGTTGGTGAGGAGATATTAAAATATTCTGCTGCAGTACAGGTAGTCCTCGACTTACAACAGTTCACTCAGTGACCGTTCGAAGTTACAACAGCCCTCAAAAAAGGGACTACTGAGCATTTTTCATCTTTATGACTTTTGCAGCTTGCTCCCTGCGGTCAAAATTCAGACAACGATTCGCATTTATGACGGTTGCAGAGTACCCGGGGGTGTGTGTGTGTGTCCCGTGATCCCCTTTTGCGATCTTCAGACAAGCAAAGTCCATTGGCAAAGCCAGATTCACTTAACGACTGTGCCACTAACTTCACTACGATGATTCACTTAACGGCAGTGGCAAGGAAAGTTGTAAAATGAGGCAGAACTCGCTTAAGAAATGTCTTGCTTAGCAACGGAAATCTGGAGCACCATTGTGGCCATAAATCGAGGACCACCTGCATCTGAGAGGAAGCAGCTCCGAATATGGGTAGGCCTCAACTTACAACCACTCATTAAGTGACTGTTCAAAGTTACAAGAGAACTTATGTGACCGGTCCTCACACATACGACCGTTGTAATATTCCCTACAGTCACGTGATCAAAATTTCAGGCGCTTGGCAAGCGGCCTGCTTTTATGAGGGTGGCAGCAGCATCCTGGGGTCATGTGAACCCCTTCCTAGCTTCTTTCCGACAAGCCAAGTCCGCTCGGCTGAATAATGGCGGCAAAAATAGGTCGCAAAATGGGGCACGACTCACTTTGTAGCAGCTGTGTTGCTTAGTGATGGAAACTCCAGTCCTGATTGTGGTCGTAAGTTGAGGACTTCCCGTTAACGGAGATTAGGGAAGTGGCATTTGAGTGGCATCTCCTAGTCCAGAGATAATATAGTAATAGTAGTAAAGTTGGAAGGCACCTTGGAGGTCATCTAATCCAACCCCCCAATCTTTTCAGGCTGGCGGCCTGGATGGAAAGGGAGGAGCTGAGAAATGTGTGTACATGCACGCACGAGTGCAGAAACAGGGCAGAGCGCACGTGCACGGCGCTAGTGGACCCATTTGCGTAGTAGGTGTGCAGGCGCTAGCTCCACGCGCATGTGCAAACGGGCCGTGAAACCCACATGGGGCTAGCCATCCCCGTTTGCGCATGTGAGCAGGTGCTAGTTGCCGCCGCTGCTACCCCCGTGCGCATGCCCAAATGGGTTGTGTAACATGTGCATGCTAGTGGCCCCCTTTTGTGCATAGGCGCTAGCCACTGCCGCGGCTAGCCCCAGTGCGCATGTGCAAATGGGCTGCGGAAACCCTCGCGCGCAAGCGGTCCCGTTTGTGCAGGTATGCATATGCAAATGGGCCCGTGGGTGCTAGTGTGAGTGGGGGTGAGTGCATGCACATGTGTGCGCGTGCACTGACCAGCCTGTCCTGTGGCCTGCTGTAGTAGGCTGCGGCCCATAGACTGGGGACCCCTGTCTTAATCATAAAAGATGACGGACATTTGTAGAAACGGAGGGCCATTCAGTCTGAGTTCCTAATTGCTGGGAAATTCAGGTTTTAATAATAATGATAATGATGATGATAATAATAATAATGTTGGAAGGGACCTTGGAGGTCATCTAGTTTTCTGAAATGGGGTCTCTAGCCCCAGTATACATGCACAAATGGGCTGCGGAAACCCGTGTGCGCTAGCGGTCTTGTTTGTGTAGGTGTGCAGGCGCTAGCCCCGTGCGCATGTGCAAATGGGTCTGTGAGTGCTAGTGTGAGTGGGGGTGAGTGTGTGCACATGTGTACGCGCGCACTGACCAGCCTGTCCTGTGGCCTGCTGTAGTAGGCCGCGGCCCATAGACTGGGGATCCCTGTCTTAATCGTAAAAGATGACGGACATTTGTAGAAACGGAGGGCCATTCAGTCTGAGTTCCTAATTGCTGGGAAATTCAGGTTTTAATAATAATGATAATGATAATAATAATAATGTTGAAGGGACCTTGGAGGTCATCTAGTTTTCTGAAATGGGGTCTCTTACCATAGTTGCCAGGCATCTGAGCCGGTCCAGACTCTGCAAACAGGAAAGGAAAGCAGATTAATTTTTGCCTGAATGTCTGAAATGGGACAGAAACAGGATACAGTGCCCAGCCCACCTCCCTTTAGATCAGTGGTTCTCAACCTGTGGGTCGGGACCCCATTTGGGGTCGAACGACCATTTCACGGAGGTCGCCAAACAACGCAGTCCGCCATTTTTCCCCCTTTTCCTTGGCTGTGCTACTCCCTTTTATTCTATGGGCTTTTGAAAGCCAATAGAAGAGACTCTCTTGAATAGAGTCTAATTCTATTGGCTTTCAAAAGCCAATAGGAATTGTCCAGGCTGTCTCTGCCCTGCTGAGCCCACCAAAAGTCCCATTCTGCAAACGGTGCTGCACCAGTTGAGTAGTCCTCGACTTATGACCGGTTGAATAGTCCTCGACTTACGACCGGTTGGGGGGGTCACGGCATTAAAAAGGTTGAGAACCACTGCTTTAGAAGCCCTGCAGAGCAGGGACCCCCAACCTGTGGCATCAGGTTGGCCACTGGGACGTGTGAATGGCTAGCCAGTGCACGCGGTGTGTGCAAACACACTTGCACAAGTATCATTGCGGGTGTCCACGGCTTCGTTTGCACCAGCGTTGTGGCTGTTGGTGGCCCCACTCGTGCAAGTGCTCACGGCCCCGTTCAGGCGAGCAATGGGCGTTTGTGTGCATTCACACGCATGCCTTTACCCCCGCTTCCCACAAAACAATCCCTTCTTCCCTCCTCCCCCCCCCCCCCGCTCGGGGCACCAACCCCAAATCATTGGGGAACTCTCCTGTAGAGTTTAGTCAGCATATTCAAGGTCAAATCCAGATTTAAATTGGCCAGTTTATGACACCCTTGGAGCAAATCTGAATGTCAGGATAAAAAAAAAATGGCTTGAAAATTTAATTCCAGATCATCTGCAGGATTATTGCCGAGGGAAGCCCGCTTGAGGCAGAAAGCATGGCAGAGCTGAGTGTGCCCTTGCACAACGGGAGTTTTAAAACACAGGTAGTCCTCGAATTACGACCTCAATAGAGCCCCAAATTTATATGGCTCAGTGAAACGTTTGTGAAGTGAGCTCTTTGCCCCACTGTACGACATTTCTTGCCACAGTTGTTAAGTGAATCGTTTGTCAAGTCAGTAACGTGGTTGTTAAGAGAAGCTGCGATCCCCCTTGACTTCGCTCGTCACGAACGGTCACCAAAGCTGAACACTGGAGCCCGGGATCTTGCAACCGTCATAAATATGAACCACTTGCCACAGCGTCTGAATCTTGATCAGGTGACCACGGGGAGCCTGCAACGGTCGTAACTCGGAAAAAGGAATGCAAGTCCCTCTTTTTCAGTGCCGTTGTAACTTTGAACGGTCATTAAATGAACAGTTGCCACCTGTGGGCCTTTTTGCCATCTTTGTAAAGTGCCAGCCTCTCTCTCCTGGCAACTGGATATGCTCACTAAAAAGGCATGTTCGGTACAGACAGTCCTTGACTTATGATCGTTTACTTAACCCTCATTTAAAATTACGATGGGTTCAAAATAAATTACACCTGAAGTTCATTTATTTTAGTTCTATCCTGCCCTTATATTGCAAATAACTCAAGGCGGGGAACATATCCAACACACTTACCTCCTCCTCTTTCCACACAACAACCCTGTGAAATTGGTTGGGTTGAGAGAGAGGGACTGGCTTTCATGCCTAAGGTGGGACTAGAACTCACAGTCCTCTGATGATTGGCCCAAAGTCACCCAGCTGGCTTTTGTGGCTCAGGTGGGACTAGAACTCCCTGTCTCCTGGTGATTGGCCCAAAGTCACCCAGTTGGTTTTTATGGCTAAGGCGGGACTAGAACTCCCTGTCTCCTGGTGATTGGCCCAAAGTCACCCAGCTGGCTTTTGTGGCTAAGGCGGGACTAGAACTCACTGTCTCTTGGTGATTGGCCCAAAGTCACCCAGCTGGCTTTCATGGCTCAGGCGGGACTAGAACTCCCCATTTCCTGGTGATTGGCCCAAAGTCACCCAGTTGGCTTTTATGCCTAAGGCGGGACTAGAACTCACACTCCCCTGATGATTGGCCCAAAGTCACCCAGCTGGCTTTTGTGGCTGAGGCGGGACTAGAACTCCCTGTCTCCTGGTGATTGGCCCAAAGTCACCCAGTTGGTTTTTATGGCTAAGGCGGGACTAGAACTCCCTATCTCCTGGTGATTGGCCCAAAGTCACCCAGTTGGCTTTTATGCCTAAGGTGGGACTAGAACTCACACTCCCCTGATGATTGGCCCAAAGTCACCCAGCTGGCTTTTGTGGCTGAGGCGGGACTAGAACTCCCTGTCTCCTGGTGATTGGCCCAAAGTCACCCAGTTGGTTTTTATGGCTAAGGCGGGTCTAGAACTCACTGTCTCCTGGTGATTGGCTCAAAGTCACCCAACTGGCTTTCATGGCCAAGGCGGGACTAGAACTCATGGTCTCTCACTTTCTGGGCCGGTGCCATAAAGGCTAGATCAAACTGGCTACGAGTGCTTAATTCTATGTAATTCCTAATTAAGCTACAACTGCTACTCCACCCACATGGTCACGTGACTGCATTCCAGGCATTTGGCAACCGGCTTGCAATATCCCGCGGCAAAAAACAAAACAAAACAAAAAAAACCACTCACTGGATATACCGGATTTGGACTCACGACCATGTGACTGGCTTGATAGCCACAGTGTCTTGCCATAATTAAAAATGGTCATAAAAGTGAGCCCAGTCGCGTGGTGACTTGAGTTATGACCTTAAGGAGTGACTAGCCAAATCCCAAGCTCAACTGTGGTCATAAGTCGAGGACTAGGTGTACTTAAGAGTGGAGAGTTATAGGGTGGGAGTCATGGAGAAGGAAAGCTGGCCATCCAGAGCATTGAGGAGCATTTGTAATGCATGGCAAACACGTAGAATTAAGCCATTAGCAAAGTGGGAAAAAAGGGGGAATTTACCTTTAATTTCTCTGGCTTCTACTGGCTTCTGGTGCTCTCTGCCTTTCACTGCAAAAGAAAAACAGAGAGAGGCTGTTTTTAGTGATGGATGAAAAAGTTAGGACTGCCCTTGCCAATACCTGTGCAGCTGAATCCAGGAATACATCTCCCCAACTACAGCAAAAGACTTACAACATCACCCTTAATCCCCCCCTTCCTCCCCCCCATGCAACAAAGAGGGCAAAATGCAGTCCAAGCATAAATAAAATCCACAGGTCAAACCGAAAGAGGAAAGCATTAAACTGACAGACTGTTATAAGTGGCAAAGTGACGCAAGGGGCTTCAGTGCTAGGTTGGCAAAGGACACAAAAGATTATGTCACTAGGTTGCGCTTTTCAGACTTGGTTGCTTTAAGAGGGGTGGACTTCAACTCCCAGAATTCTTCAGCCAGCCTGCTTTAAGATGGTGCACTATAATTCCCAGAATTCCCCAGCCAGCCTGCTTTAAGATGGATGGACTTCCACTCCCAGAATTCCCCAGCCAGCCTGCTTTAAGATGGCGGGACTTCCACTCCCAGAATTCCCCAGCCAGCCTGCTTTAAGATGGCGGGACTTCCATTCCCAGAATTCCCCAGCCAGCCTGCTTTAAGATGAATGGACTTCCACTCCCAGAATTCCCCAGCCAGCCTGCTCTAAGATGGCGGGACTTTCACTCCCAGAATTCCCCAGCCAGCCTGCTTTAAGATGGGTGGAATTCCACTCCCAGAACTCCCCAGCCAGCCTGCTTTAAGATGGGGGATTTCAGCTCCCATAATTCTCCAGCCAGCATGTTTTAAGGGGGTTGGGGGTGGACTTCCACTCCCAGAATTCCCCAGCCAGCATGTTGCCGAGTCTAAACCACCAGCCCATCAAATCTGTTTCATTCAACAGCAGCTCCCCCAAAGCTTATAAAGGGCTTTCCATAAGCCTGTTGTTTTTTTTACAAAGCTAACTTGGGGCTATCTTAAGCTATGCTATACTTCCTCCTATTTCGTTAAAGAAGTTTGAGAGAGAGAGAGAGAGAGAGAGAGAGAGAAAGAAAGAGACGGACAGAGATAGAGGAGGAGGGAGGGGAGAGAGAGAGAGGCAACATCACAGAGTGAAAGGGAGAAAGGCAAAGAGAATGAGAGACAGACAGACAGACAGAGATAGAGGAGGAGGAGGAGAGAGGAGAGGGGGAGAGAGGCAGCATCAAACAGAGTGAAAGGGAGAAAGAGAGAAGCAAAGAGAATGAGAAAGAGAGAGAGAGAGAGAGAGAAAGAGAAAGAGAGAGAGAAAGAGAGAAAGAGAGAGAGGGAGAGAGAGAAAAAGAGAAATGCCAAGTGTAATTCTGTTCCCTTAAACCATTTCCCTATCATACAAACACCACACGCTGAAGTTTTTAAAGAAATATGGGCTGATTTTTTCCTCTTCCGGCTTTATCTTCCTTTCCTCTAGTGCCGCGCCTCTCTCGATCGTAAGGCTGTGCGCTGGCGGCTCTCTCGTTGGAACTGAGCTTCAAAACCTGAGCTGGCAGAATTTGTGTGTGCCTGTGTGGGTGTGTGAAGAAGTCAACAAAAAAGCAGGATTACAGGCCTCCATGGCTGCCCATCTCAAGATAACAACTGCCCTCTGGTAAGCGGAGGTGACTGCCCCAACCCACTCCTTACTTTGGCCACCACCAGCTCTCCTAGTGTCTCAAAAACCCGGAGAAAGGCACATGGGACATGTGGTACAGGGCTACATGGACCTCCCTTCCGTCTGCGGCCGGGTGGTTTTCAGGGCAAGCCAGACCACAAAGTTCTGGCTTGACGTTCGCTTGTCAACTGTCACCGTTCCGAACGGCCAACTGAACGTTGTCCAGTAGGTTTCCTTTCCTTGTATGTCCAGACTGACTTTCTGACCGGAACGTCAAGAGCAGATTTTTATTTTTATTTTTTCATATATATACATCGCCCTCCAGAAGCCTTGGGAAGGTGAAGTAGAGAGATTAAAAACTGCTTTAAAATACCAGGAATGTTCTTTGTGGCTTGGCTTTGTCTCTCTCTTTCAGAAAGAGCAAACGAAAGTCTTAAAACAATTAAAAATGCAATTAAAGAAAGAAAGTAATTCTCGGAAGGCAAGATGGCTGATAATGACTGAGTATGCAAATATTTGCCGCTACGTAAAGGTTTCTGTGTTAATAGCAAGAAGGAAACGCTCTTCCCTTCAAACTTATTTTATTCAGGGAAGATGGATTGATTATAGTCAAAAGAAATATGAGACTGAAAAGTATTATCTTGCATATGAGTAGATTTTAGATAATTATTAGTTTAATATGATTGAATTTATATTATTTTTAGTATTAATTATATTATTATTTTTGTTTTTAATTCGTTAATACTTGTTTTGAAAAGGAGTTAAAATGTGTTATGGTTTTGATTGATAGCATAGTTGGTTAATGTTAATTAGATTATGTTTGTTTATTTGTTACCCTGTAATCAGCTCTGGGAAGTGGGGGGGGCAAGGGGTGGGAGGGGTTTATATGTAATAAATTTGTAAAACTTTTAATAAAAAAAACACCTTATTTTATTCAGTTGTAAGTCCTGGACTTACAACCGTTCGTTTAGTAACCGGTTCAAGGTACAGCAGCACTGGAAAAAAGCAGCTTATGACTGTTTTTCACACTTACGACCACTGCAGCGTCCTTATGATCATGTGATCAACATTTGGCTGCTTGGCCACTGACTCGTATTTATGACGGTTGCAGGTCGCGTGATCCCCTTTGACGACCTTCTGACAACCAAAGGCAACGGAGAAGCCAGATTCACTTAACAACCGTGTCACTAACTTAACAACCGCAGCGATCCACTTAAGCACTGTGGCCAGAAAGGGGGCAAAGCTCACTTTACAACGGTTAGCAATGGAATTTTGGGGCTGAATTCTGGTCGTTAAGCTGAGGACTACATAATTAAATTAGTGTTAACAGTCATGGTGTAATGGTCTGAGGGAAGGACCTAGGGCAGGGGTAGGCAATCTTGGCTCTTTTATGACTCGTGGACTTCAACTCCCAGAATTCCTGAGCCAGCCATGCTGAGGGGAAAGGGAGAGGTTTCCAAGCTGAGCCATGCTGGCTCAAGAATTCTGGGAGTTGAAGTCCACGAGTCATGAAGGGGCCATAGTTCCCCCATGCTGGCTCAGGAATTCTGGGAATTGAAGTCCACGAGTCATAAAAGAGCCAAGGTTGCCTACCCCCTGATCTAGGGGGAAGAAGCACCCAAAATGTGATCACATGACCACAGCGGGAGGGAATGTCAGAACTTCAAATTCAGGTCACAAAACTGTTAAACAAAAGGATGTAAGTCGAGGACTACTTTTATAAGTCAAACTCAACTCATGAAGATTTATATTTATATACCTCTGGATCAAATTTCGGGGGGTAAAAACACTGGAGCTGTTTGCTTCTGCCTTTTTGCAAAGATATTTTTTGCTTCCAAGTTCAACTTAGATCCACTAAATAATAAAATCAACTTATATTTTTGGCTCATCCAAGCATTAAGAAGGGTTGATCCTGCCTGATTTGTAAGATCGCCTCTAATACAGGCAGTCCTCGAGTTACGACAGTTTGTTTAATGTCCGGCACTGGAGAAAGGGAGTTACGACCGTTTTTCACACTTGGCAACTGGCAGGTACTTATGACGGTTGCAGTGTCCTGGGGTCATGTGATCCCCTTTTTGTAAACCTTTTGATAAGCAGAGTCAATGGGGAAGCGCAGACTAATTTAACCACGGTGTGGCTAACTTGACAATGGTAAGGATTCACTTAACAACTGTGGCAAGAATGGTCATCAAATGGGGCAAAACTCACTTGACAAAGGTCTCACTTAGCAACATACGTTTTTGGCTCAGTTGAGGTCGTAGGTCAACCTGTGCTAGCCTCCAGCGCAGTATTTTTCAACTTTAAGATGGGTGGACTTCCACTCCCAGAATTCCCCAGCCAGCCTGCTTTAAGATGGGCGAACTTCCACTCCCAGAATTCCCCAGTTAGCAAGTTTTAAGGGGGGGTGGACTTCCACTCCCAGAATTCCCCCGCCAGGAGGTTTTAAGGGGGGGTGGACTTCCACTCCAAGTTCCCCCGCCAGCAGGTTTTAAAGGGGGGTGGACTTCAACTCCCAGAATTCCCTAGCCAGCAGGCTTTAAGATGGGTGCACTTCCACTCCCAGAATTCCCCAGTCAGCCTGAAGATAGATGGAATTCAATCCCCAGAATTCCCCAGCCAGCAGGCTTTAAGATAGATGAAATTCAATTCCCAGAATTCTCCAGCCAACAGGCTTTAAGATGGATGGACTCCTAGAATTCCCCAGCCAGCCATTCTGGGAATTCTGGGAGTTGAATTCCTCCCCCCCCCCTCTTGAAGTGATTGAGGTTAAGAAACACTGCTTGGGAGTTTGGAGTCCGCAAGAGAATGGATATATTTAGTAAAAATAGACGTTTGCCCTGGAATTTTGCAGGCAGACTCTGAGCAAGAGAACTGTCTCTCCCCAAGGCGACTTCTATAAATATAAATCCTATCTGGAAATTTTGCAGATTGATCTGACAGGTTTTCCAAGCGAGAGAGGAGGGTCTGGGGCGGTTTCACCTCTCCCTGTTCCAAAACTTAGGAACTTAGCAGACTCGGCCAGTTGTGTTTTCACTTCAGTGTGTCAAACCAATAGCACAGCAAGGTAGGTAGGTAGGTAGGTAGATGAGATAGATAGCTATGATAGATAGCTATGATAGATAGATAGATAGATAGATAGATAGATAGATAGATAAAAATAGGTGGGTGGATGGATGGATAGATGATAGCTAGGTAGATAAATGATATAGAAGATAGATAGATAGATAGATAGATAGATAGATAGATAGATAGATAGATAGATAGATAAAAATAGGTGGGTGGATGGATGGATGGATGATAGCTAGGTAGATAGGTAGATAAATTAGATAGATAGATAGATAGATAGATAGATAGATAGATAGATAGATAGATAGATAGATAGATAGATAAAAATAGGTGGGTGGATGGATGGAT